ACAATAAATTTGAATCCTCGTTAAAAAAAGAAAATGAAAATATACTGAATATCGCCAATTTTTGCAAATTGATAAAATATACTGAATTAATATTTCAATTATGGGCTATTTTTAGGGAGTTGACAATCATATTTACAGTACATCCTTAAGGTGTCTTGTTTTATTGTAATCACGAATATGTTTTTTCTTAATTAAACTGGCATTTATATCTGATCGCTGTACATTAAATGTTGATACGCTTTGAAAACAACTAAAAGTACATCATTGTCTGCTCGAACAAAGTAACCTAACTTCTTTCTCGAGCAATATGTTCACAGGGCACCGCCTGCTTCATTTCATAATTTTGAATTCAAATTCAAAGATATTGAAATAGAATGTTGTAAACGTAATAAGTAAATGATGGAGAGCACCAAAATCACAATCCATAAAAAGAGCATACTCAGGTATATGATCATTTTACGTCGAGTAAAGTTAAGTATCCCTAATTTTGTATTACGTGAAAGTTGCGTCCCATTAAGTGACGCTCTTCACACGTTTCTCCCTTGCATTGGACCGTTTTCTTTAGGCCCATCGCGCGGTGCGCCGCGTCCTCTAATTCCCAGCTTCCGCTGCTCAAGCTGTCGTCTCCCGTCCGCACTCCTTCGCCCTACCCTCGCGCGCTCTCGAGTCCGTATTCCAGTGCTCTCGAATCCATTCAGAACGTCAGGGAAATGAGCGCTGGCCCCAGTGACGCAAGCGCAGAATTGATGCTGGGAGGGGGGGTTGCAAAATCCCATCGTGGGGAGAGTAGGCACTGCAGCGTTCTCCATTTTATTATTGAAGCGGTTAATCATCGCGTTTCCGTCTTGAGAGAGTGCATGGGCAGTCCCGTTCGAAGAAGCAGGGAAGTATGATGCTTAGAGTATGATTTATTTTGTCGTGCACTTGACGTAAATCAGCTGTTGCTGTTTCAACCAGAGCTTATATGGCGTTACAGTGACGTCACTATGGGGACGTTCATGCTCCCGATTGAATGAAACCGTATACAGCTGATTTACGTTCAAGTGGCACGGTAAAATGATCCTGAGTATTGTTCGGAACTCAAAATTATGCTACATTCCAAGGTTCGACACTTCGTCTTTAAAATGTTTTCAACCGTGTACTACGTCGCATTGAGGAACTATAAAAACGTACCATTTAATCTTTCTTTGGAAATGCAATGGCAATATAGGACGTTTGTGCTATGCAATCCCTTCGATATTTTACGATATACAAACAAGTTGTTGTGAGTTTTGAACGGCCGGGTAATATGCGAAGGACGTACAGCATGTTGTGCACTGTGTGGACCGGGTTGGGGTGGGGGGGAATACGCCCCTCCAAAGGAATAAGTTTTCGTTTACTTTCCTTTATTTGGCAAATTAAATTAAATATTTATTTGTATCTCGAATTATTATAATCATTTAAGCATATAATATTGAAATTGGTATCATATCAACAGTAATAAATAAATATACATATAATAAATAATTTTATTCAACAAAAACTACATTTGTCCCCACAAAATGATCGCTGGATCCGCTCCGGTCTTGGCTGCGGCCTTCCTAGGTAACAAGTCCTACGTTATTAGATAAAAACTACCAGATCCCAGTGTAATTTTTGTAGACAATTTCGTGCACAACTTCATTGGTTTGAGAATGGGAAGTAAAAAGTTGTATACATTTCTGTTGGATGTAGAATATACACAAACAACGTTCTTTTAAAATTCTATTTTCATTAGCGTTCTACGGTGTGAAATTTCATTTTCGTATATTATTTTAATTTCCAAAGATATCGCTTTAGCAACAGCCATCAAAATACTCCATGGGATCAAACTGTAAGAAAGCCCTCATGTTATTGTGACCCCGCTAACGTTTGTGCGAACAGGCTTCGCTGGTCCTTGAACCGGCTATGCGTCACCCACTCATTTTCTGTGGTCTGGCAATCGCCTCTACCCCTCCCCTCTCACCACCAAATACATATATGATGACTCAGAAACTATAATGCTCTCGCATCTAACTGGCGCTCTGTACAATGTGTTTTGCGATGTTCGCTTTCATTGTTCAGGCGTTTGAATACAACTCTCTTGGGCCAACCTATGACTTGATGTTCATACCTGGAATGGAAGACTGGAAGACATCGTGCTTTTCCGCTTTTAAACATCCCACTCAAATTTGCTCTAGGAACCTTTCCAACATCTATCATATTTGTTCTTTCTTGAGTGGTTTGAGCGATAGTGGTATTTACTTACTTGTAGAGCGGATAATTTCGGGAGATTTTTCTGGGTTTTAACCTTAAACACTGCAAGCTCGTGACAGCTCGAATGACTATAGTGAGATTTTTCGTACTTTACCCCTGGCAGGTATTAGCTGTTGTCGGTTTCATCTAATCGGGAGGTTGAACGTCACTGTAGTGACATTTACACTTACATTGGCAACAAATGTTGGACGTAGAAAACATTGGATGAAACTGTTAACAGCTGATTCCTGCGAAGGACACGGTTAGAAAAATCCCACTGTAACAGACGTTTGGCCGTTGGAAACTTCCCGAGTTTCTTCTTCTTCTTCTTCTTCTTCTTCTTCTTCTTCTTCTTCTTCTTCTTCTTCTTCTTCTTCTTCTTCTTCTTCTTCTTCTTTTTTGTTGTTGTTGTTTAAGGTCGCATCAACTACTAGGTCATTAGCGACCACTATTGCTTGTAACGGTATAGTAACTGTGGGTTGACACGATAATGATGATGATAGGGGGTGAAAGGACGAAACACAATACACCCATGCCCGAGGCGGGACTCGAACCCGCGATCCTTCGGTCCGAGTCCGCTATGGCACTACTGGCGACAGCTCACTATGGCACAGCCTTAGCGATCTCGGCCACTTCCCGAGTTTCGTTCGTAGTCGAATCCGCGATTCAAGAGGTGAACGACCCTGGGCCACAGTGCGCTTTTCAGTGGCAACTTCAAATGGTAGAAGTTCATGCGAGTGATCTTGAACCCTGCAACCTCGTCAGTAGTGGTGATTACGAATAGCAGGGGTAAGAGTTTGTCTAAGGAAGGAGCTAACTTGGCATATGCATTTGCGTAGGCAGCGATCAAAGAACGGAAAAACAAATTTAGTAAGAATACCTTTACGAAACCAGAAATTGTTCAGAATTATTTGGATTGAATTTCTTAGGAGTAATTTTGCTAATAAAAATAAAGGACAGTTTTAACATCTGAAAACTGTGCTAGTGTAATTTGAATATATTTCTTACAGGTGTTTTAAACATTTTTGCTTCTATTAATACTATCACCGTTACGTTTTTATTCTATCAGCTGTCGAAGTTCCAATTGAGTAAAGACAGCTCATTTATGAGATGCTAACAGATGACGGTGGACTTAATTGTTTTTTTTATTTAATTAGTTGTAAAAATAATTTTTAACCATGGACATTGTTCTCGCCCTCACGTACCTCTATTGCATTTTTCCCCCGTACGTCCCTGTTGCCCTACCTTCGACCGATCAGCTCAACCACTTGTTTTAATGAGCGATACTTCCCAGACGTTCTTCTGGTGCACGCTTCATCGCGCTTCATTCGTAGAGAGAGATTGCAAAAAAAACGACCACCTTGACAACTACTGCTTGGCCACTGCTGGCAACATACCTCACGATTTATTTAGTAGTGCACTTGACGTAAATCAGCTGTTGCGGTTTCATCCAATCGGGAGCTAATATGTCTCTGTGGGGACGTTCAAGTTCTGATTGGATGAAACCGTGACCAGCTGATTTACGTCAAGTGCTTGGTTAAATAAAGCCTAGTATAATTGCAGGTTGTGTCCAAGCACTAATTTTGTCAATGCGTTCGTTTTCAGTTAGCTCATTTGTAAATGGCTTCATCACTGTTTCTTTCAATGTCTTCGCCCTGCATGACGTTCATTTACTTCCCGACGTGCCGAAGTGGCCCCTTCTTAGATTAACGCCATAGCTTCTTGCGTTGTCGTTCGCAATAAATTCGCATGCGTCTGCCCCCCTCCCAGTGTTCCTGAGGAAGGGGGAGATGGACGCGAAATGCGTCGTAGACGGCGCGCGTGCGGAACGGAGCGACCGCGGCGCAGCGGTCCCATTGTGGCGGCTCGCGGGCGCGGAGGCTATCGCCGCGCGCCGATTAGGCCCCTGCCCCGCCCTCTCCCGCGCCGAGCTCAACCGCGCGGCTCGCCGCCGCCGCCGCCGCCGCCGCCCCCCGCCCGCGCGCGAAGGCCGCCGCGCTGCCTGGCGCGCGCCGCGCCGCCAGAGCGCGCGTGGACTGGAGTGCTGGCAGCGCAGCGCCCCCACATGAGGCGCGTGCAATCGGGGCTCTACGCCTTTCGAGCTGAGCGTACAGAGAGCGGGCAAGGCGTGGAATTTGCGGACGAAGCGGTTTCTTTAGGATTCTCTCGCTTCGCTTCTCGCTTCGTACTTATTGCATCAACATTGTCATCAGCTTGTCGAGTCCTTGACCTAGTATTTGGAGTACAGATACAGCGGAATATAAAATAATATTTATATCTTGATAATGACGTCAAACTGCAGATTTTCACAATAATCACAGAAAATGAAGTGTTAGTGTCTCATAGGTCTGTCGTGTCAGACTTTTAAATAGCCAGTAATTCTTCAGTTGAATGTCCGTGTTAATGTTCAATTCTTTCTAACACTTCACAACTTGTTCACATAAATTAACTGCCTAGTGAAAATGCCAAAATGCCATCTTTGTATTATTTTTCTTGATAGTAATGATGCTTATGAGTTGTCATTGTAAAGACAGCAGCAGCCGCTTTCACCTTCTACGAGATCCCTTTCACCACAAACTAAAACCATTGAGCGCTGACGGCGAACAGTCGATTCTTTGGAAAAGCGAGTAGGCAGTAGGTCTTCTTGGAGTTCTTTGGTTTCTCGATACCCCATTCCTGCTTTCTCGGTCTTTTAAATTATATCAACTATTCATCAAAATAGGTGTTACAGGTTTCACTGATAATGATTAGGATCTGAATACGAGAATAATAATACAGATAATTTCCCCACATGTGAAATTGAAGGAATTAGTGAATGATTATGCCACTAAATTTTGAGTAAATAATGTTTGAAGTGGATTTCTCTGCATTTTCATATAATTTCAAGTACATTCTAATTATATTACAATGAAAATCTACTGTTGGTTTGCAAAGAAACACCTGAATAAATTTCAAACCTTATTTATTCCAAATGTTGTGCAAAGAAACTCCTTCAGCCACCAAAACAGTCAATATCTTCTGCAGTTTCGTCCGCGTCTATTCGCGGTGTGGCGCATTGTGTTTGGAGGAGAGGGCCGGGGGGGGGCGGAAAGGTCTCAGGTGTGCGCCACCGCCGAGTGTGCGCTTCGCGGAAAGCGATCGCCTGCCCCACGCACCTGTTCGCTCGCAACGCAGGCTCCTCTCACACAACACACACACACACACACACACACACACACCAGGGTGAAGGACGTCGGCAGGCTGACGCGCGTATGAATACGCGATGCGTATTCCCCCAAGGTCGCTGGCCACTGGGTCACGCACTCCGGTCCCGTTCCTTTGTTTCCTTCTTTTGCAATTCATTAAATTTTTCACTCACTTTTAACGCGCGCTCCGACGATGGATTTCACTCTTAGAACTATTTTAAGAGTGAAATCAATTAACATTCACGACTGCTCCGGTCCCGACCTTGCCTGATTGCAAAACAATCTTCAGTTTTATTAACAGTGTTTTGAGTTCTTGTTTTGTTTTTAATTTTGTTTTATTGCTGTAATTGAATAATTAGTAAACTGTAATTCACGGAATCTTTGAATTCGAAGCGAGTCGAAACAAATTGTAGCGTTCGTTTTCATTTGAATTGCCTTAATTGAAATGTGGCTTATTTTTTTCGTTAAATTGGGAAAATCGTGCCACGTTGTAAATTTCAAAACATAATTTTGAAGAAATGGAAAAACTAGTGATCAAGAACGTATATTTTTATTACTCTTATAATATTTCCGGACCCCAGCAGATGTGTATATTATTTCTTCTAAATTTATTTTCTCTTGCGTTTACCCGCTATCGCTAAAAAAAGTGCGAACACATGCTTTGCTTCATCGAAGCTCATGCCAGTTTCAATTTTACTTTCTCGCTTTGGAGTAGAGAGAAAGTTCTGTAATGCTGCGCGAAAAAAACGGCGAATTTTGGGCAGAAAAATGTATTGCGGGGCGCTGGTAACGAAAAAGTGTATACACTCGGTTGCTAAATTTAGAAAAAAAATCCTTTAACACGTTGTGCAGCCAGAATCCGTGTTTTGTGGGTTCTTGATACAGAAAAATGGAATGAAGGCAAAACGCCCGCTCACCCGTGAACAATGTTAACGGCTAAATCTTTCCGCCGATTTTCTGTGAAATTGCTATTCCCCAATCGATCGGCTGATGTCACGTCCCGCTATTTTAATTTGGGTGGGGATTTACTTACCATGAAGCCCATGGGACATTGTCTAAAAATGGCTCCATCGTTTTTTATTAAATTTTGTTGTTGGATAGTGTGAAGGTTGTGTAAGATTATGGCGCAGTCATTTTCGTTAAAAACGTGATTTTCAAAAATTCCAAAAATTTTCAGCGTTTTGATACAATTACGATTATGAAGATAGTTTTCCCTTAATGAAATCAGTTCCTTAAAGATATATTTTGGAAATAAGGTCATGTACAATTTTTCGAAAATTGGAATACTTTTCGCGTAATTTTGCGTGAAAGTACGGGTGAGAAAATTCGTGCTGTTTTAACATTCGTTGTTTGTTTGTTTTTTGTTTTTTTTTTTGTTTTTTTCTTCTTCGTTTCTGGTATGACTTATATAAAGAAGGTCTAAGAAGCATGGGTTGTTGTCTCGTGGCGTGCTGGGAAATCGTAATTAGATTGTAATATTTCTACAATCATCAATTATGACACGACAATTTGTCATAACGCGATGTCAATTTCACTATCAGACACAGAACATTGTTACCAAATGGTAAACAGAATAGTTTTGCACAAGAATAATACTGGACGTAGTTGTTAGTAATAATACATACAGACCATAATAGTTAATATTTAGGTCGAAAATTGACGTTTGTCTCGTTCACTTCACTTCGCCGCACTGCGTCATACGACAGTTTCACATTGCAGTATGGTTTGCTCGCCTAACATAAATCAGATTAGATTAATAACCATGCAGTGTGATATCAATTATTCTCACGATCTTCGAAAGTTCTGAGTTAATTTAAAAAAATCAATTTATGATTCGTAATGTATAGTTTACCCTGGGTCGCACTCGCAATCGCAACTACCGGGCCCCCGTCACAAACTCTACGATCCCGGTCCTGACTATCTTCTGCTGTCGCAACGGCAAGCTCGAATTTTTGCAGGACGCAAGCAGCGAGCTTGCTTTCGCAGTCTAGACAGAGACTGGTCCTACCGCTATCCGCGTGTCCCTGATTTGATTGGAAACATACTTTGCTTCGTAGTAGTTGGTACTGCGTGCATTTTCTGGCACGATCCCAGCCTGGTTGCGAGTGCACTGGTGAGATATGCGCCGGTGGATTTCAATACAGCTGGCTGGAGCAAGAGTCGTGTGTGATTCAGCAGCAGGATTGGGTTGATCTGTGCGTTTATCCTTGGTCAAAAGGATCGTTCCTTCCCCTTCCCAAACAAGTGTTTTAGTAATTGACTTCCAGAAAACTGTTTTTTATCGTTTCTGCAGTACAGTACGAATATTAGCTTTAGGAAATTACCTTTAATTTTGGCCTATTTTAATTTGACTGCCTTGTAAACTTAATAATCCTTATTTTTCTATTGATTTATCTTACAGAATTTTGATGTACGTTTAAACCAGCATAAAGCTTTTTCGCCGCATTGCTGTCATCTTTTTATTCTGAATTAAAACGTATATAACCAAACTACGTTTTGTAATCATTTTGATACCATTCTGCAGTGATTCTGAATTAAATACTATATTACTGTATTTTGTTTCCATCTAGAGAACACTTGCTTAAATAGTCCAATAGACAGCTGTTACACATATTCTCCACGTGTTTTGTGTCTGATTTATCGTTTCTTATGAGCGTCTATTCCCCGAGAGTTAGAAATCGATAGCTGTTGAAACTGATTTCCTTAAAACGTTTTAGTTTGTTCGCTGTATCAAGTTGTTTTAACACCTTTGATATTCTGTATTTTAAATCAATATCGAGCTGACATTTTGGCTTGCGGAAATTTGAAATATTTGATATGAGACAATTGCATTGTTTCAAATCATTGCCCAATAGAGTCGCGAAGACCTTCCATAAAAAACAAATGTTTCTACAAAATTGAAACTAGAACTTGCATACGTTCATTGCGTGCACTCGTTTTGTAAGTATTAATCGAGCGTAAAGTGCAACCATGACAAAAGGTTGGAAATTTTTTTTCCTGGATGGAATTTGTTACATAGAATTGCGTTACGAATGACGCATTGTATCTCCTTTCAGAGGAGCATCCCGGACATGAATCAGTAACGTTTGTTTCAACACTAGACATACGAAGCATCATGGATTGATAGCTGAGTTAAAACCTTGGCAGCGTTATTCTCAATTATTGCCTTAGCATTTAGCAACCTGTTGTTTGGCTTCTGATTCGTGGGTACTGCATGTAACTGATGGTGTTATTGAATGGTACCGACTTTTTCGTACTAGTCTAGACTGAATTTTCGGTTTTTCCCTAATGCCTTGTCAACTATCATCTACTGACGCTTCAAAGAGGTTTATCTCAATTTTTGGATCCCTGATAGTAGAATTAAAATGTTCGGAATATTTTAGAACAGTAAAATGTGGTCTTATATGTTCATTTTAATGGACAATTTTGACGCGTTTTTTAAAAAAATGTAGTTCGAGCGGTTATGAAAATGCGAAATATGAAGCTCATTTTCCCGAAAATCTTAGGAGTTTTCCAGAAACTTCTTGTAAAGCAATTGTACTCGCATAAGCAATAATGTATACAAATTGCCGGTAGTAAAAATATTAAGGAAGTGAGAGAGATTTAAAAAAATACATTTTTGAAGAAAAACAATAACAAAATAATACTGCAATTGGTGTTACAGACTACTAATATCCTAACAGACCTATCGTACTAGTAATATGCCGAGTTCAATCATTTGTCTCTGACGACATAGAATGCAGAGTAGGCTTTCATCAAAGATGTTAGGAACTCTTTCTTTCTTTTTTTTAGAACAAGAAATGCATTTTAAAAAATTAAAAAAAAAAATTCTGTGAATAACTACTGAAGAAGAAAAGAAATCCTTAAAACGTAGAAATGAATGACTACACTACATATTTTCTGGTTAATTTGTCTCTGTTTTTAGTGATTTTAAAATGACTGTCTAAAAAATGGGGGGGGGCAAAAAGGTTAAAAATTTACAGGATTCTAATATTAAAAGGCGAGTCATTAAAGCTTTTTGATAATGTCTACCTCTGAGGCAGATATTTCCACAATGGCGAAAAAATCATTTTCCCCGTAAGAGTTAAGTCAACCAGGGTAGTTTTGTGTTATTATTCTTAATTTCTTCTCCCCGAAATGTTCTTACTGAAGCAAATTTGCGAAGGAAAGGAATTCAGATCTAGGTGTTTTAAACATTAAATTTGGTTTCATTTTTACTATCTAAATTGTGCTTGATGAAGCTTCAGAATGAGGGTATGGAGAAGAACACTGGCGAAGCTAAGTGACTTCCTTGTCGTTAATTGTTACGTAGGTGACTTGACGTGCGTCATTGGACATGCTCACTTGAGTGATCGTGAGAAAAGTTATGGAAGAGCCCGCATGCTGAAATAGAGATGACAGGTGTGTGTTTGTACCTACAATTCGATATTGTAATAAAAATTAGCGGGCTTAAAATTATGGCAATGGATTGTGGAAAGGGAATATACGAAATATGTGATTTTCCTTGTGAAAGTTGAATACGAAGTTTTCGGAACACTTCCTATACAACTTAAAATACTTTTCAGTGTGTGGCAGAGGATGCTTTCATGAAACTTTCGGGTTTAATTGCAGCAAGCTGAGATGAGAATGATTTTTATGGACTTTTTGTATCTCATGATTTATGTTGGAAAATCCAATTGAAATAGTTGTTTCTGAATATTTTTGTATTCGTACTAGATTGTGTAGCATTAGATAGTATGGTCGGAAATTGTGAAGTTAATTCTGCTGTATTCTATTTAGTATCTGGCCTTTTCTAAAGTTATACTAAGAACTTTTCTAAAGTTAGACAGTATACTGTTCTAGAGTATTTTGGATATGGCAAAACACAATTGTAAGAAATTGAAACTTATATTGATTCAGACCCATCAATAGAATTTATTTTACTGTGTTATGTTTTTTATAAACTTGTAATTTTTGCAGATAACACATTAACTATTGACTCGTTAAAGGGGTCTTCGTGTACTTCGACAAATTGGGGAATGTAGAACCCATTTGGTGAACATTTATTCTATTTATACATGGTTATTTCAGTAGTCCAGTCACGAATTTATGTCCTAAAGTTGGATTCTGACAAAGAGACGAGTATCGAACATAATGAAATATTGAAATATGATTCTGATGTTATTTTTTAAAATTCTTCAAGAGTTCTTTAACACTCTTGCGACATGTCGCAGTACAAAAGACACCAATAACAATTGATTATTTTATGGAATCATTTGTGTTCACAAGAAACGATATGATTCACTGGAATCAGAAAAAAGGTGTTGAAAACTTGGCAGTAGCACTTGTTTGTTCAGTCATCTCACCCTGGAAAATTTGTATGATCAGCGTGATTGTGTGACACGCGTTCACATACGAGTACACCGTAATTTTAGTATTCGTCAACGGAAGTCGAACGAGGAAACAGTTGTCCGAAAAAAGGGAAGAAAAGGCACTAAAAGTGAGTCGGCATTCCAGGAACGTTTAGAGGCTGGTAGAGGTTGAGTGTGTCCCTCCCCTTCGCCCTCCTCTGACGTCAGCGTGTGCGCTAGCACCGACTGCGCTTTGAGTAGGCGCTTGCCGCCGCCGCCGCCGCCGCCGCGAGCGCGGTCTTTCCGCAAACATCGCGTGCCAAGTGCAAGCCCCGCTGGCGGTCGCGGTGAGCCCGTTGCATCACCGCGCTCGAGGATCGATGCGAGGACGTCTGCTTCGCGCCCGAATTTCCGGTGGTGGTGCACCGTGATGGTCTTTTGCAACGTCTTGCTGAGTCTGTTCGTTGTTGGTTTATCCTTGTTAAGGGAATGCGTGATGGCAAGAAAATACTAGGCCGAGCTACCTTACCATCCGAAGTAATATTATTTCGTGGGTTGTGGTGATAGTGTTACATATGGACGTCAAAAAAATGTTACGCTTTGGGGAAAGAATTATTTTCGTGAAATAGTCGATATTTGTAATTCCTTAGTGTAGTGTTTCTATAAAATTTGTCGAAGAAGTGATTGAAAACCACGAATTCTGAGCTTTCTAAACATGATTTTTTAAATCAGTCTTTAACGTGAATGTTAATGTATAGAATCAATGTTTACATTGTAATATTTTGAAAGTACGTCCGTTGCATTATTGCACAGTTGCATTGGTGCAACTGTTCGACTTGGACATTAGAAATTAATATGATGGCGATAATTCTTATGTGCTTTCTTGTTTCCTAATCCGTGAATCAGATGATGTGTCAGGTCCAGTATTAGATGTGAAGAAGAGACTTTAAGTCCACTACTTGATTCGATGTTTGTATTATATACGTCTTGAATTTAAAAAAAAAAACTTTTAGAAATAGCTTTAAAATAAACTTTTAACAAACTGTCCCATGTATTTCTGCTATAATACAATTTTAAACTTACGATGCTGCATATTCGTGACGAAAGATTACCAACGCGAAGTTTGCCATATTATTATTATTATTATTATTATTATTATTATTATTATTATTATTATTATTATGTAATCCAATGCATAGTAAGATTTAAGTACGAAGTGAATAATTACGTTTTTCTCTGACTTTCTTTTGCGTGGCGTGACTTGTCTCCACTGTTAGGTCGCTAGCAAGTTTTTGAAATTACTCGTTCGGATGAAGAGGAAAATGAACCTACCGAGAGTTGAATCCGGACTTTCTTGGTAATCTTGCTCGCCATAACGAATTGGACTTGCGTGATTGGCATGTAAGAAGAGCTGGTAGCGGAGCGGGCCGGTGGACGGGTGGGTGAGCGGTGGACCGTGGGCGCGTGCCCGGTGGGCGGCGGCGGGCAGTGGCTCTTCTCGGAACCGATGGCTCAGAAGCGCTGACCACGCGTTCCACTTGCGCCGTGCGCTTGGCCGCGCGACCCAGCGCATTCCTTCCCGAGGGGGCAGAGGCGCCCCGATAAGCGCCCCGGGAGGCGCGGCGGCGGGAGATGGACGCGTTTCCGGAACACTCGTTTCTTATCGGCTTGATTCATTTTCAGGGCGAGGTCGCGCATTTGATGTGCGAGCTGGATGTCATGTGTTTTTGGACCCACTAACTTATGTGATACAAAAAGACAAATTTGTCACTATTGAAGAAAATCACTCTTTACTTCAACTCAATTTTCACATTTAAATTTGCATACATTGAAAAAATATTTTTGAAGTTTTGTTCTCAAAATTGTCAAAAACTGCTTCTTTCTCCCCGTGCCATCTGAAACTTTTTTCCCCCGAAGGTCTTTCTTCAGTTTTGAGAAGAGGTAGTAGTCGCTGGGTGCCAAATTTGCACAGTAGGCCGGATGACCCAACTGCAAAGCCACAGTCCTATTGTGGTGCCAGACACCATGAAATCTCTTTAGCACTGTGTGAAATCTCTTTAGCACCTAGGGCTGAATCTTGATACCAGACTAAATTGGAAAAATCACATAACACTAAAAGCACAGCAAGCCAAAATAAAATTAATTCAACTAAAGCCACTCTTAAATCGCAATAGTAAGCTCTCATTAAACAATGCCATCACCATCTATAAATCAATAATTAGACCCCTAATGCTTTATGCATGCCCTATCTGGATCAATGCCTCAAAAACTAATATTAATAAATTACAGATCATCCAAAATAATTTCCTCAGACTTGCCACTCATGCACCCTGGTTCATCTCAAACATTCAACTGCATAAAGAATTTAATTTACCTCCTATACTTTACAATATCGCGCTCCTATCTAACAATTTCTTCTCCAAAATAAAAACAATAACCCAAGCCACCCACTACGGGCTAGCCACCACCTACCAGCTCCCAACAAGAATAAAAAATAGATATCCATTAGATTCATTCCTCAGCATATTTTCAGAAGTCAATTAATCACATGGTGCTATGTGAGTTTCCTATTCCTGTGTAGTTAGATTTAGTTGTAAGATTAGCATTTAAGTTAAATATAAGTCATAAAAAATACATATGATGTAGTATAAATAATACTGAACTATGTATATTCGTTCACTAATAAAGAATATTATAAAAAAAAAGCACAATGTTCAGCTCGAGCTCCTCTCTCTACAACACTGATTGATGTGACTGTCGCAAACTTATACCACTACAATAATGAAAGATAAGACTATCTACCAGCCGGAAGATTTCCCCATTCTTTGGCGTTATCTTGGCGAGGGGGAAACCTGGAACCGCCTTCGGAGGATCTCTTCAATAGGCGCCGGTTGCGTGTCTAATGTGGTGGCATGTCCAATGCATGATCCTTTGAATGAGACGTCTCATCCAAAGGTGATTTACGAGAGTATCGCATGGCGAGAATAAATTGACTTGGTGGAGGTCTGGGAAGGCTAGGGATGCTGGTTTATGTGATTGGATAATAAAAAATACACTAATCAACGAAATATCGTCTGATTTATTGGTCACTTCCAAATTAATTGAGGAAAGGGACTAGATTGAAATGTTTGTTAGTGTCGACTGGGACTTATTTGTATTATTTCACTGTTTTAAATTAGTTATATCTTTGAATTTGTTCTTGCGAGTTGTTATAAATGTATTTTCCTATAAACTAAAGCTCAAGAAGAATTACGTGTAACCCCGGAGCCCTGTCTTCACCGTGCCAGATAAGTGTATACAGAAATTGTTATCGACAAACGTTTAATGTGACTGGTGCAACCAAGATCTGGGTGCGTTTTAATGCACCCAAAGTGAACAGGTCTTTTATCGTTGTACAACCTGTTTTCGCGATTCGTAATTATTTTGGAGAGATGTTCCATATGAAAACAGGGCTATTTGTACTGTACTATTCCGTGGTAGAATCCGCTAGTCTTTTTTAAGTACAATAAAAAAGTATCTATCTTCGAGTTATGAAAATGAACAGTATGATATTTAGGGAAGCTAGCCGAGGATTGAGCGACATTTATCCATGCGTTATCTCATTCACATTTGACAGATTGTGACAAGCTCTTTGTCAGACGTTTTCCACTATTAAGACTACCAGAGAATTATGTGCAGCGGTGAAAGTTAGTGAAAAAAGAACCATTGCCCTGTATCGTATATATAGAAGGGAGCAGAAAATGTATGGTCGTGCGCAGCCCTGCGTGTTGTGTTTTGGTCGGTATCAAATGTACGAGTCTTCCCTTCGTGAAACATGTTGTGGGGATGGGGAGTCCGGACGGTTGTGCTGTGCACCGGTGCGAGCAGGAAGGGTGGGGGGCGGAGGACAGGCTGACGTCTCCAAGGCCGCCCGCGCGTCGCCACAATCACCGCTGCCGTCGCCACTTCCTAGCCGGCGAGCGACGCGGTCGGGTGGCGCGCGACGCCGCCCCCGCAGGACGTTCGTTGGCACGAGACGTATGCGTCTCCCCCACTCGGTCTCTCTCGCTCCCTCCCTCAGTAACTCACTCACTCGGTCGCTCCCTCCCTCTCTCAGTCCCTCATTCACTTACTCGGTCGGTCGCTCCCTCCCTCTCAGTCCTTCATTCACTTACTCGGTCGGTCGCTCCCTCCCTCTCTCAGTCCCTCATTCCCTTACTCGGTTGGTCGCTCCCTCCCACCCTCTCACCCTCCCTCCCTCACTCGGTCTCTCTCGCTCGCTGTGTGCTATCATATTATATTATACAATACTCTGTTTTGTAAGTAGGACTGCGCTATAATTCCCTACCCCGCAGTTCCACCCACTTACAGGATTTTGTGTTCGACAATTCCTAAATAATTGCTCAAAAAAACTTGCTTGCGCGTGTTTATCTTTGCATGTGCGTATGCGTTTTGTGTGGCGAGAGAGAGTTCTAAATGCTTTAATTGTTATATAACTTGTAAGTAGATGTATTGTTTAATTCTAAATATGCCTTTAAGAAGTATTGTACGTCAGCTTCTGGGTCAATGGTCCCCAATTTGATCCAGTTTCCCTTAATGTATTGAGGAAGTCCTTAGATGGTCCCCCTTTTTTTATTCTGGACAAGAATATAGCTATACGAATCTCACAATTTATTGATTCTCTTGTGACGATGAATTAAATCAAATAGATTCAGTCTCTCGCCTACTCACGCACTCTCATTCCTTTTTCTCACACACGGTCCCTTTCATTCACTCAATTACCTTTCTATATCGGCGCTGGAGCTTGGCTTAGACCACATGTCTCGACCTCATGAAAAAGTAAAAATAAGCTTTAACTTCATACGTCACACACAGTTTTTGTAACGGTTTTTGACATTAAATAAATGAGAAGATGCTCTGTCATCTCCGGTAACATTTTGCAAGATGGAACTAGTATTTTAGTATTTCATTGCGCGAATAATTGTCATGTGTCCATGGAGAGTTTCTACATCGAAGTAAGGAATTTGTGGGGGAGGGGGGGTACAGTGGTAGTAGCGAGCTCACTTGTTTTCTTATAATTTTTCATGAATGTATAATCCTAATAAATTGATGTATTGAATGACATAGAAAATTGGTATAACATTCTATAGCTAAGTCACAATCCTCAGTCTCCCACCTCCTAGCATTACTTCTGCAAGGGAAGAGCTATTACGGAGATTTAGCGCCAGGCGTAAGAAATCCTTAAACACAATTGATCTCATGATTTATTCGTCGTCCATAAAATGCATAACGCTAAAGAGGAGGGAGAGGATTTGAGGCAGCGTTAAGGTCGCGTTAGTTAGGGGGTAGGGTGTATTTCGTTTGTGTTACGTACCATCGGTATTTTTTTATAGTGTTGGCCTTTAACTGAAATAATTTCCTTTTGGAGTATTATAATAAAACATTAATATAGCACCTGATTTATTTTTTTTAAATATAAATAAATTAGTTATTAGATGTTACAGCTAATGGAAATATTTTTTATTGAATCTATGAAATAACGAAGAAACTATTGAAAACTGATAGTATTAAGTATATTCTAGAATCGAATGAAGTTGTTGCAGTACTCTCTCGTCCATGCGTCATCCACGACAGCGTGAGCACGACTTGTGTTCAGAAATGTTCGTGCCTATGCCTTAACTCAAAACTTGCCCCAAATCTTAGTTGGGTGCAGTCAACATCGCCAACTAATTTAGAGATTAATTACCATGAATGTTAATATACATCACAAATAATATGAATACAAATTGTTTATTTTATGATTGTTTATGATTAAAGCGCGCGTTATGGGTGCGTTATAGGGAGGGAGAGGGGTATACAAAATACTGAATGTGCTTTACGTAATTTATGGATGGTCCCTAACGATGTTAGAGGTCGTAAAGAACAACATTCAGATGAGCTTTGATAAGTGCCACATTGCGTTGCATGAGTGCCACATGCATGCGTTGTATTACAACAGTAAAAGAATTTCAAGCGTTGATATCAGAATTTCATACTGTATCACAGACTAGATAATTAGTGACCCCCTTGAACGACGGATCGAGTAAACTAATGATAATCATGTAAGATATTTTAGATGTTTTTGGCCCCGCGCGAATAGTACTTTATCGTCTGAGATTTGGAATTGACTTTTCTTGAATATATGGAATAACAGCATACGTTATGAGCTTAAGACGAAACTCGAAGATATGGTTTCATCTTTTTCGCCAATATCTTACCGTTTGCATTTTCAATATTTTTAGTGAAATCCTGCCAGAGTTTGGTAACGAATTATTGTAACTGCCTCTCATGCGAGAATCAGTTAATTAGAGTTGGGAAAACGCTACCTAAAGGTGGCTATTGTGCCGTTTCAAAGGTGACCGTACGGATTCCTACAGGCATGCAGTATTTCTGAAGGCATGTCATGCCTTAAAGCTTAAGGCGTGAAATTACAACTTTAAAGACGGTTAGGTGACGCCACGCAACGCGTAAGGCACCGCTATTATTCACGACCGCCCTTAAGTTATGTCTTGCCTTAAGCGTAAAGCAAAAACTTCATATTCTCAAGTTGTTTCTTTGTGGCCCCCAATTTCATAACCGTTAACTTACTCGCAGCTGAATGCATCTTCCTGGAAGTCTATCTTTGTCATCTCCAACAGCCATCCGGTGTGCCACTTCAACTTCCCATCCTGCCATCACCTACGCCATTAGCACCCTCTCCAGCGCCAACACGTTTTCGAGTTTGCAGCAAAGGAACTGTTGATTGTGCACCATGTACTTAGCTTCAAATAGAAATTACATACGGTTTTTATACATAATTACCATTATTTTGTAATACGTAACTCCGGACTCACCAGACTCTTAGACTAACTCTATACATAGACGGTGAATCACACTCTGTCGGTCACTCGCCTCCACGTTCCGGCAGGCTCCAGAACCCCGGATTCAGGAACGCACAACTGCCGAAAGTAGTTCTGTTCCAGCCTTTGAGGATCTTCTTTTGTAGGAGGATTGGTATTGAGCCTCATAATGTTAAGTCATACAGAGGAAAACGCGGACGTAGTAGTGACGTTAGGCGATTTTCTGATAAGAGACATCTGCCGACTAGCAGTTTCCCTTTTGGGGGAAATCCGCTTCGTGATTGCTGCAAATAGCGATGTCCCGAATCTTTGTGCCGTGAATCCCTGCCACAATGACGTCATGAAAGACGTGTAAGACGAATGGAAGGCCATTAAATTAATATTGTGAAGGAAGTATTTTGAAGCTAGTTGAATTAAACCATTCGGCAGTAGAAACGATTTCTGTATCCTTGTAAATGACATAAAGAATTTATGTATTAATATATATTTATATTTAGTCTTTAAATTAATGAAATCGGAAATAAAATAAATTCTATAGTGATGACGACTTACAAATTCTAGTGTTAATAAAACGACTACCCATTGGTAGGTCACCCGCTTCTCTCTCTCCTCTCTCTTTCTCTCTCTCACTCGCTCACACCCACACACACGCACGGACGCACTTCTAAACCCCAATGCGCTGGGTCTGCAATGAACAGTGGGTGAGTTTGCATGATCCCATTGTGGTCTGACGCTGCTGGTCCAGGAACCGGCCTTGCAGCGTTCCCTCCAGGTACGCCGACGGTGAATCACTCGCTGCCGGTCACTCGCCTCCAGGGTCCCGCGGGCGCCGGAACGCCGCCGCATTGTCTGCCTCGCTGCCCCACATAAACACGGCGCGCTGACGAAGGGAATTTGCGACGCGTGCTCGTTGATTCAGAACACTCAGACCTTTCTGCAAATAACATTAGTGCAGGGCAGAGTGTGCCTCGAGAATACAATTTTTACCCGGAAATAGTTCGATACGCAGGATACTGCACTGTCGCAGTTGTTATGAAAATGCTTTGTTCAGAAAAGGTTACCAACCGTTCTACAAAGAGCTACACCCGGCATGATAATTTGTGTTCTTGGTATGTCTGAAAATGTATTGCATCTGAGCTTTTAAAAATATTTGTTCTGTTCAAGCAATAAAAATCTGATCATGGAAGGGGGATTGCTCCGATTTCTAATCAGGGAGCTGCATATTTTATTTTGCAATAATTTTGAAGCCTTTCGAAAACATCTGTATTCCAGAAGTCTGTCAGTACATACAAATATCATGAAAACCGTATATTTTTCATGACATTTTTCGAGGCTGTTCATGTCTGCTTTTAAGGTTACAATAGTCGTATTTCCGGGTGGTATGTAGAGAATGAATATTGAACATGACAGAATAACGTGTGAATCAGAAGTCCGTGGTTCTAAAAAGGGGTAACCTCACGGTTCCATTAGTTATCTATTTGAAGACGAGTGTAAACAATGTTATAGTGAAGACTGAAAAAGTTTCTCTAGTGGAGAGTCAGATAGTACAGCAATGGTAGAATTGGGCGAGTGTAAGGAACAGAAATATTTCTGAAAATAATTGATAAATTATCTCTATTGTGTAAATAAATAGTTTGAAATTTCACTTGAAATAAGTTTCCCATTTCTAAATATAGAGAAGCCTGACGAAACGGCCATTTCGATTAAGCGTTCATCTCTATTAAAGGCCATTCTTTCATGGAACAGATCGATTTTACCATTAGTGTAAATATTCCCGCAATTAAGCGGCCACCTAACTCAACGGTCAGGCACATTTCTGGATTCGCGTCTTCACAAATTACTGACAGCCGTTTATTCGTTTTGATCTTATGTAATAAAACAGCGGACGATCGGTTGATATTACAGTTTATTCATTATCTTCCTGCGTCGGGACGTAATATAAAATTACATATAACTGTGAAACCATATTTTAAGAATATTGTAATGTTTTCTTTTCAAAATACCTGACTTTTCTTCCCTATTGGGAGTTGTACTTTTCCGTACTTGTTTTGAAAGTGTATTGTCATTTTGTCACCGGTCCTCGCAAATTCATCAACATGGTTGTGGAACATTAGTTTTTGTATATCTCAGTAGTTTTTATTTACATTTCTAAATGCGTATGAGATTTTTACGTAAAAATTATAATTTTTTAAATTTTGCTTTTACCTAGCTTTGGCACTTCCAATCTATTGTTTGAAACTTTGTATTTTTGGCATATTGGCTGTAACCTTCCCCATTAATCATCAACTTTGTTTACTTCATGGAAATGGCATAGTGTGTTCGGACAACTATTTTTCATTTATAGCATTATGCATTGGCGTCTCTGGTACGTAAAATTGTAGCAATCGAAAGGAAAATGGAAATAATGTGAATTAGAGTACTTCTACGGAATTTTAGTTTAAGGCATTACAATTGTTTAATGATTTATTGGTTAACAATGTGTGTTTTAAAAAAGATAACTTATGTCACGGCTGTTAATGAATTCAATAATAGTCCTTCATTAAAAAAATACTGCAGCCACAAAGAATACTGTGGGCGGCCACTGTGATCAGAGCACTAGTGTATCCGATTAATATAATCGTTCTCTACGGCAGTTTCAGTGGGAAACAATTTGTTTACCGGTCTCCTTAGTAAGTTATAAAAAAGCTTGTGTTGGGGGCTAGTCTTTCATCTAAACGCCAAGTTCGGGAGGTTTTTCCATAATTTACGTTCCTCGCACATTTTTGATGGTGATGATCAGCAAAAAAACATGTTCTCATTACTTTTGTTTCACTTTCGTTTCCTTACATAACATGAATGTATGGAGGAATAAGTTGTGTTAGGAAATGTATCGTTTAAAATTTTGCTGAAATTGTTTTGATGAAAATTAAAAATGAAAATATTGAAGGGACGTGACCCCACCAGAGACGCCCGTGCAAAAACCCATCTCTGTAGATGCAGATTCCTCGCAATTTGAGTCGTGTAAGTATACCCCGATTAAAAAAAAAATGACACTTCAAAGTCATGAGCTGGACGGAGAGATGGACACTGTCATGCATTCGGGAGCTTCTTTACGATTCCAATTTTACCATTCTATTTCCCCATTGGATGACATCGTCCTCATCTCCTTCCAGATAGTGACCTAGGTGCCACTACGTTTAAATCAGGGTATAGATGGCTCCAACGTCGTTCCCGAGAGTTTGAAGGAGCGCTGGGCTGAGGGACCTCTTCCGTCTCGTGTGCAGGAGCAGCATCGCGGCAGCGCCCATCCTGCAGCCGCGGCCGGGCTGCCCGCTGACGTCGGTGGTGAGGCCGACGCCCGCGGCGCGCTCGTCTCCGACGCCGCCTACGCCTCCACCCCCGCCTGCGCCCACGTCCGGCCCCGCCCCCGCTCCTGCCCCCGCCCCGGCGCCGCGCAAGGCGCTGGCCGCGCTGGCGACGCAACTGGAAGCGCTGGTGGGGGCGGAGGCCGTCACGGGGGCGGGCCACCCGGACGAGCGCCTGGTGCGGCTGCTGGCGCTGCAGAGGCTGCAGCAGCTGCTCTCCACGCCCGTCACCGCCCCCGCCCCCGGCCCGGCACCCGCGCCGCTGCCGCCGCCGGCGGAAGCATGCGCCGCCCCGCCGCCGCCCTCGCTGCCGCTGCCTCCGCCACCGCCGCCGCCCCGGGTGCGTGCGCGCGCCCTGCTCTGCCCGCTCACCGGCCGCGGCCCGCCCTGCGCCATGTCCTACCGCACGCTCAGCGTGGGCACCGGTGAGTCGCCGCGTCGGCGCTGCGCTTCCGCGTTCACGCTTCATCGCCCGCACTCCCTCGCCTGCCTACCTGACCTTCACAGAATCTCTCCTCAGCCTCGCTGCGTTCGTGTCTTTCAATTCTCCCAACTTCGCTAGTCTTCCTGCGACCTCCGTACATTGTCCCATCATTTTTCAAGATAGAGATAAATTTTCACACTCCCACTTTCTACTGGAAACTTCTTGTCCCCCTCTCTATTCTACTATTTTATTCGCTCTCAAAGTTTTGTTTCATACGTGAGAAGTATTACGAAATCTTCACCCTAGTGTCAAAAACAACAAAATAAAAACTCATGTTTTTCCTTAGCTGATGTATAAATCATGAATTATCTGTAATTTGAAGCTTCCATTTTCTTTTCGAAAAAAACAATTCCCTCAGCATAATTCCATCGCGTAACAAGTCGAGAGAAAGACATCGTTCTCGGGTAAATAGGAGCGTGTCCTTATATCGCCCGGCCTGAAATGTTTGGCGTTGATCCATCTTCTTCGCCATCCCTGAACCACGTCCCCCTCCTTCCCCGACGAACGAATGGATCGCGTCACAGCAGCCACCCAGTGGGGCTGAGCGCAGTGTCCTCGTGCAATAAATATCCGCTCTGCCCATCGTCTAACCATCACCCTTGCGCGGGCCCCGCGCCTGAGAAGCCGTGCGAGGAATCGGGCGAAGTGCGATTGCGTCGCGCTATTTCGGTCGCTCTGTTTCGGCCGCCCGCCCGCCCGCCACGTCGCTCAGCCGTCCCTTGCAGGACCACCGGTGGGCGAATGTGGGCGATGCGGAAGTTGTCCCGTTCGGGTGCGGGTGATTATTTGAACGGGCGTGTTCATCACCGAACGACGGTGCCCCTTAAAATATTTTAAAATTAAATATATAAGCACACAACTATATAAGAATAAAAGCCCTCAAAGTAAAAATGAAAATACACTAATACCCTCTTCCTAGTATTTAAAACATTATCGTAAAAATATTTTACATTCTTCCGAACTAGACTAAATTGTGTTAAAAAAAATAAGTGAAAACCCCTCTCCAGCAAATGATACGCATTCGTTCACCCGTGGCCCCGTTGAATTAATTGAGGTGGCATTTGTGAGGCCCCGCAATGATGGAATACTAATGTGATGACTACTGTTCGGTTGGTCATAAGTTGGATAATCAATGGAAATGATAAAATGTGTATGAATTTTTTTTTATTATTATTAAACGGAATGAGTTAAAACTCTTAACTACATTTAAAAAGAATAAATATTGAGCTCTACAAGTGTTCCATTAAAAAAATCACTAGGTAGACACTTGCAAAAGTCTTATCAAATATTATTGAATTAATTAGTCTTAACCCATCTTGATTATTTATGAACTCTGTCTCACTACATGTGCAGGAAGGCCTGGGTTCGTTAAATTAATAAAAGAACACAGGGAATGGGTTGTTTGAAGTATTTGAGGAGCCACCGCGAGCGACCACAAGAAAATGAAACAACCGACTGTTCGTGCGGGACAAATAGACAAATCAATGTGTAATTCTGCAATTTAGGTAGAGAATTTGGTGGCAGAATACGCTAACGTAACATTACAGAACTTAACAACTTTACAAACATTACTAACGTTACAAATGAACCTGAACATTTCACCGTGTAATCTTTCATAGCACTCCACTTCACCACACTTCACTTCACCGCACTGCAAATCACTGAGCTGTAATATATTTTTTACACACTCGTTCCCCTCGCTTTCACAACTCCAATGCACTTCCCGCCATTGCACTGCAAATAATCATAATAATAATAATAATAATAATAATAATAATAATAAATATAATAATAATAAAACTTAATTACATAGAAGTCGTAGTTACTTACACTGAATGATATTAAAGATATAACAAATGTATAGTTGTTTATTAGAATTTCTGTTAGAAAAGTAGAAAGGTAATCTCGATAGATGTATATCGACTTTCGTTCTTGTAACATGTTGCTAGATTGTTCATATCGTAAATAGAATCTCTTCATCCTTAAAAATGCCGACCGAAATTTCTAAAATAGCATTTCTTTCTTACCGGCTCTTTCAGTAGTTTTCGCCCTTTCTGGAAGGCGAATGTTTCCGCATATGACGCCACCCTTCGTAATGTCATACGTCAAGCAAGTTCGTGGGAGTCTTCTTTCTTTTATTTTATTCTCATTCTTGATGCGCCTCTGCTCAAATCCATTCACCGTGCCAGAGGTGCCGGCCAATGCAAATGAGCTTGTCCGCAGGTGCCGACAACGACGTGGTACTCATGCGTTACGGCCACTGCAACTTCGTCTCGGCGAAACACGCGGCTATCTTCTTCGACGAGGTGAGTACATGCCAGCCTTATTGCATTCGTTGCATTTACATCCGTTACCACGGCTTTTTTAAAATTTAGAATATCCGTTCTTGACGTTTCTATCAATGCTTCAATTCCAAATGTTAAAAGCAGAATTGCTCTTATTATTAGCGTATGTAAACTGTTCTAAGAATGTATCATTTATGAGTCTTGCACTAAAGAAATTAGAAAGTCTCAAGATCTGTAAAAGTACTCATTTGCAGATGTATGTTCTAGCGAGTGGTTAGGCTTATTGAAATCATAGTTCAGGTGTGCGGTATCGTGTGATAAGAGAAACTTTTTTACTTTTTACACTGGTTTGAGAGAATTTTAATAAACAATAAAGTAATTAATTTTCGACTCTTGGAAAGTTATCTTAAGAGAATGAGCATTTCGAATTGATGTAACAAAGTAGGTCTACTGTATTGATTGATACATTTTCAAATGATTTTCTCTAGCTGGAGGCATCTGTGGTAAATCTCTAGCGTTGGTGTATGTGTGTTTGTATTGCGTCCTCAGACGACGCAACACTTCGAGCTGCTCAACTACAGCGAGCACGGCACCACGGTGGACAACGTGCTGTTCTCGTGCGACTTCTCGGAGAAGCCCCCCGCCTGTGCGGCGGCGGCGGGGCCAGTGCCGGCAGCCGGGACGGCAGAGGCGGGCGCGCGGCGGCGCGCGACCCGGGCGGCGAGCCGAGGCCGCTGGCGCGGCGGTGCCCCGCCGCCCGAGCTGGACCAGCGGCGCGGCCGCACCCGCGCGCCCTCGCCGCCGCCCCCGCCGCGCATGGCGCCCGACTCCGGCAAGGTGAGCCCGCTCGAAATTGAAGCACAGGCACCTTCGCGTGCTCTATTCTTGGAATTCATTTCCATTAAGCAAACTCGAGAATGTGTTCTTGAGCTTCTTATTCTTTTGCTTCAATTCATTCAAATTCATTTGCATTGAGGTTTTTAGGATGTGAAAATCTGGCACCTAAAATGGATTAATTTTATTACTGGCAAGGAGAAATTATTAATTCTACTCAGTGGCTGTGTCGCGCCCTCTCGTCATTGGTCGAGTCTTTCCTACTAACCAGATGAATCAGGAAATTGAAACAAAACAGTTTTACTTACGCAGACTACTTTAAATGAATTCTAAGAATAATCTCTAGAATTATTTCTTTGACTCCGTATTATTGTAAAAACGTTTATTTGCTTTGAGATTTTCAGATTGTGAAAATCTGGCACTTAAAATGGATTACTTTTATTCTTGGCAAGGAGAAATTAGTAATGCTTACTGAACAAGGAATATTGAACTTCGTGGGGGGGGGGGGACGCAATCCCCGTGAATTCTCATCTTGTTACTGTCATCTCTTGACTAATGTCTTCCTTGATTAAAAGCCATATTCACCCCGCCTCTGTCTGACCTTCTACATGCGCACGTCTTACGGTAGTATGTTCGTGCGAGTCGCAGGTCAAATACTCGGCCATTTATTATATCTATAGCAAGATGTGCACGTAGTCGTTCCTTGAAATGAACGAATATGGCCTACTGCTTTGGCTGTCTTCCCTTGCGCCGTTGAACCAAATATTTTAGAAGGCAGCAAGCGTTCCATGCTTTTAGTGGCGGTTCTGTCTCACAAACCGTCTCTTGGCTGAGAGACGCGAACGAAATTTCCCAGATCAGATGACGTCTGTCTGACACGGGCTCGTTCTTGTTCCGTCTTGTGGTTTCTGTCGCGGCGGCGGCGACTTCACTTGATAGGCCTCGGATGGGAAGCGTCGTTTTTGCCTCTGCAGGAAGGATGATGCTTTTTGTGGCAAGTTACGCGCTCGGCATGAGGAGGAAGGGGAGAAGGCAGAGCGAGTACTCTCGCGGCGTCGCTCGACCGAAAGCTTCCTGGCCCTGCCGACACTGCTTTAACCTCACGCGAGCACGCATTTATTCCTGAAGCACACAGAGTACATGTTTACATAGTCAGATTTTCTGTGGTTACAAATTTTAAATACCTAAATTTCTCCGGGCCTGGTCCTATAGCGTACGGGAATACAAATAGACCCCGACTTACGAGATAGGTTTGCAATCCAATCGTAAGGCGTCAAGAATAGCTGCTTTATGGTGAATTTCGCCCGCGGCAATGAGAGGTACACGAAAGTTTATAATTAATTGTGCAAGTACGAAAATAAGAATATTTTATTTATTTGCCATAATGTGTAGTTTACTCCATTGAGTAAACTATTGTGGTTTCTGTCTCAGAGGAAGCTGTCGTATCGGAAGGAATGTATAGATGAGTTTGACGATCTTTCTGGTTGGTCATCAACTTTTTCTCCCCCGGTCAGGTAGTTAGGGGAGGAATCGTCTGTTTTTTTCGTGTAGAATTTGGTTTTTCTCGTCTCTAATGTTTGCAGCGTTGCACCTTCAATAAGTCTTCGGTTTTATTTTTACTGAAGGGATGTGCGCTCTCGTATCTCCGAATTCCTTCCCTATCCTGCCACCAATTCAATCCTTTATGGAGTGTAGACTTCGTCAGGCGTTGGGTATACGGAAGAGATTATAGCTGTGGAATCCTCAAAAGAATATGGGTGGTCAAAGAATTTTACGTGTGGTTTTACATTAATAGTACATTCTATATGTAAATCACCTTTTGCGAACCGATGCTGTTGTAGAACGGTGTAGCTTCTCGTCTCCTAAACGTCATACACACACACATGTCATATACATACATGTGTATAAAGTTTGATCTGCTATTGACGTTAAATAAATTCAATAAAAATTGAAGCTTCGAAATCTTCGTCCGCCGCTTCTCTTTCCACGACGGTCTTAAGTCTACATATTTTGTCATCCTTCCGTTCCCCATTCATCGGGCGTAGTTTTGTTTCGTTCTCAGTATTCTCGCGAGCCAGGAGGCGGCTCTAATCTCTTCATCTTTTACGTGATCTAGTTCGGAAACATCCAATTCTTCTGATAAAACTCATTTCAATCTCTTGTATTCTACTCGTGACTTTTGCGGTCGTAGTCTGTTTCGCTACCTTATAACCTTGCGGGCATTGCCATGGTTGTATAAAGCCTAATGTGTTTCTTTTGCGAGTTTATTTATTAAAGTTAAATTATATATCTACACATTAAATAAAACCTTTTCTATTTGCTATAAATATCGAGTTCTTGATTTATACGGCTGCTAACGAAGTTAGATGAAACTGGCTCTGTTTTTCTTCTTGGAGTCTTACATCCACTTTCTCTACCTTCATTACTGACGACTTAATCGCAACGAACATGACTTGTGTTACTTTTCCTAAATTTAAAACTTGTCAGATGTAAATCTTTGATATCTTGCAGAGTTCAAATAACTGTCTTTTCATATGATATCTTCTGTCATGGGGATCGGTCATCAAGGATCATCTGGTCATCGACATTCTCTTTGAAAATTGCATCATGTTTTTATTATTATTATTATTATTATTATTATTATTATTATTATTATTATTATTATTTACAGAACTACTGTGAAGTCTTAATGCTTACTTCATAATCCATCAATTATTTAGCGTGTGGTACGTGTATATTAAGTGCTAGCGTAAACTTAAAACATGTTTCTCTCGTAACTTCCATGTTCGAGTTGCGCCAGTCTTGCAGTCCGTGAACAAACTAAAGCGTTCGAGAAGCAATGAACCAAGATATTTCATTGCCCGAACATGCATAGCAAAAACATTTTGATAAAAGTTCCTTGAAGTTCCATTATTGTTGCTGTTGTATGTATTATACTTTAAGGAACTATGGCAGTTGTGTTCAATTTATAAAAACTATCAGCACAAAACCCCGCGAGTGTGGTATTGTTGAACCCCTCAAACCCGTACCAAACTGTTTTAAGACGAAAATTAATGGGAATGTGCGCCAAACGGAAACGTTCCATCCTCTGGGTGTTATTACTCAACAATTATTCAGATTTTAAAAAAACTTGTGGCATTATTTTAAAGGCTTCTCCACACATTCGGCATTCGCCTAGCAGCGAGCTACCGCTCGCCCAATCGCGAAAAGCTAATGTGTTCGGCAAATGTTCGCTTCCTTTGATGTGTCCTAACACTGACACGCTGTGGTTAGAGCCAATATCGAATGTTCGGCACTCGGCGAATCGCAAGCAACCCGTCCACATTACTCGGGATTCGGAGAGCGGTTGCTCGGAATTCGCGGAATGTCGCATGTGTGAAGCCGCCTTAAGATCTAGTAAAGTAGGCGCACACGCTACCCGCAACGCCTCGTTTCGCTCCAGCCCACTTTGCCATTGTGCAGAACTCGGAACGATGGGTCCTAGGCTCTTACAATCAGGTTTTCATGCGTCAGGTACACGTCATTTCTTAACCCGTATACTATATAATGAGAACATTTTAACCTTTTGGAGATTGGAGATTTAGCTCTTCTAGGTATCCCCACTCTGTAGCATGGGGACCAGCTAGTGGTAATTTGTACTATGTGAAGAATGTTAACGACTGTTCGCGTAAACGTCGGCGCTCCATTCATAGAATAGCGGCCCACGCGTTGTTTGCGTTTGCCGACCTGCTGTTTTCATTTAGTATCCCCAAGCCCAAGCGGACGGGACGGGCGGTTTTCCTCGCCCTCGTTCAGGCAAAGCGCAGCGCCGCCGTGACGTCGCGCCGTGCCGAAGGTCTCCGCTTTGGCGCCTATTCAAGCTCTCGAATTGTTTTACGACATTTCGCTGACCATGCATTGTCTGCTCGCCGCCCAGATTCCCCAAGCTTTGCTTTCGTGTCTTTTTTCTTTGAGCTCGTTCAATATTCCTTGTATCTTCATTCTTTTGCTGGTCTTTGTCGTTGTGTTCAAAATGGAACAAACTCATCGGGAGTAAAGTCGAACGCGTTCGGTTTACCTGCACTGGCACCTAGAATTAAAATTATGTATGTTTGTAAGGTAACCACATTAAGGTTACGCATTGTTACTCTTTGTTTCAAACCTCTTCGCACAATGGTGCGGGCCCCGTCGTCTTTTGACATTTTTCACCTTATTCCATTTAAACTCTTGTGGCAAGAAGAAGCGAACCGGTACATAGAATATAGCTATTGTTAAATAAACGCTCTCTGTTCTTTGAATAGCTGAATGCGTTGGACAAAATGGTCGAGGATCTTACTGGAAGAAAGACGTGTCGACGTGACAGAGAAACGTAGATGTGAGCAGAGAGAAGGGAAGAATAAAATCGTGGACGAATGGGACCCTTTTTTTTACTCTTTACAGAAGCTACATAATGGCGAGAATCCATTCGATAATTGTCAAACCAGCCTTGTGTTTCACGATTTGTGCTACAAATAACTAAATACATTTCGGAATAACTAAAAATCCCCTGGGACATGTTCCAAATTTAGAAAAGAAGTCGTTCTTTCGTGTTGTGTTTTTGTGGGGTTTTGTTTTTACTTTCTCGTTATGCAGTACAGAGAAAGTTATGTAATGAAGTGCGACTTTTCGGTAGAAAAACTTTTTTATTACAGGGCGAGAAGAAGCGAACCGGTACATAGAATATACCTATTATTAAATAAACGCGTCCTACGAAAAAGTGGAAAAGTTCAGTTGCTAAATTTAGGGGGAAATCCTCTATCATGTGGTGTAGCCGGAATCCATGTTTTGTGGATCCTTGATATCGAAAAATGGAATGACGGCAAAACGTCTGCCCGTCCGCCGGTAAACAACGCTAGCGGCTATAGCGTGCAGCGTATTTTCTTCATAATTGATATTCCTCAACAGATCTAGCTGTTGTCGCGGCCCGTTGAATTTGGAACCAATATTTTGATTTTTAGGATTACTTTACACCAAAGCCCCTGGGACATGTTCCAATTTTTTTTTAAATGCCTAAATTCAAATTTTTTTTTTCGAGGTCGCCCTACAACTCAAATATTAATAATAGAGATGTTTTTCCCCTCAATGCAATATGTTACTTAAAATAGATTTCGAAATAAGGTCATGTTCAATTTTTCGGAAATTTTAGTACTTTCCATGTAATTTTGCGTGAAAATACGGGCAAGAAAGTATGTGTTGTTTTAGCGCCACTAGTTTATCTCGTTTTTCATTACATAATTCATTCTTCACCTACATTATTTATAAGTTAATCATTTGACCCACTGGTCAAATGATTAACTTATAAATGAGTGCTCGTAGTCCACATGCCACTGAAACATTCTCATGTTCGTAATGACTATGTTTCCTTCCAAGACATCCGAAGGATAAACCGCGCGTTCGAAGAAACGAGAGGATACTGAAATAGAACTCTCATTTAAATAATATTTTATTTTCGTTGCCCACGTTGGGCAAGCTATTTGAAACACTCCTTATATTGTTCAACTACTTATTAGCTTTCATTTACTAACTTTTGTTAGGATAGGCGGCCATTCATAACATTTCTACTTTTCTTACTGATATTAACTATGTAATTATTTCTTTCGTTGCCATGCAATGGTCAGAAATTCTTTCAATATTGAAATATTATTACCATACTAACTACTTCCAAATCCAATTACGGATGTAACACACATTTCCTCGTCTTACCTGTTTCATGTGGACGTGCAATTCTATATAGAATTACAATTCCTGAAAGCTCTGTGGAACAAAACTATTGAATTGATGGCAAGTACTGTAAATTATCAGCCCATTATCTTTCCAAAAATCAAGTTTAACATTTATTATAACATCTTTACACAATACTTTAGAAATGAATTAAATGGCTAACTTTTTTATCTATAGAACGTGAATGTACCGTACGGTTTTGAAATGAAGTTCGTAAGTTACTATTGACTTCTCAGATCCCGACGTTGTCCATGGGATGTCCTTGGTACCCCTATTATTGTGTTTGCTTATCGTCAGAATAAATTACCAAATGTACCCGGAATGTCCTCGACTATTTGATACTTTATGTAATTCAATGATTTCTCTCAAATTATTTCGCTATCGTAACTAGCTCTCGCTGTGCTTCGGGCGAAACACTTTGCTCCACTATCTCCAGCCGACTTCTATAAAAAATCCTCCCCATCTACGGAACTATCCTCTTATTAATCCCTTCGGAAATACGGAATCTGTTTGAGCTTAAATCCCAACACTACTTAAATAAAAATAGCGATTTTATCTTCATATTATTATTAACTTTGAACTCTTACCCTCCACAATGTTAATCTATAAAAAAAAAAGTAATGATTTACCCGCCTCAATACCGTTTACAAACACCCCAGACTATACTGAAATAAACATTCGTACCGCACCGATTGTTTACATGCGTTTAGGTCGGCAGCTCTCGAGATAGGGCTCATAGTGCCCTTTCCGCAGCATCTCGGCTTCCAATGCCTTCTTCAAACTTATCGCATGTAATGTCTATAGAGCCGTGATGTCGCTTTTACATCAAGGAACGTGGTTTCGTATACTTGTTGATCCGTTGCCTTTACAGCGTCTGTTCTTTGGATTTTAAACGTTCCGAATGCGTTTAATCCCATCGTAAATACACGCTTGATGCAATTTCTCCCATGCTACCGTGGGGTCTTAAGGCTTATCACAATATTGAAGGGATGCCAACGATGCCATGCTATTTGGGGCCAATGTGTGTATTTATTAATTTTTATTACATGCGGTTCCTTCGAATCCTCAAATGCATCAACTCCAGAAATACATTCGAAATCATTTTCGTTATGCGAAACTTCATAATAAGTATTTTTGAAATTTGTTATTCTTCGTGCTCTACAATTACGTTTCTTGAATTTAAATATCGTTGTATACAACATAAATATCTTCCTCTTCTGTTTGCATTTAAGAACAAATGAGTTTCCTTTGAAAGCGCGTAAAGCAAAGAACAAGACTCCGATGTTTCCACGATGCACAAAGCTTGAAGACCTCCAAATGATAACATAAAATTCGGCTTCATATTTTATCAGTGTTATCGCGTGATACATCATCGAAGGTTTATTTCTCCTGGACCGTATTCGGCTGGTCATTTCTGCTCATAAATCCTCTAGCGGGGACTGCCCTTCGGCCTAGTATCTTAAAAGCCTTGAAAGCCTCTGTTATATGTCATTTCCAACAGTGTAATTGCACCACGATGATTGCCGATTGACACATGCAGTATTACACGTTTTAAAATATATATTTTAAAAATCTCTTTTTAAATCTTAAGATATATATTGTAAAAAATAACTATGATTTAGCTTACAAGAGAAATTCATTTATTAAATAAGAATTGGACAAGGAGGGTGTTTTCGAAGCAAAAACTATGGTAGCTGGATTTAAAATGTATTTTTATTTGTTTACTTTTTAATAATTTATAACGTATTCAACTGATATATTGAACCTTCTGTACTGTAGAAAATTAGTAAAATCTATATTTGTGAATCTGTAAGTCATCGGTCTGCTAGGGGGGGGGGAGCTCAGTCCCCCTTATTGGGTGTGTCACAGTTCATGTGGTGATTGATTTTTCATATTATAAGAAAATAAGGCTCGCAATTATGCTTGTCAGTCAGTTGTGCGTATAGTGTAGTTTGTATAGTGCGTTCAAGTCTAGCGTATAGTTGGCCTGTATGTGCGGTGCGGTGTGCGCAGGACCTGCGGCGCTGCGGCTGCCGCGGCAGCGGGTCCACGCTGATCGGCGGGGGCGGCGGCGCGGGCTGGGAGGGCACGGCGCTGCTCGCCCACGGCTCCTTCGTGCGCTTCGGCTGCCTGCAGTTCGTGTTCAGCGTCACCGACCACGCGCCCGCGTGCTCGGCAACGGCGCCTCCTCTTCCTCCTCCTCCGCCCCGACATTCGACCCCGCCTCTCCTGACGCCCGCCGGACCCGCGCACTCCTCCCACACCCTCGCCCCCGCGCACCTCCAACCCTGAGGGCGGCGACGGCGGTGGCTGCGGCGGCGGCGCCGGGGCGGGTCCCTGGACGGCGCCGGCGCCCTCGCCCTCGACTGCTGCCTCGATCACGGTTTTGTACCCCACTCGTATTGTACTATTTTGTCTTGAATGCTGAGTTTATTAAAAGAGATTTGTTTCTATTTCATACTTCTGGTCGCTTTACTGCATGGCCGCATGGCTGTGCTCATGTCCTTGTGTTAGAAGCTGCATACATTTCGTCATTCTATGTGTAAGATTCTTTTGTGTATAAAAACATGTCTGAGTGGAAGACGTAGATATAATCATGCAGTTAAATTTCCAGTGTAACCAAGAAAGAAACATAGAGGAAATAATAGAATGGAAAAATAATGGTTCATTCGTTTTCTAAGTTATTGGAATAGTGCTCCATCTTCGTTCATTTAGTTTGTTCATTTCAGTTAAGTCAAGGTTATAGATTTATATATCAGTATTAATAAAAATTGAAAGGCAGATTATGTAATCACTAGGAAGTGTTTTAATTTGAACTTATAGCAATTGCTATATTATATATTATTTGTGTTTCAAAATTACCTTATTCAGCGGTACCTTTTTATTCGGTTACAAAATTGGATTCACTATTAGTTCGATCTTATGTTTTTGAACATTTGAACCCACGAAACTCAACATTTGAACCCACGATCGAGAAACTGAGATCTTAGTTTACATAATACTAAAAACCTAGCGATGCTACAACAGTTCATACTTCTACTATTGTTTAGTTACTGTTGCATAAAATAATATTTCGCCAATTCAAAGCGCGATAGATTCGAAAAAATCTTTAATTGTCGACAATTCAAATATTTAAAGCAAATGGCAATTTGTCGTATAATTCAATAAAATACTCATACAAAACGTTTCAAGAAAGTTTGAGAAAATCTTGTTTGGAAAATTGTCCCAATTTGCCTCAATATTTTGCAGAAACTACTAAAAATCTTTAGAAACTGTACATAATGTAATTGAGATATTTAATTGAAGAATAGATATTCTTAATTCTTTCTTATTTTAATTCTAATGTCAAAATTCAAGTTGAAGACCGGTAAAAAAAATTGAGGTTTTCATGAAATCAGATCTAAAACAAATTTAAAAGCTTACTTTGCTCCATTTCATCAAAGAACAAACTAAATGAAAGCCATTTTTGAGAAAATGTTGAAAATGCGTTGGGAATTTAATGTAATATGTCTCCAGATGAGAGAATATCCTTATGGGTGGGGGAAACTCAGGATAGCAGGGAAACTCTAGGCACTAGTCATAAAAGGTCGCTATGTCTACTGTTAGAAACAATTAAAAAGTAAAATAAAAACATTTCGTTAATAGGGACCATCAAAATGTGTATTTTCAAAAATCTCAACATTGATTTTTTGCAGTATTACATAATTTTACCTGTACTGGTTATGTAGTAAACGAGAAAGTAGAAATACCTATTTCGTAAAAACTTTTACGTGAACAGTTCGGGTGATACAATCATGTTATTTTGCTCTGGGTACGTGGGCCTTCGGATAGACGTCACATTTAGCTGCCATCAGAGCATGGCGCTGAGGCATGTGGTTGTATGACCACCAGATCGCAGCTTTAAAAAAAACAAAATATATTTTTTTTGAAATTTCTTTGAATCTTCGGAAGGAGTCACCACACAAATCATCGGTACCCCACCAAGAGATCGATACGCGCCGAATGAGACCTCGTTTGTCTCGATTGCTGGAGGGGAAGGGGCCTAACCTAGAGTGGACTGACAGACCATAAAGACAGTATATTTACGTAGTACACACAGCCTTTTTTTTTTTTACCATACAAGAATATCAACAAAGTTGCTATTCCATAATGCGACACGTTATGGAATATCCGATACCAATATTTGATAACCGCCCTCTTCCTTTGTGCCTTGTATGGCGTTACCTGTGTCGTAAGCAGTGACGAACTCGGTATCATTCAGCCTTAAGAGCAGTAAGAGAATATACAATAATATCATAATCAAATACATTTCCATTTTTCAGTGAAAATCGGAACTTCTTCGTATTTATAAGTACTTGGGCATCTTACGTTGGTGACCCCTCTCACATGGCCAGGGGCTGCATAGTTTTCTTTAATTTTCTTCCCGCATTGAAAATCAGTAATATTGATAACGAACATGCGTGAAAATTCCTTGACAATATAACAGATATGTTCCTGAGTTATTAATAGCTTAATTTATTTAACTTCGTGTTCTTGTCCGTAATTAAACAGTTTAGCAGTTTCCAGTTAGCTGTAAAGCGGGTACTTTTCGCCACCCATACTCCTAGATTTCCTTTTATACAGTCCTTCAAAAAACCTCATTTTAAGAAAATCTGTCATTATCAATTAAAAATAAATTCTAGGCAACTACTATGGTATTTCAGTAATGGGTAATGGTGACTACAACCATTGGCTACGGTTATTCCTTCATCGTGGTCAAAAGCTCTCACGATAAGCACGTCTGGACCTGCCGACCTCGTTTAACTCTTGTTCACGCAATAATTTTCCAATTGTAGCCTATAAAATATATACATTTTTAGTGAATATGTAAATGATTATGATTGTGACTTTCTTTAGCGATTACCCCTTTTATGCCAGCCGAATTTACTTTATATTTAAAAAATTAATAATATAATAACTAAGAAAATTACCACAGACTGTTTTGTACAAGATATTTATTACCCTTATTTTTACGCTGATATTTATTTTTCTTCAGTATTTGGGAAAGACATTTCAATTTTTTATTGACATCTTGAATATTCAAACATTAGTTGACACACCCTTGACAGTACAAATTCATGTCTAGGAATCCCGTAATCCGAGAATTTGAACAATACATTTTCAGTGCAATGTGATAATTATTTCTAAGAAAGCAATTTGCTTCATTTCCCGGGTGGTAGTGATATCTCGTGAAGTTGTTCAATTACCGTATTTTCTGGAGTATAAATCCCGCCCCCTCCTCACACACGCTGTTGAACGAAAAATTCGGAAAATACTTACGTTACATGTATCTACGATGTTTATATAGAGTTATTTCCTTGCAATTTTCATTGTCTAGCGACTCCCAAGAAAACTGGAGGCGTGATGTCTGAAATAAAAACGCTCTCTTATGATATTGGTTGAAAATATGATTTCCTTCACTTCAAGGTATTCGCTCCCTTTAGTTTTTTGGGGACAAAAAGTGGGGCTCATGATCATTACTATGTTTTGCGACCGACAACAAATGCTGATGCAAGTTCTCTTGCGCACTCCCAATGCATGCGCCCAGTTACCCCAGAATGGCATCCAAGAAACGGGTTTTGGGAGCGGTAGGTGGCCGAAGGAGTATTCCGAACGTCAATGCATTGGAAGGGAAGGGCTTCGGGCCGTAAAATCACGACACTGCGTGATGCCTGCGTTCCCACATTGGCTTCTAAGAAGAGGGGTCCGTCGTGCCAACCCCTGTTCATTCATCACCAAATTCAGAGGCGTATAAGAAAGTCCATTTTTCAGCTCTGGAGTGCAAAAGTACTTTCTGGATGCCCCCTCCCTTTAATCTTTTAATTAATTATTTATAAGGAAAGATGTCACCCCATTGTCAACACTTCAACTGTAATCCTAATTGGATGAAAGTCAATGTAAAATGGGATGAATGAAAAAAGTGGTCAGTTTTAAAATGATATAGCAGGGCAGACACTGTAGGTAATAGTTTCAAAAACCAAAATGTCTATCAGTTATTGTCTGAAGTACCATTATAAGATGTATTTTTAAAGTCTGATTTTGTACACAGTTAGGCCTTGCTGGACCAAATATAGAATTCAATATTCACAATTCTAATTATATTTTATTCCCATTCCAAGAATTCAGAAGCAAGTGCCATTTGAAATTAGTAAGGAAATGCCACAATTGTCTTCATAATACATGGTGAAATGTTAACTTCCTCCCTTCAAATACATGCAGTCGAAGTTGGCTACAAGAGAAAGGACATTTTTTTACAAACGTGAAAAAGCAGTAACAAATGGGAGAAAAGGTAATTATCTTCCAAGAAATGAGACGGCCATTGCAGTAAGGTGTAGAATCAATGTTCCTTGTCATAAAGGTAAGTTATTTTTTTCTTATACACAAGTTTTATTCTATACAGCAAGTGGTCATAAAATACACTGATACATTGGCTAGATCCATATGGAATGTGGCCAGCTCTCCAAGCCCTAGTGTTAATAAAGTTACCGCTAGAAAAATTCGTGGAAGCAAGTACATTCATGAAGAACACCTGAGTAAGTTAAAGCCTCATTCTCAGGGGAGGACAATGTGTTTTACACAATTTTAGCAGTGAACAATTGCTGCCACTGCTGCAATTCCACGGGTTACATGAAATTCCCTTGGAAATCAACTAGTTTGCAAGAATAGTATTTCTTTCATAGTGCAAATTCTGCAAACAGTTCTTGAAGTATATATATCATTTAGTCACTTCAACCAAGGAAGACTGACATAAGTGCACCGCACATTCAAGTACTTTATATCAAATTTTTCAATATCATTTCCACTGTTTCTTCTCATCAAACATGTAATATTACGGTACATCTGATTTCATACACCTGATTTGTCCTACGACTTTACAAAATATTGGATGGACATAGTTTCACTATGATGTAAAGGAAGCATGCAACCAAAATTCTTTACCATTTACTGAGTATGTAACCAAGTTTTTGTTTATTACAACTTCATTTAACATTCTAATTTCCTTTTTAATCCATATCAAATACAGCTTTAATATACAGAATAATGCATGTGAAGCCCTTTAGCAGGCAACATCTACATTCATACAAAATTTACACCTGACAAATCCTCATTACTTCACAATTATATAATATACACTTTGCCTTAACGTTTTCTAATATCACTATATCTTGTTTTGGTTTGCATCTATTTTCATGCACAATTTCTTCTCCCCAAGAAAAGATCATAAATTTAATTTGCTTTGAAATACTAATTTTGGGACATCCAGTGCTCTAACAAAACAAATGCATCTGCAATGTTAGCGAACCACCTTTACAAATTTACATGTTGAAGATGCAAAGGCAGAAACAGAGTATAAGGTACAATAAATACCTTCTTTCGATGTGGAATAATGCAAAATATTCCTCAAAGAAATCCATGAATACATACTTTTCATCTATAATGCCATTTCCAACATGTCACTATTTACACTACTGGCAGGAGAGCTGGCTAGATGAGAATGGAATGGGACAGGTTTCCTGCACTCAAGTCGGCGCTGGGCGGTGACACTGGCTAGCTGGTGCCTGGTCCCCAAGTATTCAATGCTCTACACTTTATACAGCTGGCTTGTCTCCATAATATACATTTTAATGCGTTCATATTAATCCTTCATCCATTCAATAGAGAAACTGAATTTCTAGGCAAGCAAAATAAGCTATTTACGTAAAGCGTTATTACGAAAATACACAAGGTCCCAATGCTTATTGAACAAGTTCTTTCACACTTATGGCAAACTGCACAACACCAAAATATTTCTGGAGCTGCAACCAATGTTTTCCATAACTATTTTCAATCACACACGCTAGACACCCACACTCAAAAAACACTGAGGTCCTATATGGACAGTGACAGCAATATGCTTCAAAATTGCAGCCGAATCAGGAGTGTGTTGATTTGTTCAGTCTCATATGAAAGTTCTCCTGCTTGAAGCACATGACCTGTCAATGGTTATTTATGCTTGCAGTACATGGAAGGGCTGAATGATGGGGGCTGGCAAGGCTGCCTCTGACAGACTGTAATGTTAACAGCACTTCTTCTTGCTCTGCTTATTGGATTTACGCAAGTTGACTGTTTCGTTGCTGTGAATTGCCTGTCGTTCCTTGCGTTCCTTTTTGGTGCGCAGCACTTGCCGGGTTATTGCCATGAACATCTACAAAACATACACCAAAATAAGAAAGATTCAAAGCAATAAATTAGAAAACAGACTATGTTTAGAATGTTATTAAATTCCTGATTTTGAAAAAAATTCGGGACAGACTCTTCCAGAAAGGGTTGGGATCTACAAACAAATGTTCTGAATAAAGAATTTAGAAGGCAAACAATGAAATTGAACATAAATTTTATTCACCTCTTCGACATTGATGTTATCTTTGGCACTAGTTTCAAACAACTGTACATTCATCTGACTTGCAAACCGCTGTGCATCTTCTGTCAAGACAACTTTTCTGTCTGGAGCATCATTCTTGTTTCCAACTGCAATGAAAGCTTATATTAAATAAGTTCATTTGAACATTGAATTACCCTCACAATTAAAAGGTAACTTACCCAATATTTTGTTGACAACATCACAGTTTTGTTCAATTTCGTGAAGCCACCTTTTGACATTGGCAAATGAATCCCCACTTGTGACATCATAAACAATAATAACACCGTGCGTTCCTCTGTAATAACTAAAAACAGTATATTCTTCAGTATCTCGACATCAAACTACAATTTGAATGCAAAACGAAAATTGAAGGAGAAATAAAACAAAAAATTCAAACACTCACGTTGACGTTATAGTGCGAAACCTTTCTTGTCCAGCTGTATCCCAAATCTGCAATTTCACTCTTTCACCGTCAATTTCTACAGTTCGTATCTTGAAATCAACACCAATGGTTGTTATATAGCTCCCAGAAAAGGTGTTGTCTGCAAACCTCAAAAGCAAGGAACTCTTTCCGACTCCTGTTTTGTTGACGAGCAAACAATTAATGAAATACACCCACTCGTTCACAGAGCACAACCACAATCATTTCAACGAACTGCATTCACGTGATAGCATTAAAATTATATTAATGTTTTCATGACAAAAGATCCGTCACTACTGAAGAATCTACTTACCACTGTCGCCTATTATCAGTAATTTGAAGAGGTGGTCATATTCTCTGGCCATGTCGGTCGCTCCCTTTCAACAAAAGAATCTAGCGTCGCAGCCTACGCCCGCCGCTTTCTCCTTTTTTCAGAGGCCACGACGCCACACAAAAAGAAACATTTAAGGTTGTTTCAGAAAGAAGACTCCAATATGTCACAAACTAAAGAAAAGATAGCGAAACACAGCAGATGCTGACACCGGATGTTGTACTCTCACTGATTCTCACTCAGCGCCCTCAGCCCACCCAGCCTGCTTCGGGCGCAGTGGGGCGCAGTCGCTGAACGCACTATCGCAATTCATGTTTTAACCTCCAACGGTTAGCGGCTTCCGGTTCAGCTGATCTGGGTTGATCAAACGTGTGGGTGGACAGTCCTATTATGTGAAGGAATTTTACACAGTTGCTATTCTATAATTCGTTTCAATGTTGTTTTAAAGGTTTATTAGTTTTATTAAGATCTGTGAAGCCTGATTCGTGATGACTAAATGGGCCAGCGCTTGGAGAGTACGTGATGTTTTTTCCTGTATAATTGCCAATACGAAGAAACGTGGATTATCAACAAGTGCTCGAAATGAAAAAGATCTTCGTCCTACAGAAAAAAGGTTTTGTGGTCATTTTATTTCTTGAAACCATTATTATGAAATGACATTCTATTATACTTATTTTAATTCAAATGATTCCTTCATGTTAATTGGTTTGAGCAACAATTTATTTCTTGTTTTTATGGTTTTCAGTTTCCAACCTATTAAAATGGCATATGCCTCTTTTGAGTCAATAAACTCTGTAGATACATCCTTAGGCACACCTATTATAATAATGCATGGATTATTAGGTTCCAAACACAACTGGAATTCTCTGTCAAAAGTTATTCACAACAGGACAAAGCGAAAGGTATATAGTATCTAATCAGATAAGATTTTTTTCATTGAAAGAATTATTAAAATTGGGAGCACATTTTTCTGTTGTTTTTTTAAAAATTGGGTAACATTTGCAGGTGATAACTGTAGATGCTAGAAATCATGGTGACAGTCCACATATTCCAGAAATGTCATATCCTCATATGGCTGAAGATGTTCGACAGTTATTAAAAGACTTGAACATACCAAGAGCTACAGTTGTTGGCCATAGTATGGGAGGCAGAACAATGATGCTTCTGGCTTTGAAGTATGTAAGTTAAGGATTATTGCCACAATTAAGCTTAACAGCTATCACAAATAAATAATTATTTGTGTCTCCCACTATCATTTTTGGTTGCATTTAACATTAATATTTGTTGATTCTAAGCTTGGGCATGTTGTATGTTCATTTTCTTTTATATTTTGGGATATTATGTTCCCAGTGCAGTGTAATAAAGTGAATTTTGTCACTGAATGCAAATAGAGGTCGTAAGTGAATGCTTGTTTGATAAGTGTAATCAGATTTTGTTCAATGTTTTGTCTTATCCTCTTCTTTTATTCCCCTTTTTCCTGTATATTTTCCTTCATTAGATCCACTGTATGTATTTCTCCTTATATAATGAGTTTGTGAAAGTATGTATTGAATTTCATTTTATCGAGTCAAATATATAAACAAAATAATAATTCCTTTCCTTTTTTAGCCTGAACTGGTTAAACAGTTGATTGTAGCAGATATTTCTCCTGTCCGTGATAGTCCCAATTTAAAGGCAATGCCAGTATATCTGCATGCATTGAGTGAGGTGAAACTGAAACCTAATCAGCCAATGTCAGCAGCTCGCAAGGAAGCTGACAAGCAGCTGGCTGCAAACGTGCAGGTAAAGTCAAAAATAAATTGGCTGCAGTGCAGTTTGATGGTGCCACTTATTTTAAATCAGATTAAAAGAAGTGTGAAACGTGCATATATGGAAGTGAGATTCAAAGGTGCTCACATTTTTTATTGGCAATGAGACATTCTCTTTGTCTATCTTATTGTTGTTTTGTATGAATTGCAGAGGCTAAAGGCTGGAGTCTTGCTATTACCTGCTGCTTCAGAGAGCAAATCCACAATAGCGTTACTGACAATGAGAGCATCTTGAAGGGGGATGGGAGAAAAAAGTGAGGTATAACTGTTGAAAAATAAAACTTTCCTCTTCTGACTTTCCATTCATGTCTACATTTGGGATTTGTCTCAAGCCATGTGGCACCATCAAATTATGTGTTAATTTAATTAATTTGAAATTATATAGTTGCGTTTGATATTGTCCACTCTTTCTTAAAACTACATTTTCTTCATCTAACCAGTTTCTGTATTAGCCATTAAGACTTAGATATATGCACATAAAAGTTTGATGTGCTTTAGTAAGATATATGCACATAAAAGTTTGATGTGCTTTAGTAATAAGAAAACATGCATTTAAAATGATTTAACAGAAGAAATATGTTCACATTTTTTTATTGTTTTTAATTAATTATTCCTTATTCATCAATTGAACTTTCCAAATGCAGTGTCTATTGTACATTCAACCAGTTATGAAGACAATGGGAGTGAAATAAGATAATTTATATCTTGTAGTAATATGAGAAATACAAATATGATTTCCATAAAGAGTGATGTATATAAATAGAGTAGTAGCTACTTAAGTGATTTTCAATTACATTGAACTAAATTTCACTCAATCACAACTCAAAACCCCACTTGTACCAATACTATTAATGCCTGCTAAATACTGCTGACCTGGCCAATGAGTGATTTATATCAATAAATAGTGGAGTATTATCTACTTCTGTGATTTTCAATTACATTGAACTAAATTTCACCCATTCAGAACTCAAAACCCCACTTGTACCGATACTATTAATGCCTACCGAATACTGCTGACCTGGCCAATGAGTACATATATTAAACCAAACCTTTTCTATATACACTGAATTATATTATGAAATGTTCAATTTCTTTAAATGGATTGATTTCTGTTAACCTCTTTTCAATGTCAATTACAAAAATTATTGAACTCTTCTGAAAGATTAAACCTTTGTATTAGTATTTACTAATCTTGTTTAAATAATGATCTGGTTATGGATCTTTATGCTTCTTCAGATCGTGTTCTTGCTGACAACTTCTGATCCTAGTACTAGGGTTACCAGCGACTTGTTCAAAAAATCAGGATAATTTGATCAAAAAAGCAGGATATTTTTACTTCCTCGCTATGACTTATGCAGCAGAGAGAAAGTTATGTATTTTATGATGACATGTAGGTAGAAAGTTCATATACTAATATAGAAGAGAGATCAATTTATGTGTTATTACTGCTCTTTATGGTAAATTATATGACTGTCAGCTTTATTATTAAGAATTCTCCATCTCTCAGTTTCTGTATTCCCTGTGTAAGAATATGACATACTTATTGTTCCTATTGTTAAAAATTCTGAGTTTCACTCCTAATATCCCTTTTTTCTCTAATATAATATAATTTTGTCTATATATTTTATATTAGAATTAAATTAAACCTTTAATTATATGATAACTATATTTTTAAATCAGGACTTTTGAAAACAAATCAGAACATGTCCTGATATAGCAGGATGTCATCACAAAACCCCACATTAATTTTATTGTCTTCTAGTACTAGCGTAATCTTCTTAACTCTCTGGACACAGTGCTGCCCAATATATATGACTAATACATGTTTTAAAAGGATGATTCATCTGAATATGTCTCTGACATACATCTTAACAAAAAGTTGTTCTCACCAGTTTAATGAAAAACTTTCAAACAATTCCTTTAGCGTAACTGATCTGACTTGATTTTATCTTACCTCATCAGCTGTCCTGGTGACTGTGAAAACTCCACTTGTCTTTTATTTTACTTTTATTTGCCAACTCATAACACAGATATCAAATATTTCTTACAGGCTGCCGTAACAACCATGCTGTATTTACATAACTATGGTTCTTCACTTGATCTTAACGTTTTGTGTATGCCCTCATAATACATTTCATTTACATAATTGATGTGTATCATTGCACATTCATGTTTTACCACAATATTGAAAAATGTATGGCCGTGACAATGATATCAAAATTTGGATGATTTGACCTACTTGTTTACCTAAAACAAAAAACAGTTGTCATCAACATCAACAAAAATCAATGAAATAGTTAAATTAAAAGAGAGAAAACATTCTTAAGAATTTGACAGTACTGTCTTTAGTTATGAGCAAAAAAAATTAATTTCTACCCATGTGTAGATGTTACTTTCATATAAGACGAATTCTTTGTTTGTGTCTGTCCATAAATTATGTAACTCAAATTTGAAGCATTTTCAATACCCCCTCTCCCCTTTTAACATGACCTTGAATCATCCCAAAATAATTATGTAATGCTTGTGCCAAGATACCTCCCCCCCTTTACAATAAATAAAAATTAATATTATAAAATAGAAATGAGTTGTATTCACTTTATTTGTGTTATATATTATAATTTATGATGATCAAAGACAGATTCAATCTATCACAACACTATTTATGAAAAAAAAATTAATTTATTGTAAGAATTTATACATCATAGCATTATATAGTATTATATTTCTTTATTTAATTTGTTAAAATTTTAATGTTTTAGATTAGGACTGAATAAACATAGTTATTCAGCAATTGTTGAATAATTTTAAAAATAAATATCATTGCCTAACACTAAACCATAATCGCCCTACCTGTATGTAATGCACTGTATCATTGCCTCAAACCCCTCCCCTCCTTCCCTCTTTAGCGTTACATAATTTATGAATAAATCCTTACTCAGTGTCAGGTACTGTATTTGGTAGTCAAAAACATATAGCCCACTACCCAGAGTCCCACCTACTGAAGAGGCCTAATCTATCTTGTGAGTCTTGCCTACAGAGGTGGTCAGCCAAAGTCACTGATCTCAAACCCTAGTGGCCCAAGTGCCACTGATTAGTATACCCAAGCAGACTGGTTTGACTCTGGAGAGAAGGGTCACTATCTGGAGGAAGTGAGGATCTACAAGACTATCCCTGCAGTGAAAATGGGAGTTCAAAGAATAGACACAATCACCAATGTTATATTTTACTGAATTAGCAAGAATTTTTAACACTTAGTTTAAGGTACAAAACTGAATTTCAAATATAATTTTTATACCCTAGAGGTCAAAAGTCATAACTGTATTCAGTAGTTTTAGGTTTTAATATCAAAATAATTGCAAGAAAGAAATGCATTTGAAGATACACATTAGTATCCTCCAACTTCATTAGTACCCATTTAAACTTGCACAGGAAGTCGTTCCTATTACAACAACTAAGGGAACAAGTAGTTTTTCTTTCCTTCTGTAAATTATGGAAATTGTGAGTAACAATTCTTGACCTCGAAGGTACAGTAAGTATTTTTTATAGCTACATTTTTCCATATCAGGTACCACTGAATCGCAAAATTTTGTAATGTTGGCAAAGACATTTTGTCTTTCACTGGAGGCAGGTGTGGATCCAGAGGCAAATTTTGGGAGGGGAAATTAAAAATGTTTTGGTCGAATATGTTATATTACAGATTTTGTAAAATGTCGCAGGCCACACTCAGCTGATGCTGCAATACAATTTTATTCGTTTTAATAATTATCCAAAAAACTTTCTGTTTGACAGGTTCCTGACAAATTAAAATTAATAGTTACAGAAAAATTATAGTGGGGAGGGGATTTTCCTCCCCGTGCATCTGCTCCTACTGGAGGAGATTACCTTTCTTGTACCACACATGCACATTTATTCAAACAGTTTTTGCTCATTTGATAATAATTTGTTATTTCAAATCTTATTTGAAATATCTGAAAAGGTATTGTTCCAAATCTTTATTTCCAAAGAACACCCATGTTCTTTGAAAATAAAGATTGTCAGGGCATCTGAATTGACTGTACCTGAAGTATGCATTTAATATTTGGGGGGGGGTCTTGATGTATTAATTTTTGCATTATGAACATCATTGAGAATTTTTTTATCTCAGAAATTACTTAGTAAGGTGTGTTAGTGTTGAAAAGTATATTAAAGAACTTTGATGTTTCTTTTATGAAATTCCTTTGTTTTTTTGTTTTTTTTCTAGGAAACTCTTCTGCGTCAATTCTTTTTGGCCAATTTAGTTGAGGGTGAAAATGGGACCTTCAAGTGGAAGATGAATCTTGAAGCTCTAACAACTCACTTCAATAATATTGCCTCCTTTCCCCATGTGGATATTAGTTTTAATGGACCAACGTATTTTATAGGAGGAAGCAAGTCAGATTTCATAAAGTAAGTATGGTATAATACATATTCTGTAAAGGAGGCTAGTAGTGTCATTTGCATATTCAAAAATAGATTTAAGAAAGTTCCTTGAGAAAAATTGGCTTAATATAATAAATTTCGTGTTTGATGTTCGCAAACAAAGTTTTCACTACATTGTCTTTCTTCCTGGGCTTCTTCTTTTCATTATTTTGATGCTATCTTCCTTATGGTTGTCCAATTCATTGTGTTCTATATTTTACTATTTAGAATGTTGAGTATCTAAACAAAACTTTGTTATTTCTGGTTGGTTGTTTGCCTTTCTCTTGTTAATTGTAGTTTTCTTTATGTATCTTAATAATATTTTTTTTCTTAATTATCAATAATGAATTTATAATAAATGAATGTGCAGTTCAGCAATTGTTGTTTCAAGTGTCTGCATTTTTAACCTAAATACATTTCTGTAGCACACAACTTTTGTTAAGCTATGAGATTTCATTTAATGTTTCAGCTTTCTTTTTGAGATTTGTTGCTTGTTGATAATAGATATGTTTTGCTTGTCACAAAGGGGTTATTGATGACAATGAGTGATATAGTATTATTCTGTAAATACTAGTAATGAAGATTTCAATAGTAATGTTATTAATGTAGACTTTAGTATACTTAATATTATTAAGCATGCCTAGTATTATTTATAAGTATGTATATTTTAGTAAGTATTATTTATTAAATATGTCTCTAAAACTAGGTTTTGTTAATCTATATAAGTTGTCCTTATTCACACAGGCCTGAAGATCATGAAAAGATTAAAAGGTTCTTCCCAAATGCAGTCTTTGAGTATGTTGAAGGTGCTGGTCACTGGTTACATGCAGAGAAGCCTACAGAATTTTTAGAAATATTATGCAAGTTTTTGAAAATGGAGAAGTAAATTCCTCTTTAAAGAAGGTTAGGAAACAAGTCATTAAGTAGAGATATTAAAAGTGAAAATTAGATAATCAAGGAATCTTTATTTCAAATTATTTTCTAGCTGAGCTGGAAAATTTTAAGTTATTGTAAACAGAAACATAAAGCAAGTTGGTGCAATAAAATTGTCACAGTGTAATTTACGCTAGCTATTTCAAGAAAATATGAATAATTTGTACCTTTCTTTTTGTTCACTCAAGTACGTCTCTGAATCTTTCACATTGTTTTCTATTTGTTTTGTCTACGATTTGGTTTGAATTATTTAATTGAATTGTGACAATATTTCAGAGTCACATTAGTAGTTGAATATTGTTTTGGGTTGTAGATTGTTGAAATAAACAAGTTGTTTTCAATGGACTTTGTTATTGTAATTCTAGACTCCTCTGAACTAGGATGCTTTGAGTTGGAAAATGAATACAGTGAAAACTGTCTGAAGCAGTTATTAATCGTTCCAGCAAAGAAGAGTTGGTTGAAAAAAATTCCGTTAATTGCAATGAAATAACATAATTTTCATAAAATTATTTGAATTTCCTTAAACTACAAAAAACAACTTGCAACAAACTACATTAGAATTAAAAGGCTTGATTCTAGATAATCCTAACCAACAGTGAATTCATTCTAAGAAATAAGAAGAAAAAGGTTTCAATCCAATAATCCTCATAAGAGTAAAGAAGAAATGTCTCCATGTACTATAGAGACATTTCATATGCATTCATCATACATCACAGTATCATTTGTTACACCAGCACAATACTTGCACTGTAATAATCGAAGTTGGGAGTATGTTAGTTATTAATCTTAGCTATCTTGAAAATGTGGCATAGAACTATTTAGACCCCAGATCTTCAATTATAAGATAGGACAAATTTGTTTACGCATGAATTCTATTCACATTTTCACAAAACTAGTGATGCTACATGATAGCTCAGACTCTTGTACTTGTTAATTTTCTAATTTCTTTGCTTTCGGCTAGCTATACATTTGTGTCTAAACCTCACATACAATATATTCCAAAATAGATATTACCCAGTCGATTAGGTTCCACTTGGGACACCGTGATTTTGAATAACATTTTTCAAAATTTGGGGGTACTTTTCTTGAAGCCTCCTGGACATATTCAAAATTTTCTCAAAAAGGTTCCAAATTTTTTCTTTGAATATCTTGTATGACTAGAGTAAAATACACTTATAAACATGTCATAGGTCACATTTTCACAGTTAACTAAATTTTCAAAAATTGCAAACTTTTTAATTTTTTGCAGTATCTTCCGACAACTACAAAATTGAAGATTTTTTCTTCAAATAAAATTTGTTCTGCATAGTATGTTCTTTCAGTAAGGTTACATACATTTTTGGGAAATTTTAGTAGTTTTCGTGCAATATGCTCCAAATTTTTTTCTTTAAACTTTTGGTAGCTATACTTTAAGATGACATAAACACCGTATTCTATTCTTTCGTTTTTTCAAAAATTTTAAAAATGTAATTTGTTTGATTTGTCTATCACATTGTTAATATTTGTATTATCGGCAATTTCTTTACATTAATGTATTTATGAGTGCATGTACTGTGAAACTAAGCTCAAAATTCCGCATTTTCAGAAATGGTCAAATGCCATTTTCTCAAAAAAACTCCAAACTTTTGCTTCAAATTTTCCAACATTGCTAATTGCACAGTTTTAGATGACATAGAATTAAATATGCTCATTTCATAATATATTCATTTTTTTTTCTCCAAAAATTACAAAAATGTTTTTTGTTTGTTTGTTTTCCAATGTGTCTCTCACTTTTAATATGCACTTTCCAGCAATTTGTAAACACTAGTGCATTTGTGACTGGAAGTGCCTGAAATTACTTTATATGAAGTTTTTCAAAACCTTAATAGTTTTCTGTGAAAAGTGGTTCAAATTTCAAATTTACAATAGCGCTTAAATGCCATTTTCTTATTAACAGCTCCAAATACAAAGAAAATTGCCATTTAGGATGAAGTTTTATTTTTCTTTAATTATCTTAAAATAATATTTTTTTCTAATATTAGGAAACTGAAAAATTAATAAAGTTTCAAAAAAATGTATTTTGGACGGCAATAGTAGAGTATGTAACTGTGGCGTAATGTTTGGGATGCAATGCGAGCATGCACAGGTAAAAGAGGGCCCATTTTTAGGGGATATTTTAATTTTTTAAGGTAGTTTTATTACTTGTGTTAGCTTTACACTTTTATAAAGGAGGCCCGCATAAATGTTTTGCATTCTGTTGCTCTATTAGTTTTTTGCTGAGCTCATCTTGAAGGATATCTTACGACACAAATCATACAATGCAACAAAGCAATTCTGACAAAATTCATATTCCTAGCGTGCCAAATCTTCGAGAATGTTTGGGTAAACCATGGCTTGATGGGTCCCGCACCCCTTGACTTGTCTCTACTCCTCCCTTGGGGATCACACTCCCATCTTTGGGAATCAATGGTTTAGGCGCTAGTGACATTAATAGACGGACACATTTTGAAAGGAAAAAAACATTTTCTTGGTATCAGGGGATTTCAGAAGGTGTATTTTCGTCAAAATCCTGAAATCGATTTTCCACGGCATTACAGAAGTTTCTGTGTACTATGTATATTACTTCATGTATACTAGCATAAACGAGAAAGTAATATACGTAGCTATGTAAATTTATACGATGAAGTATTTATTGTTTCTAATTACTTTGTGGCAATTTAGTAGATGTGTTTATTTAATAAGAAAGGTTTGTTTTGATTTTCTGACTGTTGTAGTATTAAACTAGTGGTGCTACAAAATGGACAGGCTTTCCTGTATTAATTTTCTATTTCCTTTGGTCTCGGCTAGCTATTCGGTCTTGCCACATTCTCTCGTAAGCTGCTATCTATCGCTACCCGACATACATTTTTTAAAAACTTTCTTAATTTTTCAGTTTCCTAATAGTAGAATTGAATTATTACTTTAAAAATATTAAAGAAAAATAAAACTTTGTCCTATATGAAACTTTTCATTGAAAAAATTAGAGCCATTTTTGAGAATATAATATTTAATTAAAACTGTGAATGCGAAATTTGAACCTCTTTTCTCAGAAGACTATTGAGATTTTGAAAAAGTTTAGGTAAAGTCAAGCACTTCTAGTCACAAATGCAATAGTGTTTACAAATCACTGAAAATGTACATAATAAAGGTGTGAGAGGTATTTCAAAAATACTACATTTGTGTAATTTTTGAAAAAATAAAAGACAACAGCAGAATTAACTTTTTGTCTTATTAAACAGTACAATTAGCGCTGTTTTTGAGAACATTTTGTTTTTGTAGTTTTTTAAAATTGTATGCAATATTGCTCAAAAATTACCAAAATTCACAACAACAAAAATGTACATGACCTTATTGACAAAACTGTTAATGAGCAACAAATTTCATTGGAAGGAAAAATCTCTACCTTTAATTTTGCAGTTGTAGGAAGCCACCAGAAATAAATCAAATTTGAAATTTTCGAAGATTCATAGTTCACCATGAAAATCGGATCTGTGCTATCTTGATTAGTGTATTTTACTCTACACTTAGATGAAATTTAAAGAACAAATTTGGAGCCGTATTTGAGAACATTTTTGAAATATGTGGGGGGCTTCTAAGTAAAGTACCCCCAAATTTTAAAGAAAGTAGTTCAAAATCTTAATGCTTCAAATCGAACTGAATGGACAGCTGTTTCTTCAATTTGGAAACAATCTTACGCATAGTTTAGGAGCTAGTAGTGTTCAGAGGCAGACATTTTGGGAAAGAAAGGGGGGGAAACTCTTTTGGTTATCAGGGTGCCCCAAAACTTCGTATTTTCGAAAATCGTAGTACTTTCGTTCGAAACCGATTTTCCATAGCAATACGTAAATTTCCCTAGATCGTATATACGGGAATATAAAAAAGTGTATTTACATAATATGGTAAAAAAAAAACATATCGTTCTTTGCTGCCCAGCTGTCCTAGCGCAAATGCTTCAGTTGAATCAACATCCATTGCCGTTGAAATTCCTGCCAAACAAGTTTTCGAATAAAAAACATTTGGATGAAAGAAAATGTGTCCCCAGTGCCTATGCCTAAATCAAGCACTGCCACTCCTGCTCCCTATGCTGGATATTGCTGCAATTGTGTTGGGTTCTTAGGTGCAGCTTCGCAACGCCAGTATCTTTGTAGAGGAACTAAATAACTTTTTTTTTAATATACAAAACTATATGATTAGTGAACAATAAGTAGTGAAAATGCCCTTGGGAATGTGGAGAAGGATATAGAGAGCCAAATATTTCAGGCAACTCATTTCTCTTGATTTCCGTTTCTATTTTCAATTTAGTTCAGTAATCTTTCCGGGCGCGTCGAGTGCTAGGGTTTGTAATCCAGTAAGTGTAGGGCGTGCTTTATCGCGAGAGGTGGTGATCATCTCCCGCTGGATGGCGAGATCCGGTGCCGACCTGTTGGCGAGTGGGGTTTTCCCCCACCAGGTACCCCCCAACAGCTGGGCACCACCTCAGTCAAGACAACCACTAAGCTCCCGACTGGACTCCCGGCATGTGTGGTATTGTAGTGTGTGTGTGTAAGGGGCAAGAGGAAGGAAAGATCACACGCGATCCGTGACCCATTTGCTCCGGCATTCGTCTAGTGTTGAGCAGTTTGGCCGTTAGAATTCTCCCACAGCGATTGAATTCGACCTATTGCTTATTTATCTAGCTAGTTATTCCATTTTTACATGGAAGTACTGTAACTCTAAACCCTACCCTACGCTTTCATTCACATTTATCTCTGTTCTTTTCCATTGTGCAAAACATTCATTACGTTTTTGGGAAAAACTGGAGTTCACGACGGATAAGAGCGTAGTTAATGTTAGATGCGCAATTTTATTCTAAGTTCAAAGGTCTGTTAGCCCCTAGGCGTCCCGGAGAGCAACTTCGCCAATTTTCGTTAGATTCGATGAAGTGCGTGTAGAAATGAGCTTCGTTGCCAGATACGTAGTCTGGCTCTACTACATATAAGATGTATTAATAATAACTCTGGAATCGAGAAAAGTTATTTCTGATCTTGAGAGTGAGAGATATTTACTGCGATACATCCGGTACCTACGCAAAACATCTGTTGCGGTCGCTGTAATTTCGAGTATCGCAGTTTATATCCACGCGAGCTTCCACTGCTTCTGCGAATTCTTCTGCAGTTACAAATATGATTCCGAAGATTTTATCACCAATTTTTTTAACTTAACTAATTTTAACTTTGGGCGAGGAAAACAAAAGGCACCTCGGAATTATTCAATATTTGGAGGAGAAATCTTAATTCTGATTTTGTAGGGATTTTTTTTTTTCGAGTTGAAGCCTAAGTTCGTGTAGAAGTTGTTTGATATAAATGCTATTTCGCGATTCTGGTTTTGTATCTGAGATATTTTGCAGAGTGCGGTGGTGAGTTAATGCCTTTACGAAGGGTAAGTTTCTGTAGAAGTTGTCTGATATGATTGCTACTTGGTGTGCTATTTTACGTATGTTGAGATCGTGATGTAGCTGTTTGTTGCTGAAGCTCTCGTTATTTGACCTAAATATTTGTTTTGAAATATTTGCGTTTTATTGATATTGGTTTTGGCGATTTGGGGCTAGATCGGGCATGCGTATAACAATGTTGTGCGAATGAGTGACTTGTGATTATGCATTTGTCAGCGACAGGTGTGTGTGTGTGGGTTGAGTATAGGTCACAATTAAATTAGCTTCAATTGGGCTTGTAGAGCTTTTTTTTCATTGTGTTGATTCCAGTTGAGTTTTTTATCTAAATGGAATCTAAGTTATTTTATTAATTTTGTGATTGGGGCCCAACTTACAGCATTATTATATGCGTAGAGAGAAGGTATATGCAAAAGGTTTTAAAGTAAGAATACTGTTGCTGCTTATTTTGAGGAATTTAATTTAAGTTTCCAAATATGTGCCCAATTTGCTGTAAGGTTCTGTTGGAGCTGGAATGACTGGTGCTCTGTATATACAATGCAGTATCGTCAGCGAAATGGGCGATATTTTATTTGGTGGCAAGTGGGAATCTGTCTGAGCCACTGTTCGTAGTTCACATGAAATCCGAATCCATTCACTACCGTTGCATCGAAGTTACCGCAGTGCTAAAGTAGTGCATTCCTGAATTCGTGCTTAGTGCGCGTTAACTGCTAAGGTAATTAGTCCCGTAAGTGCAGTGTATGATTTATTGAGAGGTGGCGGTGATATCCCGCTGGCTGGCACGATCCGGCACCGAACCACCTGGGCTTGGTAGGATTTTCCCCCAACCAAGTATCTTCCATCGGCGTGTATCCGCCCCAGCCGAGACAAGCTCGAAGCCCCCGCCCCTCCCTTTGATCTCCCAACATGTGTGATAATGTACAGCATGTGAGTGTAAATGGGTGTAAGGGATGAGAAAAGGACAAGGAAGAGGAAAGAAAGATCGTGCGCTGTCCGTGGCCTGTTATGCTACGGTATTGCTCCGGCATTCGCCTCCTTTTGATCGGAAAACTTATCTATCAAAATAGCCGGCTGCTAGAATTCTTCTTTAGACTTACAGCATCTGAATTTGACCTGCCACCGTCGAGTCTCGAACGCTAGGACCTCCCAGCCAGAATATTAGTGTCGTCAGTTTATTTAGTTCGTCAAAAACTGTAACGTTTGGGATATGATATTCCATAGGAAAAAATGGTAGACATTTCGCAACAATACGTAGCCTTGTAACTTGTATACTTGTAATTTGTAATAAAATTTTAAATACGACTTTTTAGGTTTTTAGCAAAAAATGTCTGCCCCCAACGCCTCCTCCCCCCGTTCCCGAATGTGACGCCCCGACCACGTGCCCCATCCTAGTCAAAATTTTAAGGATAGAAAAATTGGGAGGTCGCACGCTTCAAGAAGAGTTCTTCTGAAGGGTACATTATTTCAGTGTATTATCAGATATAATTATTCTACTGGGAGGTAACGCTATGTACCTTTTCCTTTCCAGCACCGCTTACTGTAACAGTGGCGTCCGGGCGATAGCGGCCACTTCATCGCCTGGGCGCGTAGATCGTCGGACATCACATTCAGCTGTCATGCATCACAGCATGTCACTAGGTCATGTAGTTTTCGCGTTAATTTTGGGGGTACTTTGCATGAAGCCCCAGGGTCAAAATATTGGAGCCATCGATTTTGATTAATTTTTTTTGTCGGATAGTCAGAAGGACATTTAAGTGAACGTCGCAGATCGTATGTTGGTTGCAAACTGATTTTTCGAAAATTGAAAAAAATTTTTTTCGACAGATCTAAAATATTAAAGAAAGAGATTTTTCTCTTAATAAAATCGGTTCCTTACAGTTAGATTTTGAAATAAGGTCATGTATATTTTTTTGAAAATGTGAGTATTTTTTGAGTACTTTTGCGTGAAATATAGGCAATTTTTAATATTTGTTTAAGTTTTAATAAATATAATAAATTTAATAGCATACATTTTAATAATCACAGTAATTTTAAATAAAAATATGTGTTAAATAATGCACAATGTTTTATTTCCATGAAAGTATGTTCTTCCCACGAGTTTATTTAAGTTAATTCCCGAGTGGCGAGGCCGTTCATTTACAAACCATACGTTCATTACATATACTGACCACTTGTAAGACGCAGTGATGCTGCGCTACAGAGAGTATATATCTACGCTGCGCTACTCATGTCAATTTTCACGACGTAGCTCAGGCCTACGCGGTGAACATAAAGCATCCCCGTAACTTTACTTCGAATTTTTTCTATTCTGGCCGATGACAATAGGCTTTTCTTATACCTCTTGACTTATAAAATGAACCTTTTTAAGTGGTAAGAACATTTCTGAAGCCACGAGCCCTGTTGAGGACGTTCAAGTATCAATTACAATGATTCATTTTATAGGGCAGGAGGTGTACCAATGATCTTATGTCATCGGCCACATAGAAAAATCTAGTATAAACTTCAGCCCATTTTTAACGTAATTAAAACCTTAAAATAAAAAGTTTTTTGTGTACACATAGATTTGGGATTCTAGGATTCCTTTATTCCTAAATAACTGTTGAGGCCCTAAAAAAATAAGGGTGAATAGTCGTTAATTTTGCGGGTACGTTTTATGAAGCTATCACATCATATTAAGCTATAACTCATCTATATATTTAAAAACTCAAAAAAGTGAATGGAATTTGGTATACATAAGGCTATTAACTGGGATTTCTACACAATTGCTAGTAGACCTTACATCGAAAGAATTACGCGACAATTATATACTTCATGTATGTTTATATATATATTTTTTTGTTAATGGAAATATTTACAATATTTTCCTTCAACATAGCGTTGAAATTAAAATCTTTATGCTATTTAATCTTATTTTACAACAAATAATCCATCAGGAAGGCCATATTATTACACTTTCACTGTCCGTTTAATATTGAGACCACGCCATTTTATGTTCACTCCGTTCTTTGCGACGCCTACTGTCACCAGTACGCTCCCAAATGTTTTGAAAATAATTCTGAAACTAGTTAATTTTAGGCATAACCTGATTAATGTGGTTGCGTACAGGATACATACAACGCATATTCTTCCTGATCATTTATCTACCTGGGTGCGTTCGGGCCTTGAGTCATAATTCAAATGATTCTGACTATGAAGCATCTAATCAGACTTAATGCACAACCACAGCCAGATGCTTCAGGGGCGTTTTCAGTTGTTATGTTAACATTGTGAATATAGCGTATTGTACCCAACTTCTGCGCGTCATCGTATTGAAATGGTAAACTAAGCCAAACTATTTTTTAGGCATTGGAGACTTGTAAAAGCCGAATTATTTCTAATATCAAATATATCAAGAAATTTACTAAAAATTTTCGTAAGATATTAGGAAATTACCGACACACGTAGCGCTAAAATTTTGGATAATGTTTGTAGGTGTTGGTGAACCTGCTACAGAAAGTAAGTCGGCCATCGCCCTAAACATCAAGCTTTTGCACGCAGCTTCGTAAATTGTGTTAAAATGAAGAATCGGTATTGGGCGATTCTTGAAAATACATTGTAAACATTTTGAAAGCGCGATGTGTGTGTAAACGAGTGAGGAAAAGAGTTTTCTGCCTGTGACGTTGACTGTCATCGGTTCACCATGTCTGTTAGTGCCAGTGCTGAAAATTTATCCAGTGACAATCAAGTAAGCTCTTTTATTAATAACTAAATGAATCATGAAAAATAAAGAATTGTTTATTGTGGTGAATCCAAATGTTTAAAGCATCTGAACCGCCAGTGAATTTAAAGAGAATTGATAGAAACTAAAAGTTAAAAAAAAGAAATGTTACCCATTATTTCACTCAAACATTCAATTGTAAATTAATATTTATGGTAATTTTATAACCTCCTTATTAGGTAGAAAAATATTAAAAATAAATGGGGTAAGGTGTTATGTAATATCAGTATGTATATACTTTTCAGAAATTACTACTAGTTTTGACATGCATAGTTTGAAAATATTAACTTGTGACATTGTTATAAAAAATAATAATTGCTAAGTAATTTGAATTGTGAATTGCAGAGTTCTGGTGATGGGGGTAATATGTGTTTGGAATTGGCATTGGAGGGAGAGCGGCTATGTAAAGCAGGAGATTGTCGTGCTGGTGTTGCATTTTTTGAGGCTGCCATTCAGGCAGGTACTGATGATTTGAGAACACTTAGTGCTATTTATAGCCAGCTTGGTAATGCATTTTTCTATCTTGGTGATTATGTGAAAGCTATGCAGTACCACAAGCATGATTTAACTTTAGCCAGGTAAGTGAATACAATTTAACTTAAGGACATTTTAATATTTCTCACTTAGTATAAATTGCCTGCATAAATGGTAATTAAATGTAGCTGTCATTTTCTTTAATTTTTATCCGTTTTAGTATGTTCTGAATAATCTTGTTTTTAGTTTAATTTCTCAGAAATTATACCCTTATTTTCTACTTTTCTCTCATCTCTGTTGCATAGACGAAAATTATTGGAACCAGTTCAAAAAATTGAGATTGAAATTTGTGTTAAAATTTGTTTTGTGGGACATAAGTTAAAAAGAAGTTGTTTTTATCATGTTGGTGTGTATCAATGTGAGTGTGTCAATTCTTTTCGTAGGGAGACACCTGTACTTAGTACCAAAAGATCACTCCAATGTAAAGTTGCAAAAATCACTCCATTGTAAAGTGCAGGAGCGGAGGTATTACAGTCCCTAGCCATCTTCATGTGACCATTTGTCAGTTTCTAAATTTCACCATTTGGTAATTTTCTGTCTGTTTTTGCTACTGATGTCTTGGAAACAAATGTTTTGGGCGATTTGTTATTGTGATAGTGTTTTAAGGTCTATTAATGCCTTAATTTTCCCTTGATTCTTCGGAGACCAGTCATTTGGTCTTTAGAGAATATTAAGTTCATTTCAGTAATATTGGAAAGAAAATTGTCTCAAAAATATTTAATCTTGAGACATAACCTCTATAAAATACATTATATTTTGTCTTAAAGTTAATATGTTGGTCTGTGGCTTGTCTGTTTCATTTGTTACGAGGTGTTACTGAATAAGAAATAATTTCTTTTCTTAGAACAATGGGAGATAAATTGGGAGAAGCCAAATCAAGTGGTAATCTGGGCAATACCTTGAAGGTAATGGGCAAGTATGATGAAGCAATGATCTGCTGCAAGCGACATTTGGAAATATCAAGAGAATTGGGAGATAAGGTATGTAACATGCTAAGGTAGTGACAAGAACCATTCATTTTTTAGAATATTCATTTTTTGACACTAAGTGATTTGTGGATCAAATGTAAAAGAAATCAAGAAGGGTTCCCTAACGAAACACAGTAGTACAAAGGATTGCTACCTCTCTAGACCCGCCTTTCTTTAGGAAAAGGTGGTGAAAAACAATTAAAATTCCTTTTTTTTTAAATTTAGACATTAGACAAAAAATGGAATTCAAGTACAATTAGTGCACAATTATACTTCATTTTTTTGTGTATATTAATTTACTAACTAGTTTATTCACTTATTAATGGTAAAGAGTCTTTGAACTGTTTCAGTTAAGTGAGGGAAGAGCTTTGTACAACCTTGGGAATGTGTACCATGCTAAAGGCAAGCACATTGGACGAGTGGGGCAGCAGGACCCTGGTGAATTTCCAGAAGATGTGCGGAGTTGTTTGCAGCAGGCTGTTCATTATTATGAGTATGTTGTGAAAAAAACGAAAGAAAGCTATAGAACAAATATTTACATTGAATGGTTGTTAAGTAACTGGATAGAATGTAATTTTTACTTTCTTCCATACTACTTAACTAGTGGGTAAACCTTGCTTCTCTATGTAGTAAATTACTTCCTCTGACACACTGAGTAGTCAGAATTCAAGTTTTGTGGGTCTTCGATACTGCAAAATTGATTTTCGGTGAAATGTGTGTTCATCTGTCCATCCGTCTATCTGTCTGTGAACAATACTAGCAGGTAAACCTTAATCAGGGTTTTCACCAAAATTGATATTCTCCATTGATATGGTTGCTGATGTCTGGGCCCCTTTCATTGTAAATGGATATTTTGATTTTTGGGGGGTTTTCATATGAAACCTTGACAACAATTTTCAAAATTTCCTCAAAACAGCAAACGGCTTCAAATGTTTGGTTTAAATTTTTTTTGTTGTTGAATGAAAAGTGCTTATATAAATGGCACATTTCTCATTTTTGTTGAATTCATTGAATTTTCGAAAATTGCAAAATTTTAACATTTTTTCAGCATCTTCCTACAACTAAAATATTGACAATAGACTTTTTTAAAAATCAAATTTGTTACAAAGTGAACACTTTTATAAAAACCTTGGTAGTTTTTGCACAATTCTATTGAATTATAGGCAAATAATAAAACGTAACGTTCTCAAAAACAGCTCCAAATTTTTTTGCGGGTCAAACTATAGTTATAACAGTGGCACATGTCCCATGTTTGGTGAACTGTCTGTATTTTGGAAATTGTAAAACATGATCATCACAAAACTACAATATTGATGATAGAGATTTATAACCAAATAAAATGTGTTCTTCAAAATTACATATTTAAGTAAGATCCTGAACATTTTTTTTTTTTACATTACATTTACATGATATTTTTTTAAAAACGTGAGTAGTTTACAGAAGTTCAAATTTATATTACCTGCTCTTCTTTAGCTAGAATCTTCCAGAAGTTCCCCTGTCGCATTGCTGCGACATGGCAGTTTGAAATCCTCAAAATTACTTGTCATTGATGGACAGTGTTTCCAGGTGTGAATGGAATGCAGTTTTGGATTGTCAAATTTGTGTTGATGTATTAGCTTTAAATGAATTAGTTTTTCACAGCTAATCTTTTATGACTAGTATCGAGTTTTACAACTGATGGCTGAGATGTGTTAATAAGGACAGAAATTGTGCTATTATAATTTTATGCATTACTAATACAAGAAAGTAATTGCTATTGTAGTATTCCTAGTTTTGTAATTTTTTTTTTATATTACCCATAAGAGAGAAATGTTTTGTTGCGTTCCAGGAATAAGTGTTTTGTGAGTTCTTGATACTGAAAAAGTGGATGTTTTTGACCTTATATGTAGTAAATTATTTATTTAAGTATGTAGTGTAGTCCAAATCCCCATTTTGTGGGTTGTTGATGCCGCAAAAAGGGTTTTATCTCAAAATGTGTGTCATCTTCGAGTTAGTGAACAATGATAGCGCCTAAACCATATACAGGATTTTCACTATATTATTGGTATTCCTCTGTCAATCTGGCTGCGTTGATTTGTCTCAAATTTGAAATTAATTTTTTGGGGTATTTTTCGTGAACTCTTACATTTTTAAAAATTGTCTAAAAATGGCTCTAAATATTTTATTTTTTTAACGTCATTTGGCTCAGATCAGTATTTCTTAATTTGAATGCAGTTTGTAAAAGGATTACAAATAATTGATTTATCATTACACATTTTTGCACTTTTACAAATGTCAAGGTCTGATTTTCATTAAAACTCTTAATTTTTGAAAATTGCAAAAGTTCAAAATTTGTTGGATGCACTTTACCAGCTACATTATTAAATGTGGAGATTTTTTTGTGATATTTTTTCCTTCAAAATTATATCAGTAAATAATGTTATGTACAATTTTTTGAAAGTATCAGAAATTTTTGTGTAATTTTGAGTGAGAGAAAAGAAAAAGAAGAAAGAGAAAAATAATTTTTCTTAAAAATTGCTGAACATTTTTTCTTTACATTTTTTACTTGAATGAAGCAAATTTGCTGAAAATATGACAAGAGGTCAGACTTTCATCAAAATCTCTGGAATAACAAAACTTGCTGAAGGTCAGTTTTTTTGTAATGTACACCTTTAATAAACATTTCTTATGTAATGCAGTCTATTCCTCAAATTGCCCTCAGTAATTTTAAGTTAAATGGTAAGAATTTTCTCAAATACTTATGTTTAGTTTCTCTCTGATTTATTATTAGGTGTGTGTGTGTGTGTGGTTTTTATTTTTTATTTTCTTTTAGTCTGTAACCAAATTACATTTTTGTTACAGGGAAAATTTGCAGTTGATGCGTGAATTGAATGAGACTGCTGCACAAGGCAGGGCTTGCGGAAATCTTGGCAATACTTATTACCTACTTGGTGATTTCCAAAAAGCAATATATTATCATGAAGAGGTAATGGAAATATTTGTTTGAACTGATATCAAGTTTGGTGATAAATACTACACTAAAGTCTGATCGTTGAAGACTGGTTTCATTTCCACTTTATTAGGTGGATCACATTATCAAATTCTAATTGAGAATACATCCCTCCTCTGCTGTTATATATTAAAGTAGGATTGTCTCAGTAAAAGTTTGTGAGGGGCATGAGATTTTTTTCTGAACTGAATTTATAAAAAAAGGTGGTTTATTAAGGTTTGAAATTTCTTTTTTTCCCTTTAGAGGCAAAAATGCACTTATTTTAAGAAAGTTTGTGAAGAATGTTTTGTAGTGTTTTTAATAATAAAATATTTATACTGTCTGAAAACCATCTAGTAAGCCATATTTTCAAATATTTTACAGAGACTCAAAATTGCCAGAGAATTTGGTGACAAAGCAGCAGAACGTAGAGCTAACAGCAATCTAGGAAATTCTCATATATTTCTAGGAGAATTTGAAGCAGCTGCAGAACATTACAAGTAAGTACAAATTTATGAACTTTAACTTATTACAAGAGAAATCACATTCCTTCTGAATGTGGTCATTACAAATGTATTTATGCTATGTCCATTGTCTTCATTGCAGAATTTGTGTAAAATGAAACTGCGTTTTTAGCTGTGAAACCTATTGATAATGTTAAATGTACAGTGATCTCATGAATTATTGTTTTGCATGTGCTGATTCTAATTGTATGATCTGAGGTAATTAGAACTGATCATAACTGGAAAGATAATACATACAAGCTCTGTATTAATTTTTCTTTTCTTAAAATTTTAAGTTATTTAAAAGAATGAAAATGTGATTTTTATCTGTTTTTTCTGTTATTTATTTATATTTATTATATTATTTACATACTTGTTATTTAATTATATATTTTATTATTGTTATTTATTTATTTTCATTCAAACCTGTTCAGTATACTTGCAGAATAATTTTATATTGTTTATGTGTTGCTTTTTTCTTTTCTGCAGACGCACCTTAGTTTTAGCGCAAGAACTGGGGGATCGGGCAGTTGAAGCACAAGCATGCTATAGTTTAGGGAACACTTATACCCTTCTCCGAGACTACCCCACAGCTATAGAGTATCACCTTCGTCACCTCATCATAGCACAACAGCTAATGGACAGAGTGGGAGAAGGTGAGTGGAAAGAGTATTTGTAAATTCTTTGATACATGGATATTTTTCTTACAAAAGATGTCATTTGAGCTAGATGTCTAAGTCGTCGTGATTTTATGTTCCTCTCACAGCATTACTGAACAACTCCTACAGAATTTCAAGTGCAAGCGAGCCAAAATTATTATCCAGTTCTCCTTGAAAAGGATGTGGTTTGCAGTCTATTTCGTGGAGAATGCTTGCTTTAATTTCTGGCAAAACAAATTATTTTTAAGTTTTAATAATGTGCCAATTTCTGCTAATAAATCCCTGCTGTAGAGTAAAAGGGACCAGTCACATTGCGGTCCACACTGCAACATCCATTTTTCACTCTATTTCATTTGTGTAACCGCAAATAAATACATGAATTTCATTGGATTACCTGGAATCCTAAATGCAGCATTAGTGTACCTTTAGTTTCTTTCATTATTTTAGGTTAAGCTGGCAATTTCTTCCTGCTTTTTTGTTAATGCTTGCTGAATGTGAATTATGTCAGTAGTTTTTAGATCAATCAAACAGTACTCCTGGAATTACTTTCTAGACCATACTTGTTAATTTTTTATTATTAATGAATTTGAAAGGCTTAAGAGGGGTAAAGCAATGGGAAATTGTGTTAGGTTCATGCAGCTTTAAAGCATTACCTCTTTCAATGTTCTTTTTCTAATAGATTTGGTTTCCTCTCAGGTCGAGCCTGTTGGAGCTTAGGAAATGCACACTCTGCAATGGGTAACCATGAGAAGGCATTATATTTTGCTACTAAACACTTAGAAATATCAAAGGAGGTTTGTTGAAAGTGTATTTAACTTGTACATACATGATGTAGCAATATTGGAGTTAAATGCTATGTTTTCCTTTTTGCAGCTGGGTGATCCTATGGGACAGGCAACTGCGCAGATGAATGTGTCTGACCTGAGGAAGATGCTTGGGCTACCTGCAGATGCAGAGATTGCAACACCTGACGTGGAGGTGATGTGCGGTGCAGCCAACACTGCCCCTGGGGCTGCTGATCGAAGTTCTCCCAGCGCACTTCATCACAGGGTGAGGAGAACAAGCATGGACCGTCTGGATCTTATAAAGGTGTGGTTTTGTGTATTAGTTTTGTTAAACAAGATGTCATGATGGGCTGCTGGGAATCTGGATGCACTCAACTAACATGGCAAGTAAGCAGGTTTGCTTATTCACTTGGGAAAGTTTTTTTAACTTCATTTTAAATGACAATGCGTTCTCAGTGTATTGAATCTGGACTGAAATTTCTTTAAACTTTCATTTTAATAAAAAAGTGCTAAACATTTACTCATTTAAAAATAAATAAATATATACTAAAAATTTGCTTGAGTGCTTGGTGATAGTAATTTTAGTGGCAGTTTTTTCTGTTATATAGAATTGTATTACGATCTGCAAGTTAGGTGGAGGTGTATCTAAGGAAGTGATAAAATTAGAAATAATGTATTATGTGCATTATTAAATGGTGAGCAAATGCTATTGATTTGTGTAGTTTGATATTCATTCTCTGCATGAGCAAATCAGTCATGGAGGTGTGAACTTTTCCTAAAAGTCACTTTGCTTTCCTTTGGTCTGCGAATTCTAGCACCGACCTTGCCCGAGTTCCAAGAAGTTTTGTTTCTCCCATCTCTCTCTCTCTCTCTCTCTCTTCCTCTCTCTCTCTCTCTCTCTCTCTCTCTCTCTCTCTCTCTCTCTCTCTCTCTCTCTCTCTACTCTCTCCCTCTCCCTCCTCCCCCTCCCCCCCTCTCTCCCCCTCTCCCCCTCTCTCTCCCCCTCCCTCTGTCTTCCCCTCTCTCTCCCCCCTCTCTCTCTCCCCCTCTCTCTCCCCCCTCTCTCTCCCCCTCTCTCTCCCCCTCTCTCTCCCCCTCTCTCTCCCCCTCTCTCTCCCCCTCTCTCTCCCTCTCTCCCCTCTTCTCTCCCCCTCTCTCCCCCCCCCTCTCTCTCCCCCCTCTCTCTCCCCCTCTCTCTCTCTCTCTCCTCTCTCTCTCTCTCGTTTTGTTTGCTAAAAACTTTTGCATGTAGATCTTGCTGGTGGTTTGGGGTGGTAATTAACAGGGGCTCATATCTGCATTTCCTTTTCTCATCTTTTACTTTAAAAAAATGAGAGAGAGAGATAAATTGTAGCAATAGGCAGTGCCATTGGCTTCCAGGGAATTGCATGTTTTATATAATTTCTGCATGACTATTTTAAATTTCTGAGAATGTATTGTGATAAAGTTTATCATAAATCTATTCAGTTTTATACATGTGTATTGTATTATATACATACTGGGGTTTGATATTTTATTTGATGTTCAATGTTTTCTGTTAATGGAGTTAAAATGCAATGAGAAAAGATTGAGAACAATTTATTTGATTACTGAATAACGCAACAAAAGAAATGACCACAAAAGAGAACTGGAGGGATGAAAAGATATGGAAAATCAAACAAAAGAAAAATTTAATTATAAGTCGTCGATATGTAAAAGTCACTTTCTTGAACAAAGTTATTTTTTTAATCCATAAAAAATTTAGCAATGTATGCCAAACTCCTTCAGAAGTATGTTTATATTCATAAGTTTTATTGAAATCTATGCAAGATATGTTCAATACTGTTGGGTAATTTTATGATGATTTCATAAGTTCCTTGAAATGTAGACTCAGTCAACATCAGCATTTTATGATATCCTGATTGAGTACTTAAATTATTTTACCTCTATATTAACTTTGAACAAACTATGTGTTTTAAACAAAGGAAAAGAAATAAATTAATTCTATTTTGCAGCGGTTGTGAATAAATTTTAAAAATATACAATCCTACAAACAATAATTGCTGTCATCTTTATTGATGTTGTATGTATGTATGTATGTATCGATAACATAACTGAAATGGAATTCTTGTGTTCTTGTTTTTTGGTTCTGAAATGTGTATGGTTTTTCTGTGTCAATTGACCAGTTTATATTGCAAAACTTGACGAAATAAACCTTAGTTTTATGGTTCTTGAATATTTATCTCTGTGGTGCAAACTAACTTTCTGCAATTGTTTGTCAAACTAAGTTAAAAACAAGACATCATGCAGAAGACTGGGCATTGATTCTTCTGTGTACTGTTCAGTGTTTATTAAATGTCAAGTCTAAGTAGCGTAATTTGCTTCTAAGGTTTTTAATCATGTATATAAATATCACAATGAGGGTTTTTCATTGTAATTTAATTTATTTATTTATTTGTCTAGAATTTTTTTCTTAGTAAACAGATTTTGTGGTGGTAGACCACTATTTCTCTAAATGCATGCTAAATTTTAGTGCTTGTAATCCCTCCAGTGAAATTATATTCTTTAAGCCAATTGAGGAATTTAGAATATACAAGTGTATTAAGTTGATGAGCATGACATTACATTGTGAGCCACATACTAAAAGATTTAATCCTTCCTACAGCTCACCCCTGATGGCAAACATCCATCCAATGGTGCTGTAAACAAGATCCAAGTGGCTGCTGCTGGGGAGCCACAAGCTTCACAGACTTTGCCTTCTGGTTCTATGGCTGAGGAAAATCAGGTAGGGAATTATATCTTGGATCTCTCTTGGAGATTGACGGTTGGTCAGAATTTCTAAGTTTCTGTGAGTTACAACTGCCTGTAATGTCTTGTCTTCCAGCTACCTCTCCTGGGCAACATCTGACCAGAAAATAAATTGTTTATTTCTTATCAATATGTACATTTTAAACAGTGGTCTTTCTCATGTAATTCAACTCAGAATTTTGTGGCAATACAATCAATCCCTGTCTTAGTACTCATATGCATGTTATCTACTCCCATTTAATATAGCATCTACATCCCATTGGATCTGAAAAATGCTCTACGATTCTTTGTTATTCTGACTTCATTATACATTATCGCTAATGACTCTTCATTGTCAAGAATTGTTCTAATGGCAATTGGCAAACTAGCCAAACCTTAGTGCACTACATTATAATCCAATGTAACGTTATAAGCCAATATACATTGCAAATGGAAAGGAAACATCACTGTGTGCTCAACCAATGGCACAATTGGGTTTCAGGTGTGGATGAGATTGTAGGTCACTGTACCCAGTGTTTCGTACTCAAATGAAATAAAAGATCTGGAAAGAAAGTAAATAATGATTGAAATGTTTGATGAAGGTATCTTATCGGACAGGAAACTCATCAATTATGCAAGAGCGTGTGTGTTTGTCAGCACTGTGTCTTGTGCTTACTGTCAGTACCAAAAAAAATCCCCCGGACTGTAGTGTAGTCTTGCATCTTCACCATAAACATGATTTAAAAATTCAGTGTTGTTAAGTTAAAAATAAAAAGTTAAATTCAGTCAGTAAAAAATTTTGTCTTTTCAGATTAATAACATATTTACATAGTTTTGGTTTGTATAGTTTGTTTGTGTGGTGATTTGTGCGAGAGTTTTAAATTTTACATTTATAAGAATAGTCTATTAACATTGTCTAGGTATAAACATATACAGCGAATGTTTATTGGTAACAAAAGTGAATTCTGATATTTGCCTTAAAAAGAAATGCAAATAACTAATTTTTATGAAAACCTGTCTTATTTGCTTCTATCTGTTCTCTCCCTTTTAAGTTTTTAATTCTTTTTTTTTCTCTCTTCTTCTTCTTACATTGTGTTTCCTTTGTTTCTTTCACTAGGGTAAACATCCTGATGATGAAGAATCGTTCTTTGACCTTCTCTCTCGCTTCCAATCCAAACGTATGGATGACCAGCGCTGCTCTCTGAACATAGTTGAGAACAAGGAGAACAACCATTCTGCAGCAGCAACGGCAGTACGAAACAACAATAACAACAATAATGCTGTACCAATGAATCCAACAGAGAAGATAGGGATCTTGAGCTCTGCCAGTAATAATAAAGCCACTCCATTGAATAACAGTAATGCTGCCTCCAACAAGGGGTTGAATTTCTCCAATGCACCAGGTATTCTTTGAAATTTTTGTTTATTTTTAATACACTGCACAATATATGGTTTCTTGTGCTTTTTTCTGTTTGCAAAAGAGCTATTTTTTTCATTTCAACTGATAGTCTGTGAAATGTTACAAAGTATAAGCAAAACATTGTTTGCACATGTTGAAAATACGTAGCTTATACAACACATGTGTGCACTTGATTTTTGTTGTCTCACTACTCACATGCAACAAACTGAAATTGTGTGCAGGCCATATGTTTCGCTCACTTGTTATATAACTTACTATTTTCAGTGGATAGTCATCAATGAGCCAAGCATCACATTCAGTTTTAGTTACTAGTTTAATTAGTTTTTGACCTGCATTATAGGTTCACATTAATTGTTTATTTATTTATTAGGTTTGTGCATAAGTCCATGTTTTTGTTTACATTGGCACTCGTATTGCTGTGGGAGAAATTAACGTCCCCTCCTATGCGAATGCTGTCTAAAGAGCATAATTCACGTAGGAGAGGTTGTCACGGAAGAAATGATCAGAGTGACCGGAAGGTGAAGGGCATTATAGTTAGTGAAGAAATAGTCATGAAGTAGTTATTAATCAAGGTTTAATTATTTAGTTGTCACTGTCATTACAAATGGAAACACCAGGAATAATAGGAGAGAGATGAAAGAGTGAGAGAGAAGGAAGTGCTAAGGAGCGATGACAAGGATGTCGAGTACCCTCATGTCGGCAGTTTGCTTCTTACCATTGCGTCTATCTCTCCGATGGGCATCTGACCACCTGGCTGTTAACCATGTCCTCCTTGCGGCAGCTGTCACACAGGTGTCGATTTTGGCGGAGACACAGCGTCGATGCACTACAGGTAGAAGACTGAGCGTCCCGGTGTTTTTGGAGGTTCCTTTAAATACTCTGCCGCTTATTGAGGGAATCTCCCCAAAACTCATTGAGAAATGAGGATGTCCAGGAGACGTCAACATATTTTCAAGCTTCCCTGCGTGTTCTATGTGGCCACATAGTGATGAAATATTTGTAAAAAATTATAATTTTTAATAATGGTAATGGAAATGATTTATGTTATTTATGTTGGTTCATTCCATTCGGGCCGCATGGTGATGAAGTATCTTAATAACTTGTTTTCTACTGTGATGGCGAAATGCTTGATAATAAATTATATTGTTTAAGTAGGCTCATCGCAAAATTATTGATTCTCTTTTTTTTTTTTTTTTTTTTTTTTTTTTTTTTTTTTTTTTTTTTTTTTTTTTTTTTTTTTTTCTTTTTCTTTTTCTTCTTGAAGTTGTATTATTGGGACTTAGTTTATGTTTTTGAATTTGCATTGTTGCAGTTAGCAAGTGTTGCTATGGATGATAGAAAATGGTATATTTCCGACATATTTGTGTCTTTGAGTTCAATAGAGGGCTTAGGTTGTAGAGATGGTTTGGAATATTTGCATCATGAGGGAGATATCATAATCAAAGAGAGTACGGCAAGAAAATGATTTACTCCTTTCAAGGAGGGTTATTTTTAAATAAATTCCTCTCCACAGTCAGGAAGATCTATGGGATTTGATGGGAATTGCAAATGTAATGAACTGCGATCATTGAACTATCATGCAGTGTTTGAATTCAATGGGAAAGGTTCAAAAATCGGGTGTATGTGCACTGCATGCTCCAAGCCAGAAACAAAAATCAGCGAGTGCAGAAATGTGAATTTCACTTGTTCGTCATCGATTGGTATTGTTTTGGGTAAAATAATTTTTTTTATGTTTAAAAAAAAGTAAAGAATGCCTGAGCTGTAACAAAATACAACAACTCGAAAGGCCTCTAAGGTATATCTATGAAAAATTATGGTATGCATCTGGTGGGACAAAGAGGGTATGGTGTTAAACAAATTGTTTTACTGACATTTATTGCCAAGAATTGAGTCATTTTGCTGTCACAATCCAAGAAAATCGACCAAATAGTCTGTGTGAAGTATTGTTACTGCACTATAATGTCTGCTCACACTCTGCTAACCTAAGTTAACCAAGAGTTGAATTGGGAAGTCATTAAACATTCAGCTTCATATGATTTTGTATCCTCAGATTTTCACCTTTTCTACTGTCTATGAAAACAACTTAAAGGAACTTCCTTTTCGAATGAAAATGTGCTCTGAACATAGCTGGGCATCTTCATTAACTCTAAACAAGAAAATTTCTATATGCATTGAATTGAATCTACAGGCGAGGAAACCATCCTGTTGCTGGCAGACAGTTTTAGAAAAAGGAGAGTATGGGCCGAATTCATAGTCGTTACTTATAGGATAAGTGAACCCTTATGTGATAAGTGCTTTCTCAAAATAAATGTTCACTTTTAGCTGCTCGTATTTCATATTGTTCCTTACGACCGCGGAATGACTGTTCCCTTAAGCGGAAGGGAAATGTGGTAACATGGCATTGACGGCAGCTGTTTCGAAGTTCTTAGCAACGGAGTTAACACATGTACTTCATCTTGTTCAAAGAGATTTTAATTTAGCAGGGAGCAGACACTCCACTAGAGTTGACGTTGCGCGAATGATGTAATACTTCTACTACCTCTAATATGTCTTCATACAGACAAAACAAGATGTTTTGATATTGGTATATTTTACTAATGTGTTTACTACCAATCACTAATAACAAGCAGATGTAACAATGTAATCTATGATTCTCATATAATTTCAAGGACTATTTGATACCGGTATCATGTTAATATTTAAAAAATGTATTTATTACAAATTCCTAATAATAAGAAGTGTTTGATACAAAATATAATTCATGAACCTCATATCAAAATTTTAATGATTTTCTGTAATGTCTTGTGCATTTTCTACATATTATTTATGTGCATTATTGGATTGTAATATAATACTTAACATCAGTTTCAATCGATTCCCCAATGTTAACTTATGCTCTAGTATAACTAATGTACATCGTATGAACACAGGTCTGTCAATATTGGTAATGAATTATTAAAATTTCATGTAATTGAAAATGTCAACACCATATAGTATTAACATAAATTTCATTTTACAACAATTTAAATTACTTCACTTATTCAATTGTGAATTCATAATTCTCTATAATGGGTCTTATAAATCAGTAATGAACAAAAGTTAAAAATTTTGGAAACATTCCTGAAAGGATGAAGTTGCATAAAATCTTAATGCAACAAGAACATTTAATAAGGGGGAAATCAGCAGTCCTCTTTTTGTCATTGGGACTTTGTCAATCATCGGCACAAGTGTATCCACTACAGTAGTTTTATTGAAACTAATCCGCTTTCGGAATTGTTCATTATTGTACATTTCTAATGGGTTGCTCATATCTCTAATATATCTCTTTGAATTGTGTTGAGTATAAAACTAGAAGTAATCTTTGAAGTCATTTTTCAATAGCGATTTCAATAGTCAGTGAATATTGAAATATAACCTAAACTAGTTACGATTGACTATTTGAGGGAGCCATAAGGGACACTCAGGGGAGCAGGCTGCCTCGCTTATAGGAATAATTGCTCACTTAAGACTTCACTCAAGGGCTGTTTATGAATGCGATTCGTCCACTTATGGGAACACTCAATGTAAGTGACGACTATGAATTCAGTCCTATGTTACTTATGATTAAGTTCTTTCTTGTGTGTATCTCTTAAGCATAATAAACTTTTTAAAAACACTATGGACTTATGCGCCAACCAAATGTAAATTGATCATCAGACCTTTTACTTTATAAATAATATAGTATTAACGTAGTCAGTGGCAATTATTACTAATACATGGGAACACATGTTTCTTGTAAACAAATATTGCCAACAACACATGTTGCTACCTTTAATCATAATTATACAAATGGAGAGTAGATAGAGATCCAGAGCTCATGAAAACAAATTCATATTGTATTATGGTGTTACTCTTAGCTATGTGGGCAATGTTGCATTGAAGAATCATCCTGCCATGGCTTTTAGGACTTTATTGCATGCAAGTTCATTAATTCTTTAGGGCTATAATGCATTAACTCTTCAGTGTGGGAGTGCTTTACTGCATCTCAGCTTGTTGCTGCAGAGTAATTTCTGCAGGGGCTACATGTGATGTGCATCGTTTGCTATTTATTATTACAGATAAATTGTTAGTAATGTATTGTGCCATGTTTTCTACAATCTATTCATCCCCTGTGGTATTTTTCTCTCAGTATTGAACATTGTTAATATAATTTGCATGAGTTTTTGGTATGTTTATTATTTTGGGCATAGCTTCAAGTTTCGTAATATTTATTACGGAAATGTTATAATTCATGATAATAAATCGTGAATTTCAGGATAGAATTGTACGCCTCCCTGCCTGATGAATCATAAATTTTCTTTGAAAAGATGTACTGTTTCAGAGCCAGATCCTCCTTGTTAAATGACAGAATGTTTTGATTTGAATATCGGTAGCACTGCTTACAAATCGATCATCATAATAATTATGCCTTTAAAAGTAAAGCCTGATTTTTTGTCTAGAAGTCTCTAAAGGCAGATCTTGCATGTTCCTAAATTTGACTAAGAGAGAAATAACAAAGGAGAGCGTATACTGAGCATACTAAGCATGCCAACCCACTCAGGCAGAAGGGAATCACCCACGTGCAGAGAACGTCAGTCTGCGCCGAAGGGTTAAAATGCTGATGTTGGCCAGAAAGTTCACCTGGTCATCTAAGAGCAGACCCTAAGTTGCTCTTAGTTCTAAATTTATAAAATAAAGTTATTTATATACTGTTTTAGTGAATTTCTTGCTTGATGGATGCATATCAATGGTTACAGCAGAGGGCTCACGGGTCCAGGATGACTTGCTAGACCTGATTGCTGGGATGCAGAGCAAGCGCATGGATGAGCAGCGTGTGGCACTGCCACATCTGCCTGGTCTCCATCCACCCGCCCAGGGCCAAGTGCTACAGCGACTCTCAGTGGGACAGATCAGTGAAGCCCCTACCATGCCCGATGACACCTTTTTGGAAATGCTGATGCGCTGCCAGGTGCGTATGAGGACTAATGAGAGGAAGGGCAAGAAAATAGTTTTGATTTTTTAGTTTTAAAAGTGGAGATATCCAGACTGCTGTGAAGTACTTAAAATCTAGCTATACCTCTTCTGAAGTTTACAACTTTGCTTCATCATATGATCTGGAGAAAGTTATCTCAAAAATCTCATGTCATTATAACTGGTTTATTTGTTTTACTACTTTCTACTAGTTACTAGCTTTCTTTTTTGTCAGTCCTCCCTGTGTGTTTATATCAATATAAAGTAGCTTCACTTCATCTTTATTACCTGTTTTATTTATTTAAGTTTTGTGTTTCAACACAAATAAAGGGTTGACCTTTTAAAACTCTATAGCATGTGCTATGTATGCTCGTGGCTGATGAGACATTAGTTCCTGTATTTTACTGTGGTAGTTTCTTTTTGCTGAAGAGCGCTAACTTCCAGAGCGACAGTTGTGTTCCCTCTCAGATGTCAAAATGCCTCAATATTAAGTTTTTAATGTCTTTAATGTGCTGAATTTTTAAATTTGCTGAAATGCTAAATTTGATTAGCTTGTTGCCACAGAATACTAGGCAGAAGCGATAGAAAAAATTTTGTTTGTACTCCTGAAAGAAGTGAACTGAGCAGGAAATTATCTCTTATGATTTGAGGTTGCCAAGAATGAGATCAAGTATTGAAATAGAGATAATTCTACAATACTTCACTGTAATAAATTATTTCATCAAATATATAACGATACGAGTGTAAAGTCACAAGTTAGGTATTGACAGTTAACACTTTGCTGACATGTGACAGAATTTTCCATCTATCTTCAATGAAGCTTATCTTCCATGAATTCTTCAGTGCACAGCAGTTGTGAAGTATTAAGCATCACCAGTGTGTCACAGATTCTACTCGTCTTTTATAGTGTATTACAATGCTATCTAGTAGGTACAGAGAAATATGTAGTGTTAAACATTGAGTAGACAGTTCGACAATTAGTTGGATATTTTTCTGTCACCTGCAGCTTTTTCTCTCCATTAAAATCAGTTGAATATGTAACATTGTTCTTGTCATGTTGGTAGGAGAAATGTCCATTCCCTCAGAACAATATACAAGTCCTACCATGTGCTTCTGAGCAGCAGTACGCTCTGAAGAAGGCCACAATACACTGGCCAAAACTGGCCACCATGTCAGTGATGCGGCTCATCCCAGATAGCTTAGATAAGTCCTACCATGTGGTCATCAGTGTGTTAAATTTTTAAATTATTATTAAAGTATCCTCCCACATACTGCCTTGCATATGAAGATTCTCTGTGATTTTGACAAATGCTCAAATGCCTTGTTTTTTGTTTGTTTGTTGAATTTATTTCAAATGATTTCCATGTAGAGAAACAGTGAAGACTTCTTTCTTCCTGGGTGCAGACACTTCTAGTGGGAGTGAATTCTAGGAATAGCAAGAGTATTAGATAGAATTTGATTGACAGATACCAACAGTCCAAACTGCAACTCCCCCTTGATCTTACTCTTTTCTTACATTATCGTAAATGAAAATTAGTTGCTTTTTAGAACAAATAGTGAAATGAGGAATTGGAGTTAAGCAAGTGAATTGAATAGGGTTCCCGCTTGGAGGACCAGCGCAGTTCGCTACCTGTGGATGCTGAGCCTGAGCCATCGGATCCTCGCCACATGGTACGCGGTCCCACCGTCCCAGATGAGGACTTCTTTGATTTGCTGTCCTCCATTGTCCGCTTGCAGTCAGGTAGGATGGAAGACCAACGTGCATCTGTACCCATGGCAGTTCAGCCTCTTGCTGAGAACCGCCTCAACAATGGAGCCACTAAGATTTCAAGCAGGAAAGATAAGAAGAAATGACTAATACTTTCTGCTCCTCCTTCACTCGATTGTCAGGTGGAGTCATCAAAGAAATAAAATTCTTGCTTTGGTTTTGAATTAATTCTTAAAAGTATAACCATTCTGAAAAACATACATTTTTGTTGATAACCTGTGAAGGAGGAATTAAAAGTAAACAAAATTTTCCACATACACGGAGAAGTTAATTTCTCTCCCAATAAGAATTGTCTTTGGGACTTCTTGATATATTTCCATCATTAACAGAGAAATACACCTGTTGCAGATGTTGTTGTGAGTGGAGCATACGATTTTATATTGGCAAGTTAATGCCTATGTCCTTACTATTTTAAATAATGTCTGTAGGCACTCCTGTGTGCACATATATATGTGCATTCACATGTTAATACATATATAATGTTAACTTGCCATGCATGCACATATATTCACAAGTAGTACCTGTGGAAATAGAATCTTGTTCTTTCAGAGTATCATATCATCATTATTTTTATTGTTATTATTATAATATCGTGCCACAAAGATAAATAAACATATAATGAAAATGGTTGCTTTAAGTGAAAGGTAGACATTATAAAAAGAAATAAAAATTATAAACACTGATTTGTGATGAAATAACCAAAAAAATTAGGAATTACTACTGATTTCGCTTGTTCCTATGAGCTTGCTCAGGAAAAAATATCAAGAATCCATGTGAAAGAAGAGCAAAGTTCACTAAGAAGAATGCAACCAAAGATGGTTGATCTGCACCTTGAAAGAATGATTTACTTTGAAAGAGGATTCATTTAGGAGAAATTGAGGGTATTGAGATCTGTTGGGTGGATTGAGGCCCCTGGGAAATTAAGTTTCTTGATGATAAAAATCTCTAACAGTGCATTTTGAAGGTTCGCGAAGTTGTGTTTTGAGGATGAAAAGTTGCTATTGGGAAATGAAATGAATTTTTTTTTTGTAGCAGAGATAAAGAAAGTGGGAATGTAGGTGTGATGTTTTCAATCAGTTAAAATGAAAGTTGTTGAATCCAAATGTTCTGGGTGGAAAATAAGAAATAAAAATGAAATCTCTTTCATAGTATAAATGTCAAATAGCACTAATTACAATTTTGATCATGTTCATGAGAACAAAGCCTGATTTCTTACTTTAAATTTTATTTACACAGTGAATTTGAAAGTTTGTATTTGCACTTAATAGTACCTCGGTGCTACTTAAACCTGGCTGAGAAAGAACCAAGGATTCAATGTGTGATAATTTTAATTAAAATTGTTCACACTTTTCAAAAACCAACTGGAAATATGTGTTAGTAAATTTATTACTCTACAAATTGGCATGTCTATAAATTGGCAAAAGCAAGTACTTGAAAATAAGATTGCAGAAGTCACTCAAAGGAATACTTTCTCTATTTGCATTGAAAAACAAAACAAAAGAAGATAACATTGCTCAAGGAATCTCTATTTGAACAGCTGACAATGCACCTGGAAGTGATGAACTAAAGATGATCATTGTGTATGGCAAAGAGAATATTTCTACTTGGGTGGGTTTGGGACAGCACTCGAAGCATTGTGGTAATGATGATTTCATTTTATCTTGCCTGTGATCTGGTGGAGCTGCCAAATTCATACATTTAGTTATATTATTTTTTGAAGTACAGCAGATATGTGGACGAAAAGTGACACCACTTGTCATTTAGAAAATATGGGTGATAGAAGCAAAGAGGAAAGATTTTCTGTGGAGTGAACTTCTATTGTATTGGCTCCATAAGAAAAAATAAGATGCATAGTCCACATAAATACCACATTAATTTAGATTTACAGCATTGTAGGATTTCAATTTTTACTCAGTGGTTCTTGAATTATTTTTTGAAATGCTTTTGGAGGAAGTATTTTATTGCTTGACTTTCTTTCTAATTTTTTGTGTTTCTTAGTGTTAAGTTGAGGGTATGCCAAGATGAACAAAAATATCTTTCCATCCGTTTATTTTACGCAAAGATTTGTGGGTTCATATGTCATTTGCTAAAAGAAAAAGACATCAAATAAGGCTTGTCTCATTTTTTCTTTTCTAGTCTTGAATTGAATGAATGTTGTATGTTTATTATTGTATTGGGAGGCAAAAAACTCAGAAGAGTGTTGTACATTGAGTGTATCATATGGTACTGATCAATAATACCAAGTAAATTTTGTTCTACATTATAGGAGATAATGAATGTTATGTAAAAGAAATATGTTCATGAAATGAACACACTGAATTCAAAAATTTTAGAAGTAGTATTTTGGTATCTTACATCCAATATATAATTCTTGATATCCAGGACAATAACTGGTGCAGCTCTCAAGTAGTGTAGTTTTTGAAATTTTGAGCAATTTGGGTTATGAACAAATTAGTTTTGTTTCGCATTCTATCAATTACATAATTTAAAAAAATATGGAGTTAACTTTTGTATTGTCCTCAGTTGACAGACGACTTGAGGTCAAGATGCTTCTTTTCACAGGACCTTCTTGTTGTCTTTATTCTGTGCCCTGTACCTTTGTAAGAATATTTTTAGTGCCAGATGCACAGAGCTCGAAATGAAATATGTTGAGTTACCATGACTTTTGATGTCTGCACAAAGACGGTTGCCGCATTCAATGAATGCCCAGAGACTGGAAGAAAGTACCTTCTCAGATTTATTTGCTTTTGTATGTAATTGTACTGCAATTATATGGATTTTAGAAATAATGTTAGATTTGGTTTAATTATTCATTCTTTAATCTATTGTATAACATTTTATTATAAGAATGCAATTTACTGTTGCTCTCAATACCCTCCCTCATGAATGTAATCATGAGGTGAATGTAAAGAAAACTACATTGCACGCCAAAAAATAATTATAGATTACAGATGTTCTTGACACATAAATGAACTTCATGCTTCAATTTTTAAAAAAATTGATTTATTATGAGATGAAATGTATTATAATTGGTATCAAAATTGAAAAATAGAAAGTTGTGTCAAGAAGAAAATCATTTTGATAGTACTGTGAGAATGTCACAGAACTTCTTACATAGTTTATTGTTGTGGGCAGCAGTGAAGCATGTTACATTGATAGTAAATACAGTTGTATGTAATATTTTTCTATGTAGCTTAACACTGTTGTTATATGAAGGAAGGCTGTTGAAGGAAATCATGTAAATGGTTCATGTGTGTAACTTGCACATCAGAACAATCTATGGTCAGGTCAGATGTGTGAAAATGGGTATTTTTGATAATTTTATTGATAGTAAAAATAATAAAATTTAAATTATTTTAATACATTTTAATTTTTTAAAGTTGTTTGAGAAACAGAATGAAATACACTGTGAAATCCACAGAATTAATACTTGAGAGTATCTCTTGTTTAATTGCTGATTGTATATTCAATAATACATTTTCTCATATAACTGATACGAATTTATATTCATTTGGTATAGGTGTTTTTCTTTCTACTAAGTTACAATAAAAATGTAGGGTTAAAAGCTGGACCCTTTGGGTCAAGACATTTGGATTTCCCATGATTATTAAATGAAAAAGGAAATATTATCCAAATGAAATTGTGCCAAACTCTTTTTAGAGATACAAACAGTAAAGTCACTATACTCATTTATGAATGGCATTTTATCTCAGTAATTGTGAATGTATTGTTTAACTGACTATTTACAACACTGACTGTTAAGCCTTGCAGAAGTCACAAGATATGAGGAGGTCTGAAATTTGACAGTAGAATATTTGCCTTACTCTGTAAGTGACTGAATTGTGAAAGAAAAATTAAAGACTGTAATAATATAATAAAGATATTTATGAAATGATGAAACAGTTCAAAGTAAACTGACTAAAACCATTCTGATGTCTAGACCAACTAGAACTAGGTAAAATATAATTTAATGATCAAAAAGAATAAAATTAAGCAACAAAAAATTTTTGGAAGAAGCATGTATTTTTTTTTTACAAATTGTTACGCACTCTTAATGTAATAACCTTTAAAACAATCTAATTAGAATTATTCTTGAAAATTACAAGAGTGCAGGAAGATTGAAATTAATTCCCACTTCCTACAGAATTGAAAGAAAATTAAATAACATAAACTCAAAAGTTAAATTGAATAATTATGGCTTTTGATTAAATTGCAGGCAATTTCAAAATTGATAGTTATTTTAATTTTTTAAAGTCATACTGTAAGACTGCACCAAAGTACTAATAAGGATATTTTGAGAAAACATAAAGAAATAGGTACAATCATTTTTGAAAATTTTTTATTTTGAGGAGGTTTAGTCACTGTCTTTTACCTGCTTCAACACAAAATAAATATCTTTGTTGTAAATGTAGAATATTGACCTTTTGTTTATTTTCCTTTCTGTGCATAGTTTTTTTTATATAAATTTTTGTTTTATGTTAAGAGTTGCCTTCAGCTTCATATAACTACAAAGAAAGGAGGTGGAAAAAATGAGAATCTGACTTAGGAGCTCGTTCCTTTTTGCCTTTAACATAAATGAAAATGTTTGTGCTTTCAATGTGTATTCCAGAGATTGCATTTTATTTATAATTATTTTATGCGAAAGTGCTTTGTATGTAGCATTTTTATATTTTGTCTTCTAAAGATTGTTTCTTTGGTGTAACATTTTATAAGAACTTCTTTAACTATAAAAAACAAAATAATTGTTGTTGCCCTCCAAGTGGTTTTGGACCCCTTTTACTCAGTGTAGAATGGTGATCTCACACCCACTTCAATTTACGTGATGTGCCAAAACTCATGTACTTATCACACTTTTTTAAAATTGACAATTATGGTACTTTCCACCAAAATAGATGTATGCCCAAAAGTGTCTCTTCCTTTTGGTGTGCTAATACTTCCATAACTTGAAAGAGTTGACATTGTCTTGTTATTAGTATAATGTAGATTTATTTTATTATGAAAAGTTGAAACATTTTTGTAGACATTCGTAATTTATTTCTAGAGCAGTGTTCCTGAAGTCTTACAAAGTGAAGATAACTTGTACCAGAAAAAGGTTTTCATGCATGTGTGTGATAAAAATTGTTCCATGCTGCCAGTCAGAAATAAAATCCATTTATATCTGTATGTACTTTCAAAAGACCATGTTATTGAAGTTCTCTTTGTCTTTAAACTAATTGTATGAGGTCAGCAATTTGTTGAATTTCAAAAGGGTCACTGACAAAATATTCAGATTTCTTTTAAAAGTGCAACGAAAAATCTGTGAATTTATGTTAAAATAACAAGTCAATATATTGAAATATTTAGAAGTGTGATATGTTTACTCAGAAACTATCAATACATTTTAGTTACTTAGCACATGTCTTTTATTGTTTCTTTTTCTTAGTTGACTCTAAAATGTGAAGTGTTATGTATTTGCTTTTCCTACCACCATAGAATTGAACATATGGTCATCTAATTCCCCTAATTTTCCAACTCATTTTTTCCTGTTCCATTCTTTGATAAGAAGTAAGTTTGGTTTTATAAAAGTATGAAGCTTAAAACATTTGCTTTACCTACTTTTTCATTCATTCACGGAAGAAAAAAAATAGTTACATCAAAATGTTAACACACAATATTGTTATGGCTCATTTTTAAATTATTTTATTAATTTATTTATTAATTTGCACAGGACAAATAATAAATTGTATCAACAATTGAAGCTGTAGCAAAAAAGTACCATGATGCAATAATGAAAATGTACCTAGGGAGTAAAATAAGATTTTACTTACTGGTGAGAAAGTGATCCCCCAGGTAGTGTAGGTAGTAGGGGGGGGGGGCTGCATTATTTATCAGAGAATCTAGTTTCTGCTTTTTTTGAGTTCCATTATGTTATCCATAACCATTATGTAAATAAAAGGTTTACTGAAGTTTCCAAATTTTGCAAGTGTGTTCAAAGGGAAAAAAATCTCTTATTTTAGTGAGACTGGACACATGCAAATGTTCTGCATTTTGTACATATATAATGAAAATATTTGCATACTGGAATCAAAACTTTGAACAGTTAGGTCTTGGGCAATATTACTTCAAAAAGTTTGGTATAGTTAACCATTCTAACATTGTTAAGTGTTTATTAACACAGAAATACTTAAGACTTGGGAGATTTAATTGCAGTAGTCAATTTAGTTTTATACGGATATCAATGTTGTGCATGTTTCTTACAAATCCTTCATTGTATGTAATTGGAGCATCCTAAAGATGTAATGTAATAGATGATCCAAATCATTACCACCAATTATTTTGAAGATTACTACTCAACTGTTGATTCAAGGGTCTAGAAGCACTGTTTCATAATATTGCACCATGGCAACACAAGTTGAAAATTGCGCATAAACTTGCCGATTTCCTTTTACCATACTTCATAAATTTCTACATTTTTCTTCTTTAATGTGTTTGATGTGGCGCAGGAGTTTCATGTTGATAGAGTCAAATGAATTAATGAAATCTAATTTTCATCTAAATTAATTTTAAGGCACAAGAGACCGCATGGTTTGTTGCCAAGAAAAATAAAATAAATATTTACATAGTTACACATGGAAGAGAGTATTTAAAAGCTGGCTTCACAAAATTATACTATAATTCAACTTCCAATTTTAATTTGAATGGAAGTTAATACATCATAAAATTACATTTTATGTTGTTTTTTCTCTCTTTCTTCTGTGAATGAAATTTGAATTAAGACATTAGGAATTTCCCCCCTCATTTTCTTATAATTAGGCATGTGTGTGCGTGGAGAACCTATATAAAATTACAAATCAGTAGTTGGATTCTTTATTTTATTTGCACCAATATCTTTCCAAAACTATATACAGGTTCAAGAGAGTTCATATCTCATACTACTACTTTCAGTTTACTTTGGCTGCTCGGATTTCATCGAAATACAAACATCCGCAACCACATGATGCCTGTTAAAGCACTTAAACTGTACCTGTTGACAAATCATAATTTTAAATTTGCAAATTAGATTTTTAAAACTGTCATGGTTGACAAAATATACTATTCATGGTAGTAATACTTAGGTGTTTTCTTACCAGGTCAAAATATAGGAGAAATGTTCATTTCTTAATGAAACCCGTGTCTGCCCTCCTAAAGGACCCCCATCAACGGAACTCTCCACTACAGCATCCAAAAGCACAGGTGCAGCATCAGTGGCAGCAGACATTTGGGACAAATCCCTGAAACAGATGACAAAGTTCAATGATAAGAGTGAAATGGGAATACTTATGAAATAATCATGGCTCAAAGACTGAAATCACAAAAATGTAGCACTCTATCAGATACATTACACAAAGTTCTTAAACAAATTCTTGAATCACAGATCATCTGAAAAACAGACCTATTACCGCAGACACCTAGTGCATTGGTCATTTTCTTATAAAAGCAGGTCAGGAAATTTAAGAGAATCTTTTATGAAGTAAAAACATTTCTTGAATTCTTACCTATAAAACCACATGTTTCCTTTGTTATGAGGAGTGAAAGGAGGTCTCTTTTCTTCTAACCTAACAATTCCCACAAGTTCCACTTCATCTTCAATTTGACCTCCTCTACGAGATGCAGGATTTCTTTTGTCATAAGGGACCCACCCTCGATTCACAAGGATAGTGAAGCTGGAATAAAGTGAAGAAATCTATTGATGTGTACACAACCAGACACTAATCTAATAAAAGTATTAGAAAATTTCTTTTGGTTGCTATTAGATGATTATTAGCAAAGTAATTGTAAAATTAATGAATCATGTTTGATTACTTAAAGAATAATTTTTTTTTTTACTGTAGAAAATACTTGTGAAATTTAAAATGAAGATTTCGTAACTTCAAACATATGTTATTTAATGTATTTCTTATAATATACTTTGGTAATCGAAAAGGGTTGTAAAATGGATGACCTTGAATCATCCTTAGTGAATCCAGCTGTGACTGCACATGAACAACTTACTTTTTGTCTGATAGTTGAAAAGGTGTTATGACACAATAACCAGTATGTGATTTTGCATTTTTTGAGATAAGTTTTCCTTCAGAGGCTGCATCTCCATCTTTAATCAATGACCTTGGACCAAGAAACAGTTCTTTGGAGTGGTCAAAGTGTCCTCTGACCCGTACAGGATAATATTCAATTTCCTTCAGTTCAGTTAAACTTGGAACAAACAATAATGACTATGACAATAATGTAAACTATATACAGTACATTCGTTAATTGGCAAAAGGTATTGTCTAGCCTCACTTACTCCTCTGGAAACTCTCTAGGTTCTGCATTACTCCGCTTCTCTAACTCTTGGATTAAATTAAGTTTCCATTTACGCCTCTGAACTTGCCAAGTACCCAAGGCAAATGTGAGAACAGGGATTCCCTAATGCAAACAATTGTTATATAGAACCTTCAGAGTATTTCAAACTATCCTCCTCAACAGTTTTAATTCCAAGAAATGGCCTATTTATACTGAACACCATCTTAAAAATATGAATTTTTTAATGTACTATCACTCAACAATTGTCAGCTTTTTCAATCAGTATTAAAAACCGATAATAATCTTAGTTAACTTAGTTTCATTCTACAATTGCACGAGTAATATGGGTTCGGAAATAAGTAGAGTACCAATAACACCCATCCTCTAGGACCAATGGTTTTCCTCTGTTGAAGTGTTCCCACTCGAGTCGAGCAAGAACGATGGAGTGTGTGCACAGTGTTTTGCACATGCAGTTCCTGAAAAGAACATATTAATAACTTGTATGACTTTTATTGCTGACAATCTTGCTCTCGCCACGTAAAATAAGGCAAATTCAATTCAATCTTGGAGTATTTTATTCGATCAAAAGACTACGCACCAACATTAACCGACCGGTATATTCAGCGACATTTCTTCTTGCATACATTTCACTTAATATTTATTTTTCAATTAAGTAGTCACATTGTTCGCAAAACTGCTCCCTTGCTCTCTGGGCTTATTCTCTTATGCTGCGATGGCATACAAACATCACATTATCCCACATAATTTTCTTGGGCTGGCATCAGCATTCAGGATAGTTGTTAGCAGTTGTCTGTCAGCTTTTGATGTTTTGAATCTCCAGGACCAGCTTAAGTCATGACCTAATTCATACTTCAAATATATTTCGCAACATGATCTCCTTGGTCATGCTTCGGTCCGGTCTGCCACGGTCTGCTATAGCGCGGCTATTTCAAAACGCATGATATACGAAGATTTGAATGACACCCGATGCCATCGAAGTGTCTATGTATAATAACAATAACAGCAATAGTTATTACACTCATCCTTATATATTAATACATGGAGATCAGTAAGTTGTTTCCATAATCTCTCATAAATCATGGGAATATCATAGACACTTCTACTTCTTTGTTGATTGTTTTGTGAAATTACACTTTCAAAATAGACTCGATTATTAAAACTGCAACCAATTTCTTTGCAGTGATTGATTTTTTAACTTTGTTTTGGTTCTACAGTCCATTGCATAAAAAATCTCTACCTCCTCAAGCAGGCTAATGCTTATAATTTGAAAAATGGGAATTATAACAAAAATGAACCTGGAGAGTCCATGATATTTATATTCTGTATTTTTAAAACAAATTGTTAAATTCTTGGAACTTTGTGGTAAAAGTAAGCTTTACTGTCATAGCACAAAATGTTCCTCTTTCCTATTTACGTTTACATGCAATCCAATTCCAATGTAGCAAAATAAGATCACTAGACCAACCCAATTTGTATTCTTCAAATTTCATTCTCATCAATTATTACCTACAAAATTTTATCATTTCTTTTAACTTAATCTCACACTTCACTTTTTCTCAATCCTAGCTCAATTAAACTATAAATTTTTTTTTAGAAATCCAGTGCCATATGAGCTAATTTTGAATGTACTTATGTTAAAAACAATGTTCTCAATATCTCATCTTTTAATACGTGAACTTTTGTCAAAAATGTAAGGCAAATGATAATTCTTTTTAAATTTTAAATTGTTTTTTAAAACTTTTTTTATACCCAATAGATCCAAAGGATGTATTTGAAGTGAAAAGGTATGTTTATGTTATTGGAGAAAATGTTCTGATTTCTTGCAATGTGAATTTGCTATTGTATGTAATACTAATGCAAGGTGTTAGCACTGAGTGAAATGATAAGTCATAGAGCATTGATAATTTGTTTGTTTTGAATTTTCTAATTTCAATGCACTGATTTTGTGTTGGTGTAATATTCTAGTAAGAGTAATATTCTAGTGTAATGAGGTCAAGGTATAATATTAAAAAATGATAACAATTCAGTAAAGTTGTGAATGTGCGTTTCATGCTCCAACTCAACTGGAAATTTGTGAAAAGCTTCCACTCAGCTGGGAAATGAGAAAATAGTTTGAGATCTTCGATCACACACCTCTTGGTTCATTCTCTTCCGTTTTATTTCCTGCTTATGACTTCAGATCTGGCGCTTCTGAGGGGCGTTGATGGCAGCAGCGCAGCCAGCGATCTCCGCAGGCGTTGCTCTTCCATTGGGCAGTTCAAACCGCGTGCGATTCGAGCGCGCTCGTGGATGTGTTGTTCGTGGCGCACTGATCTGGCAACAGTGTCGCTGCGTGGCGCTCGGGGTGTCTTCTGCGTTGGCTTGGCTGTCCTACAGTTGACGTTTGATGGAAACACGATGTGGGATGGATTCTCCGAGGCTGACATCGAGCGACTGAAGTCAGGAGAATGCCCTACGAAAGGTGCGGTGAAATATTTTGTAATCTGTGACTTGCGTCGTTGATAATTGTGCCTTGCGTGGGTGTCATTGAATGTTAGGTTATGTGTGTGTCTGTGTTTGTATAGGGCTAACGGCGGGGTCGGGCCCTGTGGTGGCGGCGAGACGCCACGCGACGCACCTGCGCGGGTCCGCCAGGAAGAACAGCGCGCGCGAGCGGTTGCTGCGGCCGGGCGCCGGAGGGGGCGGGGATGCGGACGGCGGAGCCGTCGACATCCCCGACGGGGCACGCCTCTCCGCCCCCAAGGTAGCCGCCCCCACCCACGCAACGGAGGGTTAGGGGCGTACGCGCTGTGTCGTACATTTAATCCCGTGACCCATTACGCCTTTATTTTAATGCCATCCAAATTCCACTTTCTGAGTTCATGAGTTACGTAATTTAGGGATTGTCGAGCTGTCTTTTCCTTTTGCCTTTCCTATTTGAGGCTTTGCACCGCTGCTTTGACTGACCCTAGGTATGCCTCTGTATCATTAAAAATTCTGCACTCTAGCAGGTGTCAGAACCTTCCATTGTTTCCTGCCTTTGGTCTATTCATTTATTCCCAATGATGTGGCTTCCTCCTGCTTGACATGTCAACCTAGTTTTTATATTAGGTTTCTATCTTACATGGCCTACCCTTGCACATAGTCTTTTGTAGTTACTTTTATGCACCTAACTTTCTCAGTAGAAAATCTGCATTTGCTCCAACTATTCATGTTGAACAAGTTTTTGAGAATATTGTCTTCATTCATAGAGCAAATGTGATCCCTTGCTGTGTTTCAGCTGCATAAGTCACAATCATTTTCTTCAAAACATAATCAAAAGATGTGCCAGGACAAAATATTGCCAGAAATTCTTTTAATTAAAATTAATGTCTATGTATTTAATTCAGGACCTTAGAGGACAAGTCAATTATGACACCAGGATGTGAAGTTTTATATTTTTTTTACATTGCATGAGTGCATAATGCTCCACCTCTTCAGGTTCTGGAGTGATCATTAAAATTGTACAAAGTAATCATCAAACTCTATATAACTTATCAGACAGAGCAACCAAATTACAATAACACATACCTAAATCAACTCCATTAAATATAAAACATGTTTTGAATCAACTGTGCAAGGGCTAGCAACATGGAAAACATTCTTAGTTGCGAGTGACAGCAAGTGTTTACGGCAGGTTTATTACGCAAACTGTGTGAATACCATTCTGTTACCTTATCTGTTTGAATATAATTTCTTACAAATACAATTTGAATATAAAAATTTGACAAAAAATATTTACAGAGTGAAATTTAAATGGTAAAAGATGGAATTTTATTTTCACAATATAATATAACCTTTCTCTGTTTTTAATTTGTTACAAACTGTTCCTGAATGTGTAATAATTTTTTAATTATTCAATTTTTTCAGGTTGTTGACAGAAAAAACCAAGACAATTCTCGTTTAACTCCAAAGAATGAGGATGAGAATTCCCAGCTTATTTCTATACCAGATTCTAAGGACAACGAATGTGAGACAACTCCTTTAACTAAAGAGAAGACTCTTAATGTGGAAACAAGTACAAATCAAGGACCTGTTTGCATAAAAATTAAGGAGGGCAAAAATTATGAGGTACTAAGTTCAGAAAAAACACCATTAGATGAATTTCAGTCACGGCACAAAATGATGGAGGAACAAAATCGTCGTCGTAAGGAATTGCTGGCAAAAGCTCTAGCAGACAGGTTTGTATTTATAGTAATTGTAATGTGTGTTTAAACTTTTTTGTTAGATGATTCTTCTTTTCTTTTGAACACAATAAGGAAACGGACTGTTTTGAAAAGAGGAAATAAGGCATAATTTTAGTAACATAGTGTATGATGAGAAAAGACTAATCTATGCACTGAGTTCCTGAGATTTATTTATATAAACACAGAAAGTTCTGTCTTAGATACCATTCAAGTAATGTTAAATAATTAATAATTGATTTAATTAATTTCAAGAAAAAGAATCCTTTATTTATTGTCATGTGGAAATTTAAATAATAATGTTGATGCAAACCAAATTCATTGTTATTCGAGAAAATCCTTCTGAAACTTTAAATTATTATTTATTTGACTAATCTTAGGAAGCTTGTAAGTTTGAGATTAATGACATGGGTATTGTCTGTTTATTTGGGTTTGTTCTATGAGTATATGTATGGGTGGTATGTGCAAATGTATGCTATGCTTATCATAATCAATTCCAGTTTTAAGTCATTAAAAGATTAGTATTAATCTAGTAATTAAGTAGTAATTTGCTACAATGTAACACTTTTTGGTTTCTCTATCAAAATTTTCAACATTCTGTTAAACAGTCATCTTCTCTTACATTTTATGCCATTGATTTCTTGAATTGCACTGCTACAAAATATTTTTTATGTTAATGATAGTGACTTTTTTCTGGTAGAAAGAAGAAGACTCATGCAGAAGCACGTCGTTTGCAACAAATACAAGAAGAACTCCAAAAATTGGATGTACTCCTGAGCAATGATGTTGGGATTCTGAGAAACCAGATAGAAGCAGCTAGTTTAGAATTCATGGATGCCCAGTAAGTTAGTGTTAACAAAGTCCATATTAGTGAAACCTGCATTAAGTGACCACTGGTGGTTCCCTGAAAAAGTGGTCTTTTAGAAGGGTGGTTGCTTAATAGGAGGAAGATCCTCCTCTCCCCCTTCACCCCCCTCTTACCCTCTCCCCTCCTTTAAAAAAAAGGATCTGTTATTACTGTACATCAAATATTTAGGAGATTTTAACCTATTTTATTCCAATTAACATATGTAAAGGCTTTTAGCATGAATGAAATTATGGAAAACATTTAAATTATGAAAAATTGTATATCTTGATGAAGTTTAATTTTGCCTATTTTAACATAAACTATTTTTTAGACATATTTAGTATAGTATTTAGAATAGAAGTCGCAATATTAGATGTAACTGTTATGAATAATATGAGAAAATGTGCTGTTGTAGTACCTAGTTTTTTATAACTTTGGTTATCCCAATGAGACACATAGTGCTTTAGGAATCACAGTTGGTTGCTGCATTCTGGATCTCTTGGAGCTCCCAGAGGTTTTCTAAAATCAGTTGGAGAAAGACGATTAATGAAGATGGAGGATCAGCCAGTCAGCCACCTTAATGATCGAAATGATTGGATGGGTGTGTTGTTTAGGGTAATGCTTTGGTATCTGCCTAGAATTAGAGAAAACCTCAGAAACAACCAGTCACAATAGTCAGCAGCTATAATTTTCATCCAGACAATGATTGGCTTCCATGCAGCTTTGTATTTTGTTTGTATTATTCTTCCTCCGTTGTTACAAGAATATAGAACTTCCGGGTCTACAAAGTTTTAGTTACCAAGTTGCAACTCTGTACGCTATTGCAGCAATAATTTTTACAAGCATTAAATATATATGTTTGGGTTTAGCAGTGTGTGTTATAGGTTTAGTGGAGGTCTATGACAACTACAAGAAAGTCGAAATTTTGTCACATATTTCACAAATTTTTGACTTTTGAGAGGCATAGGAGATTTTAGGTATGCATCCAACAACTGTCTAGCACAGTGCCACTGAATTCAGTTGTAATATCTTACAATTCGTGTTAACATTTATAATAATTTATAACAACATTTTGAAAATTGAAATAATTAATTTGAAACTGAATATTTGTTAAAATTTTAAAATTAAAAATACAAATTTAAGAAATTAAATTTAGCTTGAATTCATGTTTCAGAAAACGCTATGATAAAGCTGAAAAGGAATTTTTGGAGGCAAAATTACACTTATTTGGAAAGTTAGAACGAAAGGAGCTTTTAACAGAGCACTTGTGCAAGATTATAGAACAGAATGAAATGCGAAAAGCCAAGAAACTGTCTGAACTAATGGACAAGTTGGAACTGGAGAACCCTGTTGAGTACACAGAAGAGGAACAAAAGAATACTGTTGGATCTGTGGTAAGTTCTAATGCTGTTCATATTTGAACAGGAAGCTTCCTTTTGGCTGTGTTGCAGCTTTAATCTTTTCTGGCCTTGTGGAGAGGTGATGAAGGCACATTGATCAGTTGCTCTTGTGGTTGCCTTTATCTTTTTTATAATTCAAATATTTCAATTGTCAGAAGGCACAAAGCTATTGATAGTAGTTCTGCTCAACTTGCAGAAAATCTATTGTCTTGTCTTTCCTTTTTACTTCTAAAAGTATGGAAAAAATATCACATTTAGTGCTTAACCCTTCAATGCATAATGGTGTTTATGTATGGATGTGACATCCTTTCATTTACATTTGTGGGAGACTGTGCAAGGGATTTTTCCATCAGAACTGGGATGTATGGAGGTAGAGGGTCTTCCTACCTGGTACTATAGCGATGCATTCAGCCTCTTTCCTTTCATCTGTGTTGGAATGCTAACACATCTATCGAAGGGCTTAAATGCTTTACTTTTAAAGTTTGACAAGGGACCTTCTCTGTATTTCCTTTTAACCAGGCCCCCCATGACCCAATTTACACACTTCCTTTTGATGAATGATTTTGGGAGTTTCAGTGAACGTGGGCATGTGCAGTACGTCTCGACTTGTGTAGTGGTATGCACTGTGCACATGCATACGTTCACTTAAACTCCCGAAGTTGTTTGTCAAAAGGAAGTTTGAGGTGAAAGGGTTGTTCAGCAGTATAGTGATGACAGTGGAATGACAAAACTTTGGGGACTGTTTGTGAATAAGCTCTTTAGAATTACTGTATCTGCCAGTGTATAAGATGCATTTTTTTCCTTCAGTAACTCCTAAAAAGAAAAGGATTTGTCTTATACAACAGATGGGAGTTTTTGTGACTGGTTGAATGTTTAGATTACAGCATTACAAAAATTAAATGTTTGTACTCTGGGAAACAGGGATTTGTATTTCTACAAAATTGATTATTACAGAATCTAAAAGTATTGCAAAAAGAAAGAATGCTGAAACTTTTGTTGAGTCAATGTCACGGGGTAGAAGATTATGGAAAGGCACAGACTTTCCATGCGTACTAGCAAAATATCATAAAGACTCCCGGCTGAATATGAAGAAAAGATCATTGCTTTTCACAGGTCCCAATTCCCATTCCATTCATAAAAATAAAGTATAAAATTTAACATCCTTCTTGAAAATAGGAATGGCCTTGTACACCAGCAAATACGGTAATTAAAGGAGGTAATTATCATATATGAAGAAACTGTGACACAGTTAATTGGTTTGAATTAAAATTCCATAATCCTGGCAATGATCTTGTGAATCTGTGTGAATGCAATGATCTTGTGAATCACAGTGAATCTGTTCATAGTGTCAGTTTGTTAAAAATATTATTATGTGTGCATTTCTATCATCTCCGAAATCAAAATCTGATTGCAAGATTTTTCATCCTGACTTCCAACTTGCAAATTTGACACTGATTTAAAAGTAAATTTATGTATGTATGAATTCCACGTTCCATGAATTCAAGCTTGGATTTACTTGTTACAGAGTTTCATTATATTACATTATATTATTTATTTTACAGTATTATATTATTATATTTCATTATATTATGGGAGGAAATTAGTGTTCTTTTATTTATATCTGGAATATAATCTAATTAAATTTATTGTACTGGTAATAGTTTATTGCAAAGTAGAATTTTTTTTGTGAAAATGTTTTTGACTAATATATGTTCATTGCAAAAAATTAATTGATTAATCAATTTAATAACTCAATTTTGTAATGTTTTAAAAAGAGATTTTTTCTGGCGAATATTGAAAGTAGTCTTTCGGTGCAAATGGAGAATAAATAAATTTTTCCTACATGAAATTGCTCCTGTAACCATTTATACCTAATGTTTGCTTATAGTGACAGATTATCATACTTTCTGAGATGAACAAATATTTCAAAACAATGCTTTGTTTCAATGATTATGGATAAGAGATGGTTGATGTAAGAGGTTAAATATCAATAGAGCAAGCAGTTCTTGTACTGAAATCAAACAAGCTGAATCCATCACAATCCTTGTTTATTCTTTACAATGAATGTAACATACTTGTAATGAGGGAAACATTTTTAATGATTGAACAGTTAAAAATCTCAAATATTTTTGGATTGTTTTTGTGGAATTTAATTATAGTTTAGTCATTTTCATTTAGACTTGGTACCTTGCTTTACCGTACGATAAAGCAGATGTGAAAAGGTAATGATGAAAATTAATTCTACCTTTTGGGCCTTTCTGAAATACAAAATAAATTAATCCATCCACTTTAAATTATTGAAGAAAGTGCTGAAAAACTATGCTGATTTTCATAAATAATTCATGAAATGGTAACTAAATTTGATATAATTATAATTGTGCATTAATACAGAAGTTATTAACCACTCGTGTAGATTGATTGACACATGCTTGTTAAATAAAGTGTGAATAGTTGCATCTGTGGGAAAGAAAATTATTACCTTATAAAATTGTCTCAAGAAATTATTTGATATTGTTTTTATTTTCATGTTCGATTTGTTTGTATTTTGGAGGATATCAAAATTAGAATTTTGTTAACCATAAACTTGAAAACATAAATAAAAAATGAGGTATAAAATTACAAAGGAAAAACATACAGGAAACGTGTTACAATTATTTAAATTCTGTACTTTGTGATATTTTATGAATATTCTTTAACATAAAATTTGAAAAATGTCTTTGCACTGTAATTTGGTACCTGAGTAACGTGTCTTCAAATTGTGCCAGCAGCCAATGCACTTTTTTTATCTTTTAGAAGTTTGAACAATAGCAAATAAATATGTAGTAATTACATGTGTATTCATAATTTTGTTCAAACATGTTAATTTATAAAATATATTTTAGTCACAACTACTATTGTGTGAACATGGAGTTTAAAAGTTCAGAAAGAATGTTTCTTATAATCAGGTGATGGGCTGATTCAATATGAAAGTTTTAAATTTGAATTTAAACATGGAAACATTTCTTTTTGTTTTTTAACTTAGATAATACCCACTTTGTGTGCCTTGGATGAAGTTTCATATTCTGCTTGTAATACATTAAAGAGCAGACAGCATGAACCTAAGCACAGCCCGAAGACTTCATCAGAGGAGCTAGAAAATAATCTTAGCAGCAATTCAATACAAAGCAGTAGTGTTGCACCAACAAAAGATTCTGCTGATGCAGTTGAAGACTCAAACTCAACAGCCATGAACAAAGTAGAGGCAGTGGACACAACGACTTATGCAACTGAAGAGATTGGAGACAAACTTGCTAAAGAAAGTGTGTGATGTGAAAATCAGGTACGCTTATGACTTTTTTCCCAGTATTTATTGTGGTGAGTCCTAAACATAATGGGTTAAGACCTGTTGCACTCAGAGATAAGTGTGGCTTGGTTACTTAGTTAAAGTCTTGTTAATGTTTTTTAAGAAGTTGGAACCTCCTGAAGATTGAGGCAGCTGGAGTAAGGATTTGCAAGCATTTTTAGCCAAAAACTTTATTGCATGTAGGCATCGAAGAAATACAGCAAGTATTCTAAGAGTATTTAGTTCTTGCATATTCATGTATACCAATGTAAAATGTATTAACACTCAGGATAAAGTAGAAATATTAATTAGAAAAAATAACTGACAATAATGAACATATACCTGTTATGAATGGACTTTCACCAGTCTGACAATGATATTTAATGTGCCTCTTTTTAATCTGGAAGTATAAAACTACTTACTAATTTTACTGATACAAAGATGAAATTGCTATGTTTTACTTCAGTTTGATTATGTTTGTTTGTGAATTTTTTACAAAATTATTAATGGTCAGAATTCAGTATTTAAAATGGTGCTGTTATTAATGTACCTAATATTAAATTGAATCATATATGGTGACCTGAACTGATTAAAACTTAAGTCACAAGGTATGTATCAAGGCCAGATTTTCTTGATGTGGAAAAAAAATCATAGAAAGTTGAAGGCAATAGAGTAATTCCAGTAGTTTTTATATTGTACAAATTCAAGATGAAAAATATTACACATAAAGGGTTATAATTGTTAAATATTTAAAGATCATTGTCATGAAAGTAAAATTATACTTTTCAATTTTTCCATGATTATGAACACTACTGGTGTCTAAACAAGCTGCTTTATTATTAATTTTGAAAGGTTACATTACGGACCTTCAAACTGAAAGAGACCATTTATCAAATCTGGCCCTGAAGTTTGTTGATTCTGTACAATTTTATCAAGTTAAACTATTAATGAACTGTTATTCCTAAGTACTATACATTTTTATGCTTTAAAGTGTTTTTAGACAGATATTTATGATTTATTGTTGCAGCTATTGCAAAGCTTTTTAGATGAGAAAATGTTGTTAGCAGTGATCTTTCTAAAGGTATAATTGATATTGTGTGTAATGTCACAATATTGCCTTTTTATAAAAAAAGTTACATTAATAAAGTAAAATACTTCCAAAGTGTTGTTTTTATTTTCAGTACAGAATATTTGTATTTAAAACTTTGTTTTGTGTAGAAGTATACATATATCAATCACATCACATCAGGATTTTGAATGTGTTTGGATCACCCAATCCGTATAACTCTGAAATAAAAATTTTATTTGCTAAGTTTGGATGCCTTCAGTAGAATGTTAGCAGATGCGGATCCACGGGGAGGGAAATTTTTCCTCCCAAAACTTTTCAGTAACTATTAATTTTAATTTGTCACAAAACTTTGAAGCAAAAATATTTCCATATAAACATTAAAACATATAAAATTGTATCACAATATGAGCTGAGTTTAGCCTGCATCATTCTACATAATCTGTAATATGACACATTCAACCAAAACATTTTGCATAAAAAAAATGTCCCCACCCAAAATTCTCTCTGGATCTGCCCGTGATGTTAGTGTGACTAATACATACATTTGAATGGAACTTTTAAATTAAGTACTGTTATAGAGGTGAAAGCTTAATACACATTTTAAACTACTTATTTTTCATGACAAGTATCAGTGCCAGATTACCGAACAAGCTGAGTAGGCTGCAGGCTGGGGCACGCAATTTTTGGGGGCGGACGAATTTCAGTGATTTGATACAGCGAACTTTTGAATGTTTTTTATAGAAATATTTCTTTCCATATTTGGAATAAAGGAAGTGTTAATTAATAACATATATATCCAATGATGATATATACTGGTCAATGCAAAGATATATATTTATTAAAGAAATAGTGGTGAGAATTATTTATAAATACAAAATATTTGCATCAGTTGCAAATATCATAATTTTTTTATTCAAAATATCTTAAATAGTTTTAATTTAAAAAAGCATATTTTAAAAACGGTGCTAAAGCATTTGACAGCCTCAGGTGCGCAGAAGTCAGTCGGGCATTGAGGAGTATACAATAAGATTTGAAATTTTGACATAAACAATCAGTTTTGAGCAGAGTAAAGTAGTTTGAATGAATAAGGATGAGATGGTTGTGGGAATGTAGACAAATATCCTTCATTAATTTATTTTAAAATGACATAAGTAATGGTAAGTACAGAATTTCATGTGCTTCAGAGAGAAGGTTCAAGTTTATCAAGTTCACAACTACACTGTAAGAGGAACAATGTGTCTAACACAAATTTAAGGTTGTATAATACGTATTGGTAAATTTTCTTCTGAAAATTATGGGTGCAAATATCACACCAGTTGTACACTTAATGATAATGGTATTATGCAGTGTAGATTTTAAGTAAATATTCGGATTCAAAGGATGAAGACCTGACATCACCACCCTAATGTTCTGGACAAGTGTGTGTTTTTGTTACAGGCAGAATATTGTATCTGCTTAAACTCTTCTACCTTCCTGCTTGCAAACCTAGCATTTTGGCTACATCTACTTCGTTGGTACTAGAAGGTGAACCCAAGTAATATTCGGCCACTGAAATGTAAATTCCAACAGAAAGGCCAATGAGACCAGCTAAGACCATGTTTTTCTGAAACACAATGCAGGTGGCTACACACAATCCAGCATATGTTAGGTAGCGTGTTAAGTTTACATGCCAGTCACGACCCATTTGTTGCTCATCTACACACATGCCATCTTTTAATGTGTACCCCCTTGCACATTTTGTACACATGTCTGGCCCATCTCCAGTACACCCACCACATGAACGATCACACTTCAGACAGACATAAGATCCATCATTGTTAACACAAAACTCATTTCTCTTGCAAGGGTTTTTCACAGTGTAGCACTCATCAATATCTAAACACCCTTTTTCTGTGTCCATCTGCCAGCCTGACTTGCATGCAACACATCCCTTGGGGCCTGCTTGAGAACAAGTGCCTTGACAGGACTCATGGCATGGAGAACACAACAACTTGTCTTCATCTCTGTAGGACTCATAGAAGTATTTTCCACACTTGTCACACAGGTCTCCATCATAACCAGCATCACAAATGCAAGATCCATTACCTTTCCGAGTTCCAGCTCCCCTACACTTGCCATTACCATTGCATATTCTACTAGGGTAACCAGGACAGGGATTGCAGTTTGAGCCAAAGTGCTCATCTGGACAGCAAACTTGCCTGGTAGATATACAGAGCCAATGGTACAGATCTGGATGTGTGTTCTGCTTATGCAGCCACCAGTCTTCCAGAGCAGCTGTCATCTCAGTTGCCAGAGCTTGACAGTGTTCCTTACCCCAGTCCACGTCTGTGCAAAGATATTCCTGCACACTTGCCAGCCCATTTGCACTTTCTGTCCCCTCAGTAATTTTTTTCATCCCTTTCTTGAAAGAATTGACGACAGTTTTGCATCCTAAACATGGAGGGAGTTCAGTTTTGGTGTTGTCAGAAGCCAAACACTGTTCAGCAAGGACAATAGTTAGCACAAAAATTGGCAAATGAACATTAACTTGCATGATGTCCTCTGGTGTATTAGCTTTAGAACAGGATTTTCATCCTCAGGATCAAGACTTAAATGACAAGCAAAATTCTAGTTCAGTTCTTACAGCACTTTCTAGAGCTTCATTATCGCAGCCCCCGAGCCTGTTCACCCCTTGCGTCTCTGTAGGTGGGCGTGCACCCCCTAGGTAGACCCACCAAGCTTGTATTGAATTTGCGTTGTGCTGCTGTTGATTAGTTGAACCTTTTGCTTGTAGATGGCGAAGGTGTTACAATATTGATCATACTGGTGCAGTAAAACTAGTTATACAGCCGTATTTGACATTTTTAGTTCGAGGGAAAATGTCATAAACGGGGGAAGCTAAATAACAAGTTACAAAAAGATTTACAAAATAAATGTAGGATGTCTAAAACGTAGGGTTTCGCTGTAGTTGAGCTAAACCCATGAGTTGCGACTGTATATGAAGGCGAGAGGAATGTACACTCCAGTATTGTTGCCATTCGAGCCTAAATCTGTAGATTATTTATTTAATTTGCACCTTCGTTTTGAGATTTAGATTCTTTCTACGGAATAGATCATTAGTTTGCGTAGGAGAGGTTGGCTCCACTGGTGTATATCTGACCCGCGAATTTCGTTGTGTGTCAGTGTGCGATCACTTTGTGATGTATGTATTTCTCATGACGTGGAATGATCAAACGCTCAAATTACCTAGTGAATTAAAAGATCGGGAAAAATCATTATTTCAACAAACGTATGTTGACATGTAGCATATCTTAGTTCGAAAGCATCTCAAGCGTCGAAATTAACTACATTGCTTTTAGTTGAATTCTTTTCAGTGGTGCTAGCCAGTACATTTTTATTTAATATACTTTCCAGCAAGCATATATATATATATATATATATATATATATATATATATATATATATATATATATATATAGATGTTTTCGGCACTAATGCTTGCTGGAAAATCCGCTGTACCATATTGTCCAAGCAATTTTATAAGCTTTATAACATTCCCAACACTTCAAAAACAAAGTTGCACAGGTTTTGAGAGGCAGTAAAAACGATTCAACAGTTCGACGGCCTTTAATGATAATCAAAACAAATGAGTTGTTGCTAAAGATGATGGATGAATATACTTATTCCAAGATTTTGTTGTTGTTGTTGAAAAAGATACGCTATTACGAAAAGTATTGAATGACACGCGGTGACAAGACAAATAACAGAGGTAGTTGGTTATTTTCTGTCACATGACGTTCATAACTATTTTGCTGGCGTCTGAGGGCCGATTTCTACGCCGATCTCGTAGATCGGTGAGGGGCGGGAGACCCCTCAAGGGCTCCGCACTGCAACACATCCCTCCCATGACTCGAAAATACACTTTCTCTTTGACAAATACGTCTTTGTTTTCTAGTATTCATATATCTTGCACAAAAATAGGCATCGTTAGTTTTGGAATGGAATAAATAAGAAATTGGCGCGTGAGCATCTATGTGATATAACCCTTTTGAATTAAGTGCTTTTCTATAACTTATCGATATCAGTTTCTTCCGAAGCAGTTTTTTCATCCTAGACGGGTGAATTACGTGAAACAATGTGAAAATGTTCTGGTGATAATGTGTTAGTGGTAGTGTTTGTGCTTATATTGCTGAGTAGGAAGGGGAAAAAGAATGGATGCAAAAGAAGAGTGTTCATGGGCATGATGTGGTCTGCCCTTGGGTATTTCACTTTGCAACATGTTCACAAAAACACTTTGCAGCATGTTGTAAACAGTTTCCAGTTTCTGCTTCGAAAGGTAGGTGAGATTAGAACTTATTAGAGATTAAGTGTGGTTAGTAATACACTTTCAAGTTAATTTCATTAAACAATTTTTTACTCTTACCAACCACTGCGTAAACAGTTCATGTTTACAAAATCACATAAATTATGAATAACTGATGTTTTTGATGTTTTATTATTTATCATTTCGTGTGTTTCTGAGAATGAATATTAAGCTATAGCCATATTTCTATTTTGCATTTATATTTTTGTTTTTTACTACAGGCTGCAAAACAATTCCACTGCATTTGATTATATTCAATAGTTTTTTCTAATGAATCATGTTTGAAGAATTTATGTAACACATTATTTTCCAGTATTCACTAGTATTTATTTGTATGTTCTGTGGTGTCAAGCAAGTATATTTATTGAAAAAGGTTATGTTCATAAATATTTACAAATATATTACTATCTATAATTTGAAAAGTTTCAAGCAGCCATTTGTGAATACCTGGTACATTGAAACTTTCATATATTATAAAATGCCAACTAGAAAAAATAACAACAAAATAATTATCTTACTAACAACAAATTATGAAAATCTTAAAGGAAAGTAAAAAACAATTTTGTTATGCAGACATTACTTGTACATTTTTTCTGATTTCTTAATGTTTATCTATGAATTGCAATTAATACATGAATCATGAAGTGCAATATTTTTGGTAATTAATACTTTTTAATGATATTGCTGATATTTATAAGTTACTGCTAGGACCGTATCAGTAACTTAACTCCTACATAATGCTTTACAATAATTTTAATTACTCAAATTTTCATTCTTTGCTGTTATCTGAATTGGAAGGTTGATGTTTCTATAAATGTTACTTGGTAAAGATTGCTTCCGGATAACAAGGTACAAAATTTCCTTAAAACAAATGATATATGAGTAGTAAAACTATTCAAAATCTATTGGCATACTCAAACATCTTGTTGATTTTTTTATGCTTAAATTGAGAGTAATTATTCTGCATTAAATCAAAGCAAATGTTGGTTTGTTGTGTCTTGCTCAATTCTTTTTTCTTGAAAAACTATCATAATCTTAGAACGCTAGTGCAATTTGTCCCACGTGTTGATAAAGTTACGTCTCTCAGATGTACAATTTTGAAAATTAATATTTACAATCGAGTTATCTAAGTCTTTCCTCGCCATATTACATTGTAAAAAGAACGTATTGTAACCATGCGGAGCAAACCGAAATTTTAAAACAAAAAGAAAATTTTTGTTAGGTTCTGGTAAGGCGAATGTCAAAAATACGCCAACTTAAATGTAATAAATTACTTTTCACCTCTCATAAACTGTATTTAGAATCCACTAATGTGAGTCTTTGATTCCGAAAAATAGACATACGGCAAACCTAGTAACTGTCCATATGCTTGCTTGCCTGGCTGCTTGACAGTAACGGGACTTGATTACCCCTCTGCTAATCTGTCCGTCTGCTAGTCTGCCCGTCTGTACGACCGTCCGTGCGTCCGCCCCTCCGTGCGTGCGTCCGTGCGCCTGTTCGTGAGTCCGTCCGTGCGCCGGTTCGTGAGTCCGCCCGCCCGTCCGTTCGCCCGTCCGCCCGTCCGTTCGCCCGTTCGCCCGTCCGCCCGTCCGCCCATCCGTCCGTCCGTCCGTCCGTCCGCCCGTCCGTCCGCCCGTCCGTCCGCCCGTCCGTCCGCCCGTCCGTCGTCCGTTCTTATCTCCGTCCGTCCCGTCTCTTCCCGTCCGTTCCGTTCTTCGTCCGTCGTTTTTCCGTCCGTCGTTTTCCGTCCGTCGTTTCTTCCGTCCGTTCCGTTCTTCTGGCTCCGTCAACCGTCGTCCGTTCTGTCGTCCGTTCTTCGCGTCCGTCCGACCGTCTGTCGACGCGACCGTCCGTCCGTCCGTCCGCCCGTCCGTCCGCCCGTCCGCCCGTCCGCCCGTCCGCCCGCCCGATTGTCTGTCTGCCTGTTTGTATGTCTTTGTTTGTGGTCAAAGCTAGCTCCTAAATCGTCCAGCCGATTTTATTCAAAATTGATATTTGTCAATTGATTTACATGAACTCGATACCGTCGGAGTTTGAAAGGGAAATTTTGATTATAGCAGTACTTTATATGACACATCATTTTCAAAATTTTCTCAAAGATAGCTCCAAATTTTTTTATTAAATTTTGTCCACGGATATCACAAAGGTCTCTTAAGAGAATGGGATGGATCTCGTTTTCATTGAAATCATGAACGCATAAGAGAATGGTGAAGATCAAATTTTCATTAAAATTCCCGATTTTTCTAAAATTGCGTAAGTGGAATTTTTTGGCGTCTTCCTGCAACTACAATATTGAAGGTAGAGATTTTTCTTAATTAAAATCTGTTCTTTAAAGATAGAAGTCGAATTTTGAGAAAATATGAAGAGTTTTCGCGTAATTTTGTGAAAAATGTAGACATTATTGAATTCTTTTCTCTAAAAATCCACCCCTTGTTTTCTTTAAATTTTCTCCTCGGGTGTGTCAAAGGACTATAAAAAAGGATGACGCTAGTCTCGTTTTCGGCGAGCTCCATTTTCGAAAATTGCGGAACGTTATCATACTAAATAGATGCTAGAGATTATTGTTTGAACAAATTCTGCTCTACAAAACGGCTCTTTAATAGAGCTCACGTACAATTTTTTTAACAAATGTAGTTTTTGCGTAATTGGTTTTTGAAATTAATGCAATTTATAAAAAACGTTTTCTCAAAAAACGTTTCAAATATTTTCTTTACTTTTTTTTCCACGGATAGAACAAGCAACAAGCAAGCTTGAAAGAATGGTTCAGGTTTCTTATGTGTTGATCACACTAAATTATTAAAAATTGCAAATGTAGAAATAATGCGAGAAAGAATGTGATGTTGTAGCACCACGTATTTATAAAATATTAAAAATGTCGTTGAAACATAATGCAAAGTACCCGTAAAACCTGATTAAAATTAAAGGGGTCGCCAATCAGCTACATCGATTGCGGAATGTCAATTTTGATGAAACTCCGACCTACAGTTTAGTACGTATCTAGCGTTGTTCATAGACATTTTGCCTGCAAAATTTTTCGGAATAAAGAACCCACATAAAGTGAATTCTGACTCACAACATGTAAGAGGAAGTAACTTACTAAATATACGAACAAGAATTATACAATTTTTTGGAACGAGATGCCTGTAATACATATTTTTTGTAAATTTTCTTTCCAACAATACATAACTTTC